TGCTCTCCTGCTGTACTATATGCCCCTTTGCACTGTATCCCCCTGCTATTGTGGAACTCTATAGTTTTTTTGGTGTTTTGGTACCAGGGATTGAACTCAGGACACTGCGCTTGCAAGGCAGGCATGATCCCTCTGAGCTAAATCCCCGGCCCTGCACTATGTATTTTTTGAGACAGGGTCTCACTATGTTACCCAGACTGGCTTTTAATTTCCAATCCTCCTGTCCCAGCCTTCCCAGCAACTGCAATTACCGGCATGTATCTCATCCAGCCTTTGGTTTCTTAAACATATACATTGATTTCTTACATCAGATCTGATCCTGCCCTTGCCCCATTTTTTTCTCTTCTAAAACTTGGATGCTCTTTGTGCTCTGCATTAGTTAGACCTCTCTTCTGTGGTTTGTGTTTGTGGTGGTGGTGGTGTTTTTTTGTTTTGTTTTGCTTTGTTTTGGGGTACCGGGGATCAAATTTGGGTCCTTGCGCTTGCGCGGCAGGTGGCGAAACCACTGAGCTAAATCCCCGGCCCAGTTATTGTTGTTAATCTTCTAGGTTTTCTATTAACTCTTAACTTGCTTCCAAACCATTACATTTTAGCTGAGCAAAGTGGAACCCCTGTAGTCTCAGCTGTGTAGAAGGCTGAAGCAGAAGGATCATGTGAGCCTAGGCAACAAAGTGAGACCTCACCTCTTTTTAAAAAAAGAAAAAAATTACATTTCTATTCACGTTATAATTTTCATATACTTACAAGTTTTATTAAGCTCTTTTCAAATCTACGCACTTTTTATTTTTTGCAGTCTCTGAAGGTATTTTCAAGCACATGTAATCTTATCTGTGCCACATAATTTCAGTATTTCAAGTCTGTGTGGGTCTTTTGCTTTCTGTAAATTGTGCTGTATTTTGCTCATTATGCCTTGTCTTTTTCCTTGTGGGTTTCATCTTTGTGTACTATTCATTCTCCTTGAAAACTTTTTGTGCGTGCCCATAAGACTAGAATTAAAGTGCCTTCTTCCTGAGGAGGGTCTCGCCTGTACCCCCAATATCACCACCCCCCTCGTCCCCCCATTCTGAGGATTGAACCCAAGGATTCACAGTGAGCTACATCCCCAGCCCTTTTTCAGTTTTTAATTTTAAGACAGGGTCTCTAAATTGTTCAGGCTGGGATTGAGTTTGTGATCATTTTCCCTTAGCCTCTTACTAGAACCCCGGGGCCTCATTCTTTCATGGTTTTCCTTTGTTCTTTTTCTTCTCTTTTCTTTTTTTTTCCCCCCTTCTCTTTTCATTTAGTTGCTAGGAGTTGAACCCAGGGTCTCATGCATACTAAGCACACACTCTACCAAATTTTTTTCCTGGTTTGGTTGATTGATTGGTTTGGTACTGGGGATTGAATCCAGGGCCTTCAACAATGAGCTGCATCTCCAGCTCCCACCCCCCTTTTTTTAATTGGACAGGGTCTTGCTAAGTTGTTATGTACCCCAGGCTGGGCTTACATTTATTTTATTTTAATTAATTTATTTATTTATTTTGGTACCAGGGATCGAACTCAGGAACTTGCCACTTGCAAGGCAGGTGTGGTGCCACTGAGCTAAATCCCTGGCCCTGGGCTTAAATTTATAATCCCCTCCTGCCTCAGCTTCCCAGAGTGCTAAAATTTATAGGTATGCACTACCCTACCCTGCCTGGCTGAAACCAAATCTTTTTTTTTTTTTTTTTTTTTTGGTACTGGGGATTGAACTCTGGTCCTTCCGCTTGCGAGGCGGGTGCCAGAACCACTGAGCTAAATTCCTGGCCCTTTGTTTTGAGACAGGGTCTCACTTTGTTGTTTAAGCTGACCTCGAACTTCAGGTGATCCCTCCTGCCTCAGCCTCCTGAATCTTAGGAATACAGGCCTACACCACCACACCTGGCCAGCCCATAGGTTTTTTTGGATGAGATGCTAGAGGGTAAAAAGCTGACCTAAACCTTTTCAAATGTGGGGATTGTTTCCTGTTCAGACACCTACTGTTGAATTTTGTTGCCACCGGTGAACATCCAGCAGAGAGGAAGGAGTCCTGTTGATTCCCAGTTTTCTGAGGCAGATTTTCATTGTTAGCACAAGGTTATGCCTATACAGGGTCTCACAAAGTTGCCCAGGCTATCCTTGAATTTGAGTCCTCCTGCCCCTCACAAGTTGCTGGAATTATAAACATTTGCCGCCATGCTTGCCCCCCACCAAGCATTTTTAAAGCAAGTTAGAAGTATTTTGTATATATAGTCTCATACATACAGTTAATATTTATTAAATTCCAGTTGAATATTATATAACCTATACTCTGCTAAACTTAATTTTTTTCTATCTTTAATTAGATATATAAGGGGTGTGTTGTACCTTGTTACTTTTTTTTATATCGTCTTTTGAGAGAGGAGAGTTACTAAAAATTTGTTCATTTAAAGATGAGCATATAGGTATTTGGTTCCCTGATACATGTGTATAAGAATGAGGGGTTTTCTTTAGAGGAATTGATTGCTATTTAGTCAAAAGTTGTTATCAGGATAGTTTTAGCCACGCATAGTAGTACGTACCTATAATCTCAGTACTTCAGAGGCTGAGGCACAAGGATTGCAAGACCAAGGCCAGTCTCAAAAAACTTTAATGAATTAAAAACATTTTATGCTTCTTCCAGAAGTATCAGACATTGTCTATTTTCTCTTACCTGTTTTTACAGTACCTCAGTTTCCTAACCCAAATCATTTTTTTTCTCCACTGACACCCTTCCACAACTCAGTCTGTCACTGGCTCTTTTTTTATACACCTGTACATCCTAGGACAGAAGTTTTCAGTAATAATTTAGTTGAAGACCTTGTAACTAAAGTTCTCACCACCATACTATTGTCATTAGTATTTAGTATTTGAGAAAATATCTGTGGGTGATAGAGACTAAATTCATATTACATAAACAGCCATGTGTTTTTTACTTTTATTTATTTATTTATTTGTTTATTTATTTATTTATTTATTTTAGTATATATATGCTGCCGAAGTGAGCACATACTTATTTATTTTGGTACCGGGGATCAAACTTGGGACCTTGCACTTGTGAGGCAGGTGCCAGAACCACTGAGCTAAATCCCCGGCCCCTACAGCCATGTATTTTTATTACACTTATGTCCTGTTTAGTTTTTTGATTTTGTGGGTTTTTCATTTTGTTTTGATACAAGGTCTCACTATGTAATTCAGGCTAGCCTTGAACTGACTGTGTAGCCCAGGTTGGCCTTGAGCGCGAAGGGATCCACCTGAGTTTTCTGAGCTGGGATTACAAGTGGGCACCACCATGCCAGCTTTACACTTATGTCCTCTTACAGATAAGTTCATAAAATTAATTTAAGGAGTCAGAAGTCACATAGAACAAGTCTCTCCTCTGTATCTTAATCCAAGCCCCCCTAAAAATAATTATACATTTTTAGTTTTTATTTTTTAAAAATTAATTATGATGGGCTGGGAATTTAGCTCAATGATTTCACCACCTGCTGCACAAGCGCAAGGACCTGAGTTCGATCCCCAGTACCAAAAAGGTACTCTTTAGGGCCAGGGATCTAGCTCAGTGGTGCCGCCGCCTGCCTCACAAGCATAAGGTCCCAAGTTCGATCCCCGATACCAAAAACAATTATAACTGTAGGGCTCAACAGGGTTTTAACTGATACAGAATAGGAAATTTGCACTGAGTGTGGTAGCTCACACTTGTAATTCCAGCACTTGGGAGACTTAAGGCAGAAGGATCACTGCAAGTTTGAGGCCAGCTTGGACTATGTAGTGAGTTCAAGGCCAGCCTAAACTACATAGTACACCCTGTCTCAGAAAAAAAAAAGGAATAAGAAACGTCCTTTCATATTAGGTATGCTGTTTTCTGTTTTTGAGACAGGATCTCGCTATGTAGTTCAGCTTGGCCTTGAACTTACTATGTAGTCCGTCCAGGCTGGCCTCAAACTCATGGCAATCCTCCTGCCTTAGCCTCCCAAGTGCTGGGACTACAGGCATGCACCACCATGCCCAGCCTTGCTGTTTTCTTTTCTTTGGCACAAGTCACACCGTTGCTTGAATTTATGTATAAATGACTCATATTAATCTAAAACTTCATGCTTTAATTTTTAGTATACATCATAGTATCAGCTGTTGAGTAGGTTATTTTTTAAAAACCCAACCTACTATATTTGATGCTATTTTACTCAGCTAAAAAGAGATTAGATACCAGAAATTTACCATCTGTCAGAAATATCCAAACACAGAGGAACTAAACATAGACCCAGAGAGAAAGCAAATAGGTTCTGAAGGACCCATCCAGAGCAATACCTTTTGACTGCGTACTTAAAAGTTTATTAAAAATGTGTTTGCACTTTGAATTTCTGGACTTATGAAATCGATTTTAAAATAATTTTCTTTTCATCACTTCACTTGATGACTTAAGTCTGACAGAGCATGCTTTTTTTTGGTACCAGGGATGGAACTCGGGTCCTTGCGCTTGCGCAGCAGGCGGCGAAACTGCTGAGCTAAATCCCCGGCCTCTAGCATGCTTGTTTTATAAAACAAGGAGTATCCAACAGGCATGGTAGCAGGTGCCTGTACCTGTAACCCCAGCTAGGGAGGCTGAGGCAGGAGGATAACAAGTTCAAGTCCAGCCTGGGCAACTTAACAAGAAGCGGGGGGAGGGGGTTTCTGGAGATGCAGTTCAGTGCTCCCTAGGTTCAGTCCCCAGTACCAAAAAAATCAAAAGATAAATTGAATAGTTTGGAGATTCCATGTAAGCAGTTGACTCCTTTCATTTACTGTTAGCAGAAAACATTAGGTGGATCTTGACTGTCCTCAGCTAATTCTTAAATAGTAAAATCATTGGGAGAAAAAAATAGAAGTGTTCTTCTTAATGTATCATTGAGTGTCTTGATACCCAACCATGATGCCTGATAATAATAACTAGATGCTCACTAAGCACTGAAAGAATGGCTGAATTAACTGTATTGTTCTACTTTAAGGTTAAAAACGACAATAAACGACAACCATGAAAGATCCAAGTCGCAGCAGTACTAGTCCAAGCATCATCAATGAAGATGTGATTATTAACGGTCATTCTCACGAAGATGACAATCCATTTGCAGAGTACATGTGGATGGAAAATGAAGAGGAATTCAACAGACAAGTTAGTTTGTAGTACAAATGTTTTTCATAGCCCATTACAGTCCTCAGTATGATTTTACTTGGCCCTGAAATGTGTTAATCTGGTCCTTTGTATGAAATGCTGTGTGTGGCTATATATGCTACCACTTCTGTTTTATTTGGCTGCTGATTATTACCAAGCCTAACTGCTCATTGAAATTAGCTGAGGAGCTTGTTCCAGGGTGCCACCCTGGAGATTCTGATTCAAGAGGACTAGTACCAGGGATCGAACTCTGGACCTTGCGCTTACAAGGCAGGCAGCAGAACCACTGAGCTAAATCCCAGTCCCTGGGAAACTTTTTGAAAAGCTCCCAGATGGTTCCTGTGAGCAATCAGGTTTAGAAACCACTGTATTACACCAGATTGTTGTATTGCAGTGCAAGTGGAGGGAATTCTGAAATTGGGAGCAGATGGACACAGGTACTAGGATGCAGAATTATGCTTTTTCATCTAAGATCCTCAAATCTGATCAGCCTAAAAAATCTGGTATCACTGGTGAGAGAACTGTCATACATTGTCATACAATGTTGTCTTTTATTTCTGTATTTTTGGCATCTTTTTCCATCTTCTTTCTCATTCTTCCCTTTATTATAGTTTTGGTAATCAGTGAACAGTTTGACTTCTCCATATCCAGTGATGGACATTCTAGAGCAGTGTTGGTGAACCTATGGCATGCATGCCACGGCCGGCTGTTTGTATCACTGAAAGCTCTGAAAAGGTTCACCATCACTGTTCTAGAATAAAACAGTTCAATCTTATTTCAGTGAGTCTCAATTGGTGTGTTATGTTTCATTTTTTGTTTCAGTGCTGGGGATGGATCCCAGGGCCTCATGAATGCTAGGATCAGTGCGGGGGGTGGGGGTTTTCTTTTTTTTTTTTTGGTACAGGGATCAAACTCGGGTCCTTGTTGCCTGCCCAGGCGGCGAAACCACTGAGCTAAATCCCTAGCCCCAGGGTTGTTTTGATTACTTGTGCTGTGACCCTAGTCCCAAGAGATTTTGTTTTAGAGTTTGAATGAGAGTTTGTACAGTTTTAAGGTATTACAGGTAATTCTGATACACACTCCTTAAAGAGAGCACTCCTTTATTCATTCATTCATTCTCTGCTTGCCATCCTCAGTGGGAAAAAAACCTCTAATACAAAGTAAAGATACAGAAAAATGCTAAACAGATCTTCCTGGGTCTTTATAATAAAGTAAGCTGGAGTTTTGTTTACTTTTGATTTTGGTTTTGTTTTTTTTTCTTTTTGGTGTTTTTTTTTTGGTATCAGGGATCAAACTCGGGACCTTGCACTTGCAAGGCAGGTGGTGGCCCCACTGAGCTAAATCCCTGGCCCTGGTTTTGGTTTTTAGGGCAGTTTTTTGTTTTGGGGTTTTTTTTTTAAATTTTATTTTATTTTTGGTACCAGGGATCAAACTCAGGTCCTTGCACTTGCGCAGCAGGTGGTGAAACCACTGAGCTACATCCCCAGCTGTTTTTGGTTTTTTGAGACAGGGTCTCACTATGCAGTTCAGGCTGGCCTTGAACTCACGATGTAACCCAGCCTGGCCTCAAACTTGTGGTTATCCTACTGCCTTAGCTTCCTGAGTGCTGGGATTATAGCATGCACCATTCCTGGCTAGGACACTTTATATTTTTAAATAACAAAACATTTATGGTACATTTTAGGCATATATAATGATAACACTCATAGAGAATTTGTACCTGTATATGGTACATCCCGGTTCTTTTTTCCCATTTCCCCTCTTCCCCTCTCTATGTACAAAAGCTGTTTCCATTTTTTCCTTCTATTTTCACTTTTTTTCTTGTCCTTTCCTCCCTTTCTTCCTCCTTCCTCCCTTTTTCCCCTTCCCATTTGAATATTTTCTTTCCATTTCCCAATATCTGTTACACATTTTAGTCCTTATTTCCACTTTTGATTTCTCACACCAAGGACACTTTTTATTTGTAAAAATGTTTTTTATGTCTGCCAGGGATTAAACCCAGAAATGATGCATGCTTAGCATGTGCTGTACTGCTGAGCTACACCCCCAGCCCCAACATTTTGGTTTTGAATGGGTTATTTTCAGCTACCCCCAGTGATGTGTTACTAAGGGTGCTATAAATTATCTTTCTATTTATTTATTGTAAATCTAGATAGAAGAGGAGTTGTGGGAAGAAGAATTTATCGAACGCTGTTTCCAAGAAATGCTGGAAGAGGAAGAAGAACACGAGTGGTTTATTCCAGCTCGAGATCTCCCACAAACTATGGACCAACTCCAAGACCAATTTAATGACCTTGTTATCAGTGATGGCTCTTCTCTGGAAGATCTTGTGGTAAAAGTTACTTTTCATCTTTTTAGACCTTAGCTCATCTTTCCCATAAGTGGAAAGCCAGCTACCATCTATTTAAGAAGAGTTCTGCATCTCTTCCCCTTCCAAAATTACACCGCTTCCTACAGTGGAAGCAAGGGCCTCCAGTTCTATTGACATGGAGATGGAGTGACTTCTGGCCACACCCATGGAGTCTTAGACCACTAACAGACTTGCCTCTGCTTTTAGCCATCATGTTATCTTTTAGACATCATGTTGCCATAGGGTACTTGTCTTAAAAGAATCTAGAAGGATGCACAGTATTATCATATGACTTGTCTGTGCACAAGTACCTTGCTCTTTAATCTTGACCTAAATATTTGGTAAAATTTACAAAATTTGCTTTGTTTCCTATTTTGTTTTTTGAGACAAGAACTCACTATATAGTTCAAGCTGGCCTTGAATTCACCATGTCATCCAGGCTTGTCTCAGACTTGCAGCATTCCTCCTGCTTCAGCCTCCCAATTGTGCCACCCTGCTAGGCTTGTTTTGTTCTTGTGTTAAGGATTGAACCCAGGGGTGCTCCACCACAAAGCTCCATCTCCAGCCCTCCCCCCTTTTTTCAGCCCTTTTTAATTTTGACACGGTCTCACAAAGTTGCTTAGGCCAGCCTTGAACTTAGGATCCTTTTGCCTCATCCTCTCACATAGCTGGAATTATAGGCATGCACCACCATGCCTGGCCCAAAATTTGATGTAAAAGATAAAATTATGGAGATCTTCTCTTGACCCAGGGTTTTTGTTGAGGTATCCAGTTCATTTGGAACTGTGATAAAATAGGAAATTTCAAAAGCACATGGCAAAAAAGGAACACAAACCTAGATTTGCATTTTGTTATTGTCTTTTTTTTTTTGGTACCGGGGATCAAACTCGGGTCCTTGTGCATGCGCAGCAGGCGGCAAAACCACTGAGCTAAATCCCCAGCCTTGTTATTGTCTTGTCTCATCACTGATGTTATATTTGCCGTCAAAAGTTTTTTCAGGATCTGTGGTAACTAAACATCACTAAAGTTGAATTCTTACTAAAATCAAGATAAAAGAATTTTTCAGGCCAGGGATTTAGCTGAGTGGTTCCGCCACCTGCCTCACAAGTGCACGGTCCCGAGTTCAATCCCCAGTGCCAAAAAAAAAAAAAGGAAGAATTTTTGGCTGGGTGTGGTGATACTCACCTGTAATCCCACACTCTGGAAGCTGAAGCAGGAGGTTCATAGGTTTGAGACCAGCTACATAGTTCAAGGCCAGTGTGTACTTCCATAGAAAAACCCTAATCTCAAAACAAAATTATTTTGGCCAGGCATGGTGGTACATACCTGTAATCCCAACTACTGTGGAGGCTGAGGCAGGAGGATCATTCACACAAATAATCTCTCATTGCCTCTACCAAATAGTTCTCTGGGATTTATCCACTGGACTCTGAAGTGTTTTGTTTTGTGTGGTGTGTGTTTGTCTTTAGCAGTTGTCTTCTGTTAACTGCATTAATTTCCTAATTTGTGTATCTTAATTACCTATGAAGCATCACAAAAATCAGCTCCTCAGCTGCATTCTACACTTGGAGACTCAGTCTTTTAAGCATTTTAATTTTTAAAAAACACCGCAGATGATTTATTATACAGCTGTCCTGCCCATCAGGCATTCAGAAAACATTCTTCTAAAACAAAAGCACTGAAATTTACCTGATGGTATAGTATAGCCTTTGTTGTAGTAAATGACTTAACCCAGTTGACCAGATATATAATTTTAAGAGTCTAGCCAGGGATTTAGCTCAGTGGCACCACGCCTGCTTCACAAGCACAGGGTCCTGAGTTTGATCCCTGGTACCAAAAAAGAGTCTGTTGCAATCATACTTGCTTATGGCTACATTAGTCATGTCATGCCCTGATGAGTAAAGCTTCTTGCTAGGCTAAATGTACAGTATAACTTGATTGATTGATTGATTGATTGATTGATTGATTGATTGATTTTTTTGAGATAGGGTCTTGCTATGTAGTTCATGCTAACCTTGAACTTGTGGCAATCCTCCTGCCTCAGATTCTGGAGTGCTGGGATTATAGGCATGTACCACCATGCCTGGCTTGTGGAGTATAACTTTAATCTGAACCCAGTATAAATCCATAAATCAGAAACTGGTTTGTTCTTTTCATTCTATTTAAGATTCATTTGTTCTTACTCTTTTATAACTGCCAGAATATTGTGTATTTAAGAATACTGTTTATCTACACTTTTGACTTTTTTGTGTATATGTGATGTTGCAGATTGAAGCTAGGGCCTCAAGCATTCTGAGCAGATGCTCTTATCGCTAAACTACATCTCTACCTGTAAACTGTACGCTTGTTTGACATATTTCCTGTGGGAGAAAGGAGAATAGATCCTGTCCAAGGAAGTTGTTATGTATAAGTTATGAAACTCACTTTGTAGCCCAGGCTGGCCTGGAACTCATGTCCATCCTCCTGCCTCAGCCTCCTGAGTTGCTAGGATTACAGGCATGCACCACCATGCCTAGCTCTCGTTTTCTTTTTATCATTGCTCTCCAAAATGCAATAGAGGAGTTCCAGCTATTCTTCCTATACACCTGATGTGTCAACTTAGGGAAGTAAAGATTTAGAAGCTTAGAATAATATTGGTACATGTCTCTACAGCTCCTAGAGACTTTCTCCATTTTGTTCAAACTGTTACAAAAATGGAGTCTCAGAGGCCAGAGATTTAGCTCAGTGGTGCCGCACCTGCCTTGAAAGCTCAAGGTTCTAAGTTCAATTCCCAGTACGCTCCCAAAAAAATGGAGTCTCAGGGTGATTTATCCTTGCACACATAGAACACGTAGATAGGGACAGAGCTGAGACTTCGAACTTAGATCTTCTGGCTCCCCATGTAGTTTTCTTTTCCTGTTACATACCATGCCTCCTGTGGGAATTAGAAGACAGCAGTTGTAGCAAAACAGCTTCCACGTTTTCAGTAAGGATCATAAAGTAAAATTAATCCATCAGCAATCTCCCATTTACTTTAGTCACAATCTCAACACTTGTTTAGCATGTTTCCATGATACGAAATGTTTTAAGAAAGTGAAGGATAGTTGTTAAACTAACAATTCCTTTAGTTTATGTGAAGTTGGTGGATATCTGGTTATACTTCAGCACACTTAATTTCAATTTCTACTTTCTCTTTAGAAAGTTGATACAATTTTATGTAATATAGTATTTAGCTTATATCTGGGTCCTCCTTTTCTAGCCATAAATTTTTTTGGGTGAAGCCTAATGTGAGTTTTTGCTTTCATTTTATATATTTTAAGAAGGTATTTTTGCATGTGGATCTAGGCTGAATGCTTCTAAGTATCTGAAGCCATTTATAATGAACTTGATTTTTTTTTTTATGTACTTCTTTTCCAGGTCAAGAGCAATCTGAATCCAAATGCAAAGGAGTTTGTTCCTGGGGTGAAGTACTAAAATATTTGAGTAGACGGGGCCCTCTTTTGGTGGATGTAGCACAATTTCCACACTGTGAAGGCAGTATTAGAAGACTTAATTGTAAAAGCTCTCTTGTCACTGTGTTACACTTATGCATTGCCAAAGTTTTTGTTAGTCTTGCATGCTTAATAAAAGTGCTGAGACTGTTATTAAGTAAAAAGCTGTCAAACATTTACTGAAAATAGAATTGGCCCCATAGCCAATGTAAAGACAGTGAGGAAAGAAGCACCAGTCAAGTTGTGACAAAGCACCGAATTAAACAAACTAAATCTTAACTAAATTATCATCTTTGAGACTAAACTGGTCCCTTAGGATTAACTAACACTTGTTAATGTCTACACTTTGTAGAAATGAGTAAATTTAAATTACATTTCACATTTCTCAGTTGCATTTGTCCTTATAAGAAGAATCTCCTTGAGGCAGGAGGATTGCTGTGTGTTGGAGGCCAGCCTCAGCTACATAGTGATTTCAAGGCCAGCTTAAACTATATATAGCAAGAGCCTGTCTCAAAAACACAAAACAAAAAATATTTTTCTGAAAAATACCTGGTAATTTGAAATAACTCTGTGTCGTTGGTGACTGAGGTAACAAGGTAATGATAGATAAGAGCTAGTGCTGGCTTTTCTGGTACGTTATCGTGTTAGAAATACTGAATTCAAGGCCAGGGATTTAACTTAGTGGTTCCGGGGCCTTGCCTCGCAAGCGCAAAGTCCTGAGTTCGATCCCTGGTAGAAGAAAAAGAAAAAGAAATACTGAATTCTTCTAATGATACATTTGAGGAATATGTGATTTGAGAATCGTGTCTTCTGAGGATTCACCTCATCACAGCCATATCTGTGTGAAGTCTAATTTGGGACAAATGCCAGCCTGTAATCCAGTTGAACAAAGAGATTGTTACGTGATTTGAATGGTGCTTTTCCTTGCTTTGTTAACCATCATGACAGTAGTCTGCAGCACAACTTTTCTTTTTAACAAAGCTAGAACAGTTTTGGCTTCTTAAACTTCATATTTGGGTAGGTTAAGCTGCCATACGTGTTCAGTGTGAATAGTGTTTAAGTTGAAAATATTGTAAAAAAATTATATTTTTTCAAAAATATTTAAAAAAAATAAAATAATAGTAGAACTGAACTGATGTTGTGTTTATTGATGCTAGACTACAGATTCTCTAGTGATGATATTCACTTTAATGTGGACTCTCAGTACAACCTCGTGGGCAAAACATGCTGAGAAAGCAGGACTCCTTAGAATCCATAGTAGCAAGTATGTTGCTGTGTATGTATCTTTCCACAGAACATTAGTGCAATAAACCCAGCCACCCTGTGCTTGCTTTTTGTTGCCAGAAACTGCAGTATGAAGGCAATAGTAGATAGCTGTGTTAGGAAACTATGGAACGGATAAGCCTATAGCTCAATGGTAAAGCACTTGCCTAGCATGCATGGACCTCTGGCTTCAGCCCTCAGTACCCCAAAAAGAAAAAGAAATGATGACTGACCAATATAATGGTAGCCTCATGACAGTATAATATCATAGGTTTCTGGGTCAGGGATTTAGCTCAGTGGTTCCACTGCCTGCCTCACAAGCTAAGGACCCAAGTTCGATCCCCGGTACCAAAAAAAAAAAAAAAATTATAGGTTTCTGTCCTTCAGTGGGACTCGAGATTATAAAACTGAAAGTTAAGATCCTTCAATGGGACTCGAGATTATAAAACTGAAAGTTAAGATCCTAATGTCATTTTTGGCTTGTATTCATAGGAAGTTCTGGAAGTCTTTTATTTATTTGTACATGCATGCAGTTCTGGGGACTGAACCATGGCCCTTGCACATTCTAGACAAGTGCTGTGCCACTGATCTACAGCTACAACCCCAACAGGGGTCTTTTTAAATTTTTTGTTTGTTTATTTAGAAATAAACTATTCATTCACTATTATAGTTCAGGCTGGCCTTGAACTCACAGTGATCTCTGCCTTAGCCTCCTGAGTGCTGGGATTATAGGTGTGCGTCACCACCCCCCTTTAAATAAACTAGTAAGTGGTGGGGGGGGGGGATTTGTTTTTTCCTGTAGTGGAGATTAAATGACTTTTTTTTGGTACCAGGGATCGCATACTTTGCTTTTTTAAAGAAAAATGTTTAAGCCATGATTCAACCACTCAGTCCCTAGTTCTCTAACAGCTCGTTATCACAAGTGGCACAGCCAACTGCCAAATATATGTGACTTACAAGTTCTTTCCCTCTGAGCTCAGGGGCAAATGAGTTCACTTCCACATAACTTCTGAATAATTGCAATGCGGTATAATAGCCACCAATTAGAAAGGCACCATAACCTAATGATCAAGTGCAAAGATTCTAGCCAAACTTCTTGGATATGATTGCTGTGATCATGAAACTGTTTCTTGTGCCTTTGTTCTGCACATATTGGAAATGCTGACAGGACATTTTTTAAAGTTTTGGATTTCGGGGCTGGGAATTTAGTTCAGTGGTGCCTGTGCATGCCTGGAAAGGGCAAGGGCAAGGTCCTGAGTTTGATCCTTGGTACCAAAAAAAAGAAAAATGTTTTGGATTTCAGTGTTTTGTTTATTTTGCAGTACAGGGTCTATCTCACGCATGCTAGGTATATTGGATGGCCATCTCATGTAGCATTTTAGATTTCAGACTGTAGAGATGCTTAACCAGAAATGTCTATACAAATATTCCAGAATCCAACAAAGATTTCTGATACTGAGAATTTCAGTAAAGGATCTTCAACTTGTAATAAGAATTATCTACCTCCAGACTGTGATTATTGCTATACATCAAGCACTCAAGACAGTTCTGACATATTGAAAGTCCTGTTTAAGTGATGGCTCTTCCTGTTTTATTTTGTCTTTTTTTTTGGTACCAGGGATCGAACTCAGGTCCTTGCACTTGTGCAGCAGGCGGCGAAACCACTGAGCTAAATCCCCGGCCCTCTGTTCCTATTTTTAAAAAGTCTAGGGAGTGTAGTTCCATGGTACAGCATGTGTTTCACATGTGTAAAGCCCCAAGTTCAGTCCCTAGCACCATCAAAGAGGAAAAAAACCTTGGGTTAATGGTGCACATGTACTCCCAGCTTCTCAGAAACCTGAGGCAGGAGGATCACAAGTTCAAGGGCCAGCCTGGGGAAGTTAGACCCTGTCTGAAAATTTTAAAAAAAATTTTAAGGGCTAGGGATGTTGTTTAGCAATCTCTTTGTTCAATCTCCAGTTCTTAAAAAAACAGGCAGGCCAGGGATTTAGCTCATTGGTACCGTGCCTCCCTCAAAAGTGCAAGGTCCTGAGTTCGATTCCCATTACCAAAAAAAGAAAACAAGGCTCATCTCTTAGAACTATCTGCCTGCCAATAGGAACATGCGCATTGAAACCACTTCAGTGTTTAGAGCACCTTCTGCATTTTGCATTCCTGGTGGATATGTAAAGTTTCACTATCAGCTGCACACATATTTGAAGCCCTGGGGACAAATGATCATCTCATCAGGGCTTGTCCTGGTGTAGTTTTAGGGTTACTGAAGTCATCCTGTTTCAGAGAACTTAATTTTACGACCTCAATTGAAATAAGACCGTATACAGGAGAGGATTTTTCCATTTTGCTGTCAGGATTTGTTAGCCTTTTCCTGACTTTTCCAATGTCAGGTATTTGTCCAACATACTGGAAATGCCCATGACTAGCTGATGGACTCTAGTTGGCCTAGATTGTCTCCAGGTGTTTGGAAAGATAAATATTTCACAAACTTGTATCTACTTAGTGGCCAATGCAAGCTGGGAAAGTTCCACTCTAATTATAAAATGACTAAGGAATTCCACCTAGAATCCATATATGGACTTTGCCGAGTCCACCTTCCCCTTAAGGGAACCCAAAGAGGTCGCAAAATGGAAACTGAGTAGTTTGGGTTTTCTTTTGATGAGACAAAAATGTTTTGGTTATGCAGCCATCCGACAAAAGCCATCAGCGTATCTTACCTTTTTTGGAAGTAACTTTTTTCAGACCTTGGTGCACACAGATACAGCTTCTGTATTTTCTGGAGTGTCTTCTTGAACTGGAGGGTGGTTTTTTGATCTCAAAGAGAATCCTTTGAAGACTGGGCAGATGGGAATGTATTTCAGAAAGGCAATCTTTTTTACTGTGTCCATCCCAATGGGGAAATCGTAACTCTTCAGGCTGGCAGATGTCTCACTGTTGGCATGGGCCCCAGCTTTCCACTGAATCAGGCCTCGTTCCTCGGGGCTCCCTGGAAGAGGACAGTGGGGTCATTTACCAAGGCCAGCAAGACCTCCTACCTCCCTTCAAGTAACCTGGTCCTAAGACAGACTTGTAAATTTTTTTTGGTACCAGAGATCGAACTCAGGTCCTTGCGCTTGCACAGCAAGCGGTGAAACCACTGAGCTAAATCCCCAGCCCCCAGACTTGTAATTTTTTAAAAAATTTTTCTGTGATGCTGAAGATTGAACCCAGAACCTCACACGTTCTAGGCATGTGCTTTACCACTGAACTGCACACATATCCTTCAAGTGTCAGCTGGGTGTGGTGGTGTGTGCTTGTAATCCTAGGACTCTGGGAAGCTGAGTCAGGAGAATTGCAAGTTTTACTCAAGCCTGGGCAACTTGGCAAGACCCTGTCTCAAAAAATAAAAAGGGGGAAGGAAAAAAACAAAAGGGCATGGGCCTGGGATTTAGCTCAATGGTTCCACTACCTGCCTCACAACCGCAAGGTCCCAAGTTTGATCCCCAGTATGAAAGAATAAAAAGGGCTGGAAATGTAGCTCAACATAAGGGCCAAGTTCAATCTTCAGGTGGTGGGGGTCAGGGGTGTTTTGTTTTTACTTTCCTGCAAGTTAACAGCTGGAGAAAGCTATGCTGGTCCATAGTTAAAGACTGGGTTGTCTTTAACAACATTAAAACCCAGCCAGGCCTGGGTTTGAATGCAGGTTTTCTGACCTCCGTCAAGTAACTTGACCATTCTGATCTTTGTGTTCCTCATCAAAGCAGATTAAAGGGCTGTTGAAAATTATGTGGTGTAACACAGATGATTGCTGAAGCTCAGTTGGGTTGAAGGTCGGTGACATGAAGGACTAAGCCAGGTAGTTTGAGGTGATTTTACAGCTGCCCACTCAGAGGCCCTATATCTTGCTAGATTTTCTAGGCATCAAAGCTGCCATTTCACTGTCTCAGAACCACAAGCGGGCCTGATCCAGCCCCAGCCTGGCCTCTCCTCTGAATGGGGAAGTTAAGTGCCATGGTTGAGTTGCTACCCATCTATCCAAGGGACAGCTACTGCCAAGACTCCCTCATTCTTAACAGGCATGGTGCACATAATCCCAGTCCTCTTGAGAGGCTGAGACAGGAGGATCATAAATTTGAGTCCAGTCTGGGAAACTTAGTGACTTGGTGAGACACTGACGTAGGATCCAAAGGCCCTGTGTACTATTCTGCTTTTCAAAAAACAAAACAGCTGGCCGGATATAGTGCCACACATCTATAATCCCAGTACTCAAGAGGCTGAGGCAGGAGGATAACTGAGTGGTTCTGGCACCTGCCTCACCAGCACAAGGTCCCGTGTTCGAGCTCTGGTACCAAAAAAAAAAAAGATTTGTGCTGTCCAGTTTTGAGACTGACCTTGTGGTCATAGTTTTTAAGGATAAAATAAGATACTTAGCTCTATGTCTGACTTATAAATCTTTAGTAAATGTTAACTGTGCTTATTAGAGTGCCTAATGACATTCAGTTTTTTACACATTCACTGGGCACACTTGTGTGTATCCTGCACAATCCCTACAAAATGCCCCATTACCAAAGGTACATGTTGAGGTTCTTCAATTAGCATATATCTGCTAACATATTTGGAGTGGATTTTACCAACAAATTGATGTGTTTATATCTGACTATTCTATGAAAAAGATAATTCTCAAACAAGTGGCTATAAAGAAATGGTGAGGAGGGCCAGGGATTTACCTCAGGGGCCAGGGATTTAGCTCAGTGGTTCTGCCACCTGCCTTGCAAGCGCAAGGACCCGAGTTCCATCCCCAGTACCAAAAAACAAAAAAAGAAATGGTGAGGAAAGGGAGCCAGGCACGATGGTGCACATCTGTAATCCTAGCTGAGGCAGAAGGACCACAAGTTCAAGGTCAGCCTGGACAACTTAATAAAACCCTATCTCAAAAAAGGCTAAGGATGAAAAAGTTTTTAGCAGTTGTACCCTAGACAAAGGACTACTATCTAGAATATATAAAGAACTGAAAAAAATCAAAGACCCAATTCAAAAAGGGCATCTGAAATGAACAGACATTTCTCAGACAAGTAAAAGCAGCAAATAAATATATGAAAAAAATGTTCAACGTCACTGGTCATTCGAGAGACGCAGATAAAAACAACACTGAGATTCCACCTCACCCCAGAAAGAATGGCTGCTATCAAGAAATCAACCAATATGGGCAGGGGATTTAGCTCAGTGGTTTCGCCGCCTGCTGCGCAAGGGCAAGGACCCGAGTTTGATCCTTGGTACCAAAAAAAAAAAAAGGGCCAGGGATTTAGCTCAGTGGTTCTGCTGCCTGCCTCACAAGCCCAAGGTCCCAAGTTCAATCCCCAGTAGAAAAAAAAAAAAGAAAAGAAATCAACCAATAACAAATGCTGACGGGGGTGTGGGGAGAAAGGAACCCTTCTCCATTGTTGGTGGGAGTGCACACTGGTGCAACCACTGTGGAAATCAGTATGGAGATACCTCAAAGAAATAGGACTAGAGGTCCCATTTGACCCAGCTATCCCCCTGCTGGGTATCTTCCCAAAAGAATTAAAAGAATCATACCACAGCGATATATGTGCAGCCATGTTTATAGCGGCACAGTTTGTAATAGCTAAAACTTGGAAACAGCCCAAGTGCCCATCAACTGCAAACTGGATAAAGAAGATGTGTTATTTTTATAAAATGGAGTACTACTCAGCCATAAAGAATGACAAACTAGAGACATTTATAGCTAAATGGATCCGTATTGAGGCCATACTATTTTTGGGTTGTTTTTTTTTTTGTTACTGGGGATCGAACTCAGGTCCTTGCGCTTGTGCAGCAGGCGGTTGAAGCCATACTCTTAAGTGCAATAAATAGGACACGTGTAAATACCAAATAGTTTCTCTAGTGTGAGAAACTAAAAGTGTAAATAAGGGTTAAAATGATTAAATAATTGATAATTTGAAATAGGAAGAAAAGGTCCAAAGGGGTAGGGATGGTTGGAGGGGAAGGGGAAAGAAGGGAAAGGAAAAATTATGGGAAAAGAAAAAAAATGGAAATGAAGTCTATGTAAATAGGGAAGGATGGAGGGGGTGAAGGCCACACAGGTAATGGAGAAGAAATAAGAACTAAGATACATCATGTTCAGGTACAAACACCCAATGATAAATGTAAATGTATTGTATACCTAAAATGTACCAATAAAAGAATTAAAAAGAAAAAAAAAAAGGCTAAGGATGTAGCTCAGTGGTAGACCACTTGCCTAGCATGCTTGAAGTCCTGGAGACAGACACACACACACACACACACACATATGCACACACACACAGAAAAGGAAAGCAGACTTTCTTTCACGGGACCCAGAAATGATTCCTGCCCTCACCCACTCCAAGACCTACAAGGCATGTCTGTGCCTGTCTTTCCCTCTGACCAGCAGGCATGGCAGCAGCCCATCTGCTCCTACAGCGCCCACCTGGCATCAGATCTGGCCACATCTCCAGCTCAGTGGCCATCTGGTGGACTGTATATGAGTCAAATCTTGCTCTGTGCTTCCCTTGTAAGGCTGACCCATACCTGGCACTGTGTTGTCCAATATGAAAGCAAGGCATCCGCCCACAAACATCTCCGTGGTCAGCAACACAGTCAGAATCTGGTCCACTTCTGGAATACCTGTGGAACAGGCCAAGGGGCAAACTACTGACATCCTTGAGCAGTCATGGCCAGGGAACTGCACAAAGCCCTGACTTTCAAGTTCATCTTTACTTCTCTCTCCCATCTTTGGTTCAAAGCCCAGTTCTGTCAGCTGCTGGTTGTTGACTTGGGACAAGTCATTTAATCATGCTAAGAGATGATAACAGTATCAGTCACATGGAGCTTTTTTGAAAATTACATAGCATATGTAAATAAATGCTCAATACCTATCCACAGAAAGTGTTTTAGTAAAGGATAGCTACTAATTAGCCTCTCCAATACTAATGTCCAGAGTTAAGAAGGATTTGTGGCTCTGCCTGTGTGAAGCTTTGGAGGGAAAGGGCTGTGCTCAGAGTTTTTTGTTTTGGGGGCTTTTTTTTGGTACCGGGGATCGAACTCAGGACCTTGCGCTTTCGAGGCAGGAGCGGGAACCACTGAGCTAAATCCCCAGCCCCAGAGTTTTTGTTTTTAAAGTGCTGGGGATCTAACCAAGGACCTTGTGACTGCTAAGCAAGCGCTCTACCACTGAGCTACACATCCCCAGCGCGTGTTTTGGGTCCACCCCCACCCCAACAGCTAGGGACTAGACAGCCAGGAAGCACCTGTGTTGATGACTCCAGGGTTAGAATCCAGGTAATTAGGCAACGTGAGCCCGAAGAACATGGGAAATCCCAGCACAAAAAGGTTGCGGGAGGAGTTCATGTCCACAAACTGCAGGTTGGACAACCCCACAGCCGTAATCATGCCTGCGAGGAAAGAAAAACACAGACGCCTCGGGCTGAGTGAATCCCACCACTCAGCGACCCGTGCCTCGCACCCAGGCCCAAGCCAAGCACTCACCGAAGAGGGTGCAGAACATGCCCCCCAGAATGGGGTCAGGGAGCGAGGCGAACAGAGCAGTGAATTTGCCGACGGCGCCCAGGACCAGCATGATACCAGCACCGTACTGCACCACACGGCGGCTGCCCACCTGCCAGGAAGCCGGGACGGGACCAGGGCCAGGGCGGGTTAGTGGTAGAACTAGGCCTAAGTAGGCGGGGCTTTTTAGCTAGGGGTGGGGCCTGTCAAACACGGGATGGGGCCAGGTCAGGGTGGGGACGGGGTGAATGGAAGCAAGACGGAATTTTTGTGCTGCCCTGGTTGGTGGCGGCACCTTGGTAATCCCTAGGACGCCAATATTTGGACTTGACGAGGTGGACCCGTTGCCGGTGCCCAGCAGTCCTGCGATAATGCAGCAGATGCCTTCGGTGAAGATGCCCCTGTAAACGAAAGGACCAGTTGGGGCTTACTCCAGCCCCTTCACGGGCTGTGTCCTCCCATCACCTGTCACACTTCCTCCCCCTCTGGGGCGGTTTGGGCTGTCATTGTGGGTGTGAAGTCCTCCCCCTCCAGGTCACAAAGAGGTCTGGAAGCTAAGAGCCCTGGTAGCGACGCGGGTCCCAGGGTCCTGGCATTTACTCTCCTGGGCAATTGGACTTTAATATCCTCATCTGTACAGTGGAGATACAGTGGAGTGGAGCCTGTCTCATGGCTATTGGATTGCCTGGAAGAAGGCACATGAACACCTGGGCACGTGAAAGGTTGTCGGTGACTGTGGCTTCCCTCCAACTGTTACCTCCTCGGCTCCCAAAACTCAGAGTAAGTGATGCGAGGCCTCTTTCCATTACCAAGGAAAATGAGGTCTGGAGGTGTGAATGACTTGCCCACCCAAGTCTGCACCTCTTGGGACTCAACCCCACCCCTATGTGAGCTTCCTGAGTGGCCCCTCTGGGGTCGGAGATTGAGGTGGGCAGGGAGCATACCTATTGATTGCATGGACTGGAGGGGGCGGGGCACCTGCCAGGCGGGCGCAAGCATAGTAATCGCCAATGGACTCGATGATGCCTGCCAGGGTGGCACTGAACATTCCCAGGACAGCAGCCACTGTCACTGTGGGCAAGCCCCACTGACCTGGATGGGGAGGCAAGAGGACGGATACAGTGAGGAGCCTGTGGTGGATTGGGAATGGATAGGGCAATTCTTGAGGGATAGAGAAGGTGGGGGAGAGGTCTCAAGCTGGGGTAGGGGCCATGCAATTATGGGAGCTTATCTGGGTTATTCAGAGGCATGGAGCTGGAGTGAGGCTTTGTCTGAGATAACACTTCTCTTCTTGGCACACAATAACTCTGTGGCTAACCTGGACACGGGCACAGTGGCGCATGTAATTCCAGCACTCTGAGAGGCTGAGGAGGATCACGAGTTTCAGTCCAGCCTGAGCAACATAGTGACTTAGTGAGACTGTCTCAAAATTAAAAAAGGCTGGGGACATAGCTCAGTGCAAAGACCTTGGGTTCTATCTCCAGTACTAGGGAGGAGAAAAGAAAAAAAGAAAACTCTGTGGTTAGTGCTAGTTGTGTCATCAGATGAACTGGGGTCACCAGGGATCTCACAGTGTCTGAGTCAGGGGTGGAAAGGCCCAAGCTTGGGTGCTTACAGGGATAGGGGATGCGGATCCAGGGTGAAATAGCCATGATATCCCCACGAGCATCAGTTCGTGCCTGGAAGCCATAAGCTGTCGGATCTGAGGGCAGCACATCTGTCAGTGTCAGCACATAGCAGAGGAGCCACACGGTCATAATGGCCAGCACAATCTGAAGCAGAGTGAGTCGAGGGGTAGCAACAGGTGCTGCAGGCCTCCATCCAGACTAACCCACTTCTACCTCAGCCCAGCCCAACTCCAGCCCCAGACTTAGCCCCTGCTGTGGTTCTGACTCCAGCCCCAACACCTGCCCCAACCCCTGGCTAGGAAGGACAACATCTCTGCTCTGGTTCCCATGCTATCTCTGCCTTTGCAATCCCTCACCTAGGCCCTGCCCTAGTCCCAGCCCCAGCTGCCTGTCAGCTCCTCACAGGAAACATCTTGAAGATCTGGATTCGGAAAAGAGTGAGGCCCTTGCTCCATCGGTAGACAGGCAGCAGGAAGGCGACATTGCGAAGGTACTGGGAGAAGAGGACGATCAGGAGAATGGAGCTGGGGGCAGAGGCACAAGGAGGAGGTGGCTGGTAGTCCAGGCTGGGGACAGGAGCCAAGACTAAAGGGACAGAACAGGAAGGAGTTGGGAGGCAGGGGATGGGGCTGGGAAGGAATCAGGCCTGGTGCCTGCTCACCAAGCTGAGATGCCCCAGTGGGAGCCAGCTCGGTCGCCAGCAGCTTGGAAGACGGAGAGGCCAATAAGAGAGACAGTGGGGGTGACCGTGAGAGGCCCAATGTAGCTGAGGAGGGCCCCAGGCAGCCCTGTCAGCCCGATCACCACCTCCACTATGCTGGACACCATGATTGCACCCTGGATCTAGAAGGGCAAAGACAGCTGTAAGTCACAATATAAAGACCATGGGCTGGCCACTAGCAATTCTTAGACCACCTCCTCAAGTGCCTCCAACTCAACAGGGGCCTTTATTCCCATCTATCCCCCTCTTTGGCTCCTGGCCCTTGTACCCACCTCTCGCATCCGTGGGTGCCAGATATGAGAGGTGTTCAGAGGCAGACTCCAGTTACCGTAGATCTCCTCTGGGGCAGAGAGGGACACACAGAGGGAGACAGGGAGGGACAGAATTCAGGACAGCTGCCCAGACCTACAGGCCCCTGGGCCTCCCCTTTCTTCCAGCCCCAGAACCCCAAAATGGGCACACCTTCTGGCGGGCATTTCCACTTCTCCAGGGCCAGGATGGCTTTGGCTGGAACCAGAAATGCAAAGGCACTGGCCTGGAACAGGGGAAGCCTAGAGGAGAGGTGTGGGGTGGCAGAGGTGGGGTGGGTGGAAGAGGAGGATTAGAGACAGATCAGAAGGGTGGGAGCAGAGACAGGGATATGGGTAGGGGCAGGGAAGAGGGAGGTCACTGAGGCCCCAGGTAGGACAGGGCCAAGGAAGAAGACAAATGCCTCCTCTAGCCCAAAACCTGCCCCTTTCCTTCCTTTGTATACTAGTTCCCACTCCCACCACGGGTCCCTTCTGGCTTCCAAACTCTGCTCACACCTTTCCGCATCCCCCACGGCACATCAGACAACCGTCGTGCTCTCACTGGCCCACACAGGCCCTGGAAGCCTGTCCAACCATTGTGGCAGGGAAAAGAGTGGCCCTGTACACTCAGAGTAGCCCTTAAGAGGAGGAGAACTGGACCAGTGGCACATGCCTGTAATCCCAGCACTCTGGGAGGCTGAGGAAGGAGGATCTCAAGTTCAAGCCCAGCCTGGGTAATACAGAAGTTTAGTGACTTAATAAGACCCTGTCTCAAAATTTAAAAAAAAATTTTGTTTTGGTACCAGGGATTGAACACGGGTCCTTGCGTTTGCGCAGCAGGTGGCCAAACCACTGAGCTAAATCCCCAACCTCCCCCCCGCCCAGTTTTTTTTTTTGGTACCGGGGATCGAACACGGGTCCTTGGGTTTGCGCAGTGGCGGTGAAACCACTGAGCTAAATCCCTGGCGCCCCCAAAAAAATTTTTTTGAGGCAGGTCTCACTATGTATTCCAGGCTGGCCTCACTCTCCCAAGTGCTAGTATTACAGGTATGCACCACTACTCCTAATTTCAAAATTTAAAAAGGGCTGGGCCGGGGATTTAGCTCAGTGGTTCCACTGCTTGGCTCGTAAGTATAAGGACCTGAGTTAGATCCCCGGTACCAAAACAAACAAACACAAAAAGGGCTGGGCATGGTGGTGCACACCTGTAATTCTAGCACTCAGGAGGCTGAGGCAGGAAGATCCCTGTGAGTTCAGCCTGGGCTTCATACTGAGTTCAAGGCCAGCCTGAACTACATAGCGAGATCCTATCTCAAAAACAGAAAAATTTTAAAAAGGTAGGGGGCAGAGGCTGGGGATGTAGCTCAGTGTGCAGGCCCTAGATTTAATCCCCAGTACCAGAGAGAGAGAGAGAGAGAAGAGCCCATGTAGGACACACTCTCTCACCCATCCAGACTCATCGTGCTGGAGGAGCAGCACAGCAGACCCCCTAAATTGAGGGACCAGGGTTGGCGTCCAGCTGCCTAGGGCTAAGGTTGGCCTGGAAATAGAAGCAGCAGGGAGGCACAGACAGTGTTGGGGGTTCTTGGGTTTTTTTATTCCTTTATGATACTAGAGATTGAATCCAGAGCCTCTGTACTGACCTACATCCTCAGCCCTTTTTATTTTGAGACAGGGTCTTGATAAGTCTCTACATTGTCCAGATTAGGCTCTTTTTTAAAAAATTAATTTAAAATTAATTCCCAGTACCAAAAAAATTAATTTTGGGGCCGGGGATTTAGCTCAGTTGTTCCAGTGCCTGCCTCGAAAGTGCAAGGACCCGAGTTCAATTCTGGTACCAGAAAAAAAAAATTAATTTTATTGGTACTCTTTTTTTTTTGGTATCAGGGATAGAACTCGGGACCTTGCACTTGCGAGGCAGGTGTCAGAACCACTGAGCTAAATCCTTGGCCTGGTACTCTTTTGATATACATAATGATCATATTCATCACAGGGAATTTGTTCCAGTGCATAACATATGTTGATTCTTCATTTTTTCCCCCATTTCCCTCCCTTCCTTTTAACCCTTTTCTCCTCCTTTTTTCTTGTTTTAATCAGGGTCTCACTATGTAGTTCAGGGTGGTCTTGAATTAACTCACTTTGTAACCCAGGCTAGCCTGGAACTCATCCTCCTGCCTCAGCTTCCCAAGTCCTGGGATTATAGGCATATGACGCTATGTCCAGCTTCCTCTCCTTATTTACAAAAGCTTTGTTTCCATTTTTTTCCTTCTATTCTCTTTTTTTTTTCCTTCCCCCCTCCTTCCCTCCCCCATCCCCTTCCTTATTCCCCTTCTTTTTGTTGTTGTTGTTGTTGGTACTGGGGATCGAACTCAGGACCTTGCACTTTTGAGGCAGGTGTGGTGCCACTGAGCTAAATCCCCAGCCCTTGTTCCCCTTCTTATTTGAACATTTTCTTCCTACTTCTCAATATCTATCATCCATTTTGGTCCTTATTTATCCTTTCAGTTTCTCTCACAAGAGAAACAATGCAATATTTAAATATATGTGTCAGATTTATTTCTCTTTAAAGTATGGTCTCAAAGTGCATCCATTTACCTAAAAATGCCTCAACTTTATCCTTTATGGCAGAGCAGTACTCCATGGTCTATAAAAATTGAATTTTCTTTATCTCATGAGCTCTAATGTGATTCTCTTGCCTCAGCCTCCCAAAGTGCTGGGATTACAAGTGTGTGACACCACAATCAGCTTGGTTTGGGTTTTCTTTTTTCTTTTTTTGTCCCCTAAAAGCCCTCTGAGCAAAATCACCTGTTCCTGTTGTTACTGTGTGGATTACAGTGTATATGAATGTGTGTGTGTGTGCATGCACATGTCTGTACACATACATGTGCTCCTAAGTGGGGGAGAGGCAGCTCACCGGATGCCCAGTGTGGTCTGGATGAGAGTGGTGATGCCCACACATGTGAAGATGGTGCCAATGAGTTGACTGACCATGTACTGATCGTGGCCCACACACAGCGCCTCAGCCAGGAGGAAGGGCACGGCGATGGTGCCGCTGAAGCAAGTCAGGTAATGCTGGGGATGGCGAGAGGAGAGTGTTTGAGACAGGGCCCACAGAACTCAGGGAGAAACAGGGGCACCCAAGGTCCTCATGCCTGGCTCAGGGGCCTGGACCCGGGCCACCCTGGCAGTGTGCCCAGCCACAGGACGCTCCCTGTGGGGATTCCCAGAGAGCCACTGCTCACTACTCTGGGGGGACACTAATCTCCCCCCAAGTTATCCTGACCCTCCAACCCATCCCCCATCCAGTCTTCTGTCAGGCCCTACCACCCTCTTCCCCAAGCCTGCTTAAACAGTCACTGTGCAGACCTAAGGCTTCTCTTCACCTTAGCTGAGAGAAAGGTCGGCCTCCCTGGGGAGTGCTGGGGTGGGGCACTGGGGATGGCCTACCTGGAAGCCCAGCAGGATGCACAGGTACCAGGGTGGCACATCTTCAATCTTGTACAACATGTCAGTCTTGGGCTCTGTGGGCAGGGACATCTTCGGGTTCCTGGTGGAAGCTCCCTTGGAGCCCTGGGGATCCTGCTGGGGCAGAGAGAGAAGCCACTCAGGATGGAGCAATGGGACAGGCCCAGAATCAGGTGGCCTGAGTGGCACCTCAAAGTGAGGTCCAAGCCAGGGGTCCCCACCTTCCCCCACTGTCCATCCATCTAGTTGTCACTAGGCTGTCACTTGGCTGGGGACAGCACCTCGATTCCACTTCACTTTGCTTCCTGCAGGGTGAAAATGCCTAGAGCCCTCAGTCCTGGGCTTTGGGAATGGACCTGAGTCAGAAGACCTCAGAGGCCCCGGGGGAGGAGATAAGAGGGCTCTAGGCAGCTGATAAACCCACTCTGTCCCACCAGCTGCCCCCTAGAGGTCATTGGGGTGTCACTGGGAAGGAGGCTGGGCCCCTACTGCCCCAAGTTCAAGTAAGCCAGTCTCAAAGGTAAAGGCTCCTTCACTTTCACCTCTGCCCCATTCCCCATTTCCCAGGTTCGCTTTCATCAGAACTCATCTTTGCCCCCAAGAGAGGCTGTCCAGTCCCTCTACCCCCCTACCCACTGCCTCTCTCCCTCCTGCCAGTCCCCCAGCACCTGTGTCTGGTCCTCGGAGTCCTCTTGAGCCCTCATCTTTGGGGCACAAGTCTGAGAAGCTCCTGAGAAGACAGGATGACTTTACAAAGGCCTAGGAGGACTTTACTCCACACATCAGACATTGTTCAAAGTAAATCTGTAACCAGGCCCCTGGCTCCAGATTGCGAAAGGGGGACCTGGGCAGAGGTGAGGCATTAACTCTGGCTGCTATGGTAAAGGCCACCCAAGCCTCTGCCACATTTGCTTCCTGTACTCCCTTCCCTGCCCGAACACCAACTTGGCACAAGATTTGTTCTTGCTTTCTTAGAGGACAGAGTCAAAGGGTGAAGAGGGGACAGTCTTGGAAGTTTAGCCAGCCCTGAGCAAGGTGAAAAGAAAGGGAGTCATAAAAAAAAAAGAAAGAGGGCCGGGGATTTAGCTCAGTAGTTTCGCTGCCTGCTTCGTAAGCACAAGGACAAGAGTTCGATCCCCGGTACCAAAAAAAGAAAACACACACACACAAAAAAGAAAGGGAGTCATAAATGCACACTTATTATGTCATTGTCCCCAGAAGGCCCTTCCCTACTTATTAGTAACAGATTAGTCCCTTATCATGATCGAAATAGCCATTCTCCTTACTGGGGAATGATCCTATGCCAAGCCATAGTATGTTTGTATATGCACTATCATGCGGAACCCTTGGTGCTGGGTGATATTAACCCTTTTAATTACAGCCGAGGAAAGATTTAGGAGCATGATTTAACTGAGGCCATGAACGTAGCAAGGGTTTGGAAAATCAGTCATCTTCTCACCACTGTTCAGTGCTTACATTCCTAAGCAAGAGGGGCCTCACAGCCCTCACTCACCATGTGTTAGGACAAGGATTCCTTTCCTCTTCCAGCCCAGAGCCAATGTATAGTTTGCAGGACCCAGTGCAAATGAGAATGTGGCCCTTATTCCAAAAGTGTTTTGAATTTTTAAAATAGCAACAGGAGCTGGGTGTGGTGGTGTACACCTGTAATCTCAGCACTCAGAGGCTGAGGCAGGAGGTTCGCTGTGAGTTCAAGGCTAGCCTGGGCTACATAATGAGTTCAAGACCAGCCTAAACTATGTAGTGAGACCCTGTCTCAAAAAAAAAAACCAAAAAACAAACAGATAGCAACAGCAGAGCTTTAAACTCAGTGTGGGGCCTTTCTCTTTTTTTTTTTTTTTTGGTACTGGGGATCGAACTCAGGACCTTGCACTTTGGAGGCAGGCCAGGTGCCACTGAGCTAAATCCCCAGCCCATGGGGCCTTTCTAAGCACCACTCCCTGTGTCCTTGCATGTCATACAGCCCAAGAAGCCATTCTGTGCCTGGCCTGTCTCCCCTCCCAGCATGCCTAGTCCTTGGCTTGGCCCAAGAGCCTGAAGGCTGTCTGAGGGGAAGCTGGGGGTTCGGGGGACCTGAGAAGCTCAGGCTCCTCAGCTGGTGAAGGCAAGGCCTGAGATCCCCATCTGCTCCTCTTTGGGCTGCACCAGCCCTGCCACCCCAGGGCCCACTTACTTCTGGGGTGCTGAGCTCATGGCCAGGCCCAGCCCTGAGGGTCTGTAAGCAACACTGCTCTCCAGATAGACAGCAACCTTGTGGCACAGCCCTGAATCCTGCTGGCTATTTGGCCTCCAGCCTGTTTGTTCATCTGTTCACTCCTTTCCTTCTTGGCTTTTGCTCTCAGGTTCCCAAGTTATTCAACTAGTTCAGAGCCTCCTTAGCCCTTGGTTCCCCATGGGCTCCTCCCAGTGCTCCACAGAGGGCTGTGGAGCTGCCCCATCCCAGCAGACACAGCTCCATGGATACTGAATTCAACCCAAACCTCACCACAATGCCTGACGAAGCTGGGAAGATGTGGGCGTCCAGATGCAGAGTAGCCCAAATGGACCCACAGCGCTCAGATTCTGATGCAGTCTCTAAATTGCTCCACACAAACACAGGGTCATGCAGGTCCTTGTCACAGGTGTCCACCCAAATCCACACCTCATACTCCTGATGGCTCAACCGGTTCCTTGGGCCCTGGCCCTGCTGGTGCTGGAGGCTTCTTTCCTGGGATGAGGGCCAAGGAAGGAGGGGCCCCAGGCAGATCCTGAAACAGGTGATGGGATGTGGGGGGCCAGAGCTCCAGGACAGCTCCTGAGACCTGCTTGGGACACGCTGGTTCCTGCAGCAGCCACTCTGGCCCCACCTCCAAAATCTGAATCCCCTCCCAACCCTGCCACTCCTCAGCCTGAAACTTGACCTGAGCCTTTTATTGTCTAAGCCTCGGTTTCTGCATCTGTCAAATCAGGATTAGTGTGTCTGTTCTATCCACCTCTCAGGGTGTTGCTGGAGTTTTGGGGCAAAAGCCCCAACTCCCAGGGTCAATGTCAGTAAAGGAGATAAGCAGTGGAAGGCAGGAAAGGTGCTCTCATTAGCATAGCCATGGCTGGAAGGAAAGATAAAGAAGCTCAAAATCTGGCTCAAGGGGCTGATGGAAGCTTTGGGGGTTTATAGAAAAAAGGGTACAAAGGTAAATGTTAGGGGTTTGCATAAACAGCAGTGTAGATAATCTTGGTCAAGTTGAAATAGAGGAAAATATAACTCTCAACCTGCTAGATGTCAGATATGCCAAGTTTGTGTCTCTTGAAGTCAAAGAATAAATTGTAAGAAATAGCAGAGGCCTAAAATGTACCAATAAAAGAGTTTAAGCAAAAAAAGAAAAAAAAAAAAAGAAATAGCAGAGGACCTGGGCCGGGGATTTAGCTCAGTGGTTTCGCTGCCTGCTGTGCAAGCTCAAGGACCCGAGTTAGATCGATCCCCGGTACCAAAAAAAAAAAGAAATAGCAGAGGACCCCACTTGCTCCAAAGGCTGAAGTGGAAATCTGGTACCCCTGGCCAAAAAGCCTCCTCCACCCTGAACTTCTGTCCAAAGCAACAGAACCAAGTAACCATGGACTAAAACCTGAAACTGTACCTGAACTTTCTTGTCTTTGTCAGTCACAGATGTTTGTTAATTCGTGGACTACTGACATGTTTGTCAGTTCGTTGACCGTTAACCATATACTTGGGAGACAAAAGTTAGGTGTCATCTTGGAAGATGGTAGGAATCTATTCAAATAAGGAGAAAAGAATCAGGCATTTATCTTGCCTTCTCTACGTGAACTATCCCACTGAGCAGTTAAAAGCCAATCAGTGGCAATACTGGCACAGATGGACAAGCTGAAACATACAAGGAAACCCAAGAGGCCAATCATATCCAGCTGATCAAGTGAGACCATGAAGAGGGAATGGTTGGAGAGGTGAAAGGGAAGCTGTGGGCTGAATGTGGAATTGAGGGAGAGTGAGGACAAGCTTGGATCCACAGGGACCCCTGCATCTGTGCATCAATATTTCCTACTGCAACAAACTTCTGCAAGCCACTGCTTTTCTTCTGCCTTTCAGATTTCATGCAGGCTCCTCTTTTGGCCAACTTTCATTCAGAACCATAACGGAAAGGGAATTCTGCATGATAGAATAATTTAATGTGAGCTTCTTTTCTCAATTTGGCAACAACACAACCTCTTTTAATGACTTTCCAATAATGATAATAGCAAAATCATGCTTTCACTTAACAAGATGTTAACTATCTTTCATACACTCAAAAAGACTTGCATCCCTCCTCCCCCAAGGATAGAGAAATAAAATCCATCTTTGGCTCATGTCTAAAAAAAAAAAAGAAAAAGAAATAGCACAGGTTAAGAGCAGGAAAAACTTATTGAAAGATACCTCCTGAGAGACAAGAGGGGTGGTGGGTTGCCACTGAGGCCACTTTTCTATGAATGTTTTATGGAGCAAAATCATGAGGTGGGTATAAAATCATGAGGTGAGTACAATGTGGGTCAAACTATAATCAACCAATAAGATTATAAGTACAGCCGTTTAGGTAATGTTGATCCAATAGAGAAGCAAGTCATATAGCAAGGGTGCAGGAAAAGAACAAAGGCATTTTGGGGAAGGGATGGGTCCAGATGCTCTGGTCACCTACCTGGGTGATTGATGTCTATCTGGACTTTATTGGCCCAAGTGATACCAATTATAGTATAATTCCAAGTTATTACTTATCCCTTAGGGGAGGCATGTAGGTCTGGTCCTTGCTTTTTTTTTTTTTTTTTTTTTTGGAATTTAATTGGTTCCTAAAGTCGTAGTTTTTGTGTGCTGAAGGTTTTTTTTTTTTTTTTTTTTGGCTGTACTGGGAATTGAACTCAGGACCTTGTGCTTAAATCCCTGGCCCATTGGTCCCTGCATCTTTATCTTGAGGCCTGATCTTTTTTAGATGCACCTCCAGTGACAATTTTTTAATTTTTTTGCTGACTCCCTTGATATCCCAGTCTCTCTCTGACTGTATATTAATTTTTATCTACCTTAGCTGTCTATAATAAAATCAGGGTCTGGTTGTTTGGTAGCTTAGGACTGATTCTATGAGGTCCTGGGAGGGCCATCATTCCTTGAGGGAGTATCAGGCTACTGCTTTGAGGGGAGGCCTCAGTTCCTGTCAGGATAATTGTTTCCATTGTGTTTGGGAATTGATCTGAAGACTTTTCCTGGTATCTGAGGTGACTGCAGGCTTAAAACAATGACTTGAGGGAGGGGGATTTAGCTCAGTGGTTCCAGTGCCTGCCTTGCAAGTGCAAGGTCCAAGTTTGATCCCTAGTACAAAAAAGAAGACTATTGATTCAAGGGGTTTGGAACTGGGTGTTGTAAAAGCTGGCAATCAGATGCCCTTGCAAATCCTGAAAAATTTACTCTTATCTTGGTGTCCTCAATCTTGAAGGAGGATGAGATAGGCTATGGAAATTTAATAATAAACCTGTAATAGACACACCCTGAGTGACTAGCATGCCTGCTTGCAGATCTGAGCAGAGATATGTCCCAAAGTTTTAAGGTAATAAGAGAACAGGGAATGGTGGCCCACACCTGTAATTACTCAGGAGGCTGAGGCAGGAGGGATCAATATGAGTTCCAGGACAGCCTGAGCTAGATAGTGAGTTCAAGGCCAGACTGAACTACATGGTGAGACTGTCTCAAAGAAACCAAAACAAACAGGACCGGGGATTTAGCTCAATAGTTTCGCTGCCTGCTGTGCAAACGAAAGGACCCGGTTCGATCCCTGGTACCAAACAAACAAAAAAAAAACCAAAACAAACAAACTTGGCATCTCTGCCTTCACTCTGTTCCCTTATTACTCCCTCTGTCTGCCTGACAAGGGCATGAGTGGGTCAGAGACACTCAGGAAGGAAACAAGTTTAGCACTACCCAGACCCAGACCATGGTTCCCAGATCATTTCTCAAAGGCAAGGCCCCTGGCCAGAAGAATTTTAAGAAAGAGCAGAATGAGAGCCAAGAGGCTGGTTGGTCTGATTCCAGGAACCCTGCCCTGTTCTGTCTCAGGTGGACACCCAGTGCCCAACCATAACAGCTGGGGTCGGAGTCATGGTGTAGAGAGTGAAGGAACTGTTCTGGGAGCAGGGAGATAGTGAGGAGTAGCTAGATGCCTAGGAATGACCACAAGGTGGCTCTCTGAAGTTTTCTGTGGTTTTCTTTCCTTCCTGGTGAGTCTGAGGACCTGGGCTGTCCCCGTGCTTATAAACTGCTTCCATTTGTCCTTCAGAGCTTACACACATCTCTTACATCTGGGGAGCTGTCAAAATGTGTATTGGGCCCTCTCTAGGAAGACATTATAAGAAACACCAATATCGGCACTCCCAGCCCCTCAGACAGCTTTTGCAAAGAGAAGTGAAGGTCACCAAGTTTTATTTGAATCCAGAGAGGAAAGTCTTGTCCCTCCCAGGTCCCATTGCCCTGTGACAAAGGAAGGATAAAGGTGGCAATTTTGAGCCAGGCCTCCCTCCGTCCCCTCCAGCTGCCACCGAAAGGAGTGGGGAAGATTCAGAGGAGGTGCAGCTTTTCTTCAGGGGCAGGAGTTGTGGACTAGAGTTCTTCTCTCGTGACTGCTGCCTCTGCCAAGCAAGCTCCCAGGGCGCCCCCACATAGCAATGCCTCCACAGCCTCTCGACCTTGTTGGTGGGCTTCATAAATCTCATCTTCCCCAAAGTCTCCCAGGTACTGCAAGCACATTCTGGAGAGCCTAAGGGAGACCAGCAGGAGCCTCAGACTGCACCGGCCACAGGAAGGGGAGGGGAAAACCAAAGGCTCAGTCCCAGCCCCCACTTCGTCATTACCTGTTGGGCCAGGGGCCTCCGGTGACCATCACGCTGATGCTTGGCTCTGGCCCCTTGCCAAGACCTGGACCTGTGAGTCGTTTCATCTGGTTTACTTCTCGGACCCCGTAGCTGGTGGCAGTGGGAAGGGAGGGGTATAGCATTGGTGGTATTCTAGCCACAAAGAGACCAGTTTCCACACCAAGCTGGGGACACTGGGCATTTGCTGAGCTCAGAGAGGGAAAGTCCTTGGTCCAGCTTCCACAGTGACCTTTCTGCTGGCCATCAGCATTCCCACTTGCTCCCAGTTCCAGAGTCTGGACTTCATCCTAGCCCGCACCCCCTCAGGCCAGAGCCCCCATGGAGTGTAGGTATGAGGTGAGTGGGAGGGTAGGGGTGTGTGCCCACCAGCCCTGCCCCTGGAGGAAAGAGGCAGGGCCCAGATTGACAACTCACTCCTGCCAGTTCTGGGAGCAGCTTCGGTCCAGGACATCTGTGTATTCTGATTCACTGAGCTCCTGCCTTCCTCTGGAGTCTGGGGTATGAAGCTTGGCCTCTGCCTTTGCCAAATGTTGCCACATCTGGAACAAGGAGAGGCTGAGGTTTGGGGGGAGGGGAAAAGGAGGAGAGCCCAAGTCTCTGGGGGAAAATGAAGTGACAAAGGGAACTGTTTGAACCGGAAGCACCTGTGAGAGGCTGCAGAACCCTCTCCCAGGTCCCCAGGGCTGGGTCAGGGTCAATGGAGGCAGGGTCCATCTCCCTGGGTTGAAGAAATTGTTGAGGTGGGAGGTTAGGCCTGGGCAAGGGGTCCTTCCTAGAGCACACTTGCCCTGTAGCATATGCTATTTTAAAACACAAGAAAAAGGAAAGCAAAAAACCCCAACAAAACAAAAGAAAAAACAGAGCCCAATCTTCAGTGGCACATACACTCACAGGCCTCATGCACACACAGACACAGGCCTACAAGCATGCTCACCAGTGGCAAGTATGCACTGAGACACACGTGTTACTCATACATGCGTGTGCTATGTACACAAATATGAAGGCACCTGAGGGAGTCGACACCAAGGTAGGGGAGGAGTCTTTTTTAAAAAACAAAACAAAACAGGATCTCACTATATAGTTCAGGCTGGCCTTGAACTCACTCTTTAGTCCAGGCTGGCCTCAAACTCATAGCAATCCTCCTGCCTCAGCCTCCCGAGTGCTGGGATTACAGGCATGAACCACCACACCCAGCTGGAGGAGTCTAAAAGAGGTCAAGTGAGTGATTTCCTGGTGTATCAAGATACTGTGGTGTCCCCCATCATCTGTCTCTGTTTGGTGGGCAGATGAGCCAGGCAAGCCAAAAGCTAAGGCATGGCAGTTGGAGGTGGTGGCAATACCATGGTAGTCTGAGTTTGGGGCTTAATGCTGTATTGGGTTTGAGGATTAAAGACCAGTGGTGGAATCCAAGGTAGATGAAAGGGTCTGGCTTAAGTAGGGTCTGGCAGGGGTCAGGGAACTCCTGAAGAAAGGACTCACCTGGTAGGCCACGGCCCTGCAGGCGTCACAGCGAAGATGAGCAGGCATGTGGGCCGAGTACTTCTCTTCCTCATCCAGATTTGGAGCAGTAGCAGAGAGGAAGGCCCTGTCCCCGAGGCCCCCTGGGACAGCCCAGGCTCCCAAAAGCAGCAACAGCGACAGCCTCATGGCCTCTAGAACTAGCTCAGTGAGCACGGGATGTGGGTGGGGTGCACATGTGTGTGTGCGTATGTGTGTAGTGGGGCCACCCCTGGCCCAGACCAATGGGGAACTGACACCTCCCTCCTCCCCCAGGGCCCTGGAGTAGCCACGTGTGCTCTTTCTCTAGTGGGACTGGCTTCAGCCAACTCAGCTCCATTTTGCAGGTAGGGAACGATGAAGGCTGGGCCTGAGCAAGAACACACAGGGGCTGGCAGCTCCCATGTGCTGTGATCTGGCCAAGTGGCGAATGCTATGCTGGGCACCCTGTGGGAGAAGGTGGTTGTGTCCTATCATCTTTATTCTTCCCCTGAGGACATGAAGACTCAGAAATGACAAATGCCCCAGCTAGAGGACCCATGCTGAGATTGAAACCCAAGGTTGATTGACCCCCAAAACCCACTGGCCACTCAGCCACCAGGAGGAACTTGGCCTCAGATGTGGTTGCCAGCCTAGGGCTCCTTCCCTTGGAGGCAAGCAGGCCACAGTGTGGAAAGCACACATGGTCTCCTTCCTGGGCACCAGGTTCTCCTTCGCCCAGGCCATAGCCAGGCATGCAAGAACACTAGGGAAGGTGTTACATGGGCACAGCAGGAAATTAGACACATTACACCAATCATCATTTCAGCCACCGTGGCTCAGGGTCAGCCATTTATTGCATACCAGGATGAGGTGAGGGTGGCCGTGAGACCCTCCATGCCAAGGGACCAGTGTTTCTGGCCAAGAGATGTGCAACTTATTCTGACTCATACTGGTCCTCATCAGCTTTCAGTCCAGGGAACAGGGACTCCAAGGGACCCAGGCCCTCACTGGCCTGGAACAAGAAAGGCACTAATTCCCATTCCTGATGCTGCTGCTAATAAAAACTGTCCTTTCCCAAATGTATCACATCACACTCTGGTCCAGCAAGGTCCTGCTGTTTCAGGCTCAGAGCCACACACAGACCCCATACAGACTGCCTCCCATCTCAAGCAGATTTCCCTCAGCACTCTCAGCCCTCCTCAGAAGCCCCTGGAATCTCATGAGCACAGGTTTGGTCCTGTCCTTTGCTGGGACAGTCTGCAGGGTCAGCCCCTCTCTGGGCATTGTTGCCACATCTATTCCAGCTGAAAAACTAGCTGAGAGCTTCCGACCTCTCTGTCCTACTACGCTTTATCCCTCCTACTGCCAGTCCTAACCCATCCCTCAACCACCAAGAGGGGCCAAAAGGCTCCTCTGAAACAACAGCCCAAACTTCCTTCCTACCTCTTGTAAGTCCTCCCTGGTGATTCACTTCACCTGCCCATAACCTGGGTGGGAGTGGCTGAAGCTCCCACCCCTAAGATGGGCTAGCTCAGCTCTGAGGGCTCCCAGGAAAAGCCAGAGACTGGATTAAGGGGAGGAAGGGGGAGCTAGGCTGCCCACTGGGAACCACAACTACTTGGGCCTACCTCATCCCAGCCCTCTTACTCCCAGTTCCAGCCTGACTCTACAGCCCCTTCATATGTTACTTTTTGCTTCCCTTCTGCTATCCCCACAGCTTCCTTTCTCAGACCCAAACTGGCCTGGGGGTTACACTAGCCACTTCCCCCCACAGCCTACCAGGCCAGAGCTCAGCTCCTCTTCCAAATAATGGATTTTATAGCCAGAGTCCTCCCCATCTGAACAGTGCCCTCTGGTCTGCTCCACGTCAACTGATTCCACTTTCAGAGGGGAGAGACAGCCGTCCACCTCTGGGGGCAGCCCTGTCCCTGCTTCTCCCATTCCCGCTGCTTCCTGGAAAACTTCAATACCTCCTCAGGCTGGCTCCTCACGTTTTCATATTTGCTTGCCTGCATACACACATACATAAACACACCACACCTGGGAATGCTTGGGAAAGGGACACATTTTTGGGGGGTAGGAAGTAGGCAGCCACTTTCAAAGAGCTCCACTTCCATCAGCCTCTGATACACTCTCTGAAGCTCACTTCCGATCTGACGACTAGCTGGGGAGGACCAAAGAGGTGATGGGAGGAAGACAGAGCAGGGGACTTCGAACCAGAATCTCCAAGGCCATCTAAGAGGCCCAACCTTGGGGATCAGGCCCTGCCTGGGGTCTCACAACGGGACCACTGAGCCCTTGCCAGGCTGGGCGGGACGCGAGCTGGAGGGTGGGGAACAGAGAAGCAGGGAAGGGGCGGGGCTAGGGGTTCCGCTCACAGGCAGGTAGTACATCCCGTCTAGGGGCCCTGCCTCAGAAGCCCAGGGCAGCAGGGGGCTGCCGAGGGACGGCGGCAGTGCGAGGCTCGGCATGGGCCCATAGGCGGGTGGGCAGAGGCCAGGCCCCATGGCCAGCGGGGCGTAGACATGGCGGGGCAGCCCCGGGGACGCAGGTGGCAGCAGCACCTCGACATACTGCCCGCTCTCAGGGTCGAAGAGCAGCCGTAGTCTCGGCTGTCGCGGCGCCTCCACAAAGTAGTAGCGGCCGCTCTCCGGGTCCACCAGAACCTTTCCGGGGTGCGAGGCCTCTGGCTGCCTCCGGGTCCCCTGGGAGAGGCCTTGCCTGCACCGGTCTGCGGGAGGCGCCGAGGCAGCGCGCGGTTGGGGTGGGAGGGGCGCCTGCAAGGCAGCCGCGGGCTCGGGGGCCATCGAAGGTGTCTCCAGTTTGGGGGCCTTTCCAGGGCTGGAGTTGGGGCGCGCCTGCGGAGAGCTTGGGCGGGCTGGCTGAGGCTCCAGCGGCGCGTTAGGGGCCCGCTGAGGTGAGCTGCGAGCGCCGCCTAGGGGGCTGGTCCGACCCTGGCCGTCTGGAACTAGGCACAAGGCCTCAGCATCCGGGTTCTCTCGGCCGGTACCGCGCATTTGGACTCCCGGCGTTCTCTCCGGCCACCGCCCTAAAGCCAGGGCACCCGGCAGGCGGATCTCAGTGCGCGCAAAGGGTTTCGCCGTGCTGTTTTCTGCCCTCCGCCGCAAGACCCCGTTGGGCTTGGAGGCGTCCCGGGGAAATGTGTCGAGGGATGGCTCCGGGGGCTCATAGGGGTGCGGCACAACTGGCAAAAAGTCTTTGAGAAAAACGGAGGTGTAGTGACCCGGAGCGGGGGACCCCAGCGCCTGGAACTCTCGTGTCTGGGATAGGCCGCCCTCCTCCCCGCAGTGGTCCTTAGGCACAGGCTTTTCTGACCCTGGGCTTCCCGCGGGGAAGGTGGACGCATAGGTGGTCTTCACCATCTTGCGTACATCTCGAGGCCGCGGAATGGCCACGCGCGGGGGCTCAAAGGCCTCTTCTTCAGAGCCCAAGACTCCTGGGCGCGTGTCAGAGTCCAGCGCGCCCACGAGGTGACTGCGAGGCGGCTCGGGTGGATCTACCTCTGGTGACGGCTGATTGCTGCGGAAGGCAAGATCAGGAATTTCCCGCGTGGGCGGGCTCTGCACCTCGGCTAGTTCTGGGGTCCCAGGTATGGATGGTGTAGGCGGCGCCAAATCTTGAGCTATGCCATTCATAACTTCCTGCCTAAATGCTATCGATGACCCCTGCAGACTGGGTCCCCAGGTCTCCTGGGGCAATGGGCTCCGAAATCCAATAGGACTATCTGGCGCGTCCCACGGACACAGGGATGGTAGGGACGGGCTCTTACCCCGCCCTACGGCATCCCGGACTGCCCGAGGCGGAACCTCCCACTGGGAAGGAACTTCGGGGGATGGGCTCCTTCTAGCTCTCACACCGTTCTGATTCCACTGGGAGAGAGTTGGTGGGGAAGGGCTCCTCCTGCTGACTGGTACCTCGACGGCGGGATTCCGATTTTCCCACGCGGAAGATGCTTCACGGAACGGAGGGCTACTCACCCTCAAGACAGTCCGATTCCACGGGGACAGGTTCTGAGGGGACGGGCAGCGAGAATCCCGCACGGCCCCATTTGGAGCCTGGCCCAGCCGAGAGGGGCTCTTAGGCCTGTCAGCCCTACTCAGAACCTCCCAGGGGCCTCTAGACTCCAAAGACGGATTCCGTTCCCTTGGGGCGATTCGACCCGGAGTCTCTTTCGGGAACGGAGTCTCTTTCGGGAACCAAGTCTTGGGTCGATGGTTGCGTGCCTCCTGGGTCTTTTCCTCTGACTGCAAGAAGATGCTAGAACTAACAGGACCCAGCGGCTCGGACCCAGGCGCGGGCTTGTCGCGCCGGATAGCGCGCTCACGGAGGCTGGGCCAAGGCCGTGGGGCTCTGGCGGGGCCTGAACTCTCTTGTGGGCGGGGTGGCCAAGACCGGGCCTCTTCCAGAACCACGCGGGTGCTGCTGGTTGTTTCTCCAGTCTTAGGTTCTGGCCGCTCCGCGGGTCTAACCCTGGGACTACTCGGGGCTGGGGTCGCAGGACCCAGTTTTCTGGCTAACGCCGTCTGCACGAGGCCCGCTGCGACCTGTAGGCGGCTCAGAGATTCGTCCAAGGAGCCGGTGCGCAAAAGCAGTCGGGGGCGCGGCGTGCAGGCCTCCCGCGGAGGACTTGGGGGCCTGGGGCGCAGCTCGATCTGACGCTTGGGCACCGTCCGGGGCCTGACCGGCGCAGGGCACTCCTCCAGCGCCACCTCCACACACTCAAACTGAGCGGAGGCGGCAGGACTCGGCCCCCTGGGACGCAGCTCCAGGTAGGTGGCCCAGCGGGATCCGCCGTCTGGAGCCGGGGGCAGCGGTGGGCCAGGGGCTGGAGACGCTGTCCCCAGCGGCGAGGGGCTGAATGGCTGCGCCGTGAGCTGTTGCACCTCACGATCCTCCAAATCCGAGGGGCTGAACCGGGGCCCGGCGCCGAAGATCACTTCCATTTCCCCCGACGGCAGCACGCGCAGCTGGGGATGAGGCGGCAGCGGGGCGGAGCCCTGGCCTCGCGGGAAACCCGAGCCGGACCAGGGCTGCTGGCGGCTATTCTGGGCTCTGACGGACAGGCAAGGCTGCGCACCCGCCCCCCGCCCGGGGGCCACCCAGGGCCAGTCTTCCCAACCTGCGTCTGGCCCTGCGTCCGGGGGCTCGGGAGAACCCGGAGCTGTGTGGTAGGAACCTGACGAACCCGAGGAATCCTGGCGCCGTGGGGGCGCTGCGGGCAGCCGCCTTGGGAGCCCAGGCAGGGTTGGCGGGACGAGCGCAGTCAGCATGGTGGGCCGGACTCCTGCGCACTGCCTCCCTCGCGGAGCCTCCTCCGGTGCCTCAGGCACTGTCCCCGCCCCGCCCGAGATGCCGTGGGGTCAGAGCTCCTTAAAGCGGCCGCAGCCACTCCCGAGCCAGCAGCGTTGGCAGCAGGAGAGACCTGGGCCTGGACCCTACCTTCAAGCCCCCATGACAACCGACCTCTTTCTCCAGCACTGGCGGAGCCCTTGAGGTGGGACTCCAGGCTTTGTCTGACAGACAAGTGAAAGGCAGCCAGGCCCAACCCCACCTATCACAGGTGAGGGCATTTTGGCCCAACAGGGGCTCGCGTGAAGTTCAGCTACAGTGTAAGATTCAAGGTTTGAGCTAGGAATCCAGATTTTCAGGGTGGGGAGCTTACGTCTTGCCAACGATTTCTTCCCTTCAGTGCCAGCCAGTGACTTGACATAACTGCAAGGGAACCACCCCTCCACCCCCCCACCCCGGCTTCATGGCTTTCCCTAGGTAGAGCTCTTGAGCTTTGTTGACCCCAGGTTACCCCCCCACACACACACACCCCAGCCTTTGGTAGAGGAGCATCGCTAGAGGTCACCCCCTAAAAAATGTGCTGGGGCCTCCGGAAGATGGTGTCCCTGCCTAGAGCCTTTGCCCACAGTGAGGCCTATTGGAAGGGCCTAGAGTGGGCAGCTTTAGCTTTCACAAGCTGAGCACCCAAAACAAGCTCCAGAGGCTTTGCATGGTCGGGCTTTTAAACAATCTGAGGCAGGGACAGCACTGTGCTCCCCTCCAGGCAGTCACAAAGCCTCTCCAGCCCCAACAACCTTCAGTCCTCTCCTGGGGTCTGGTAAGTAGAAGCCACCTGTCATTGTCTTATGACAATGGACACCACTTGCCCTTAAACTTCTGGCTTCAAGGTCTTGCAATGACTCAGGCCTCCACTGGCCCTGGAGCCCAAAACTGGCTGCTGTGCCCACACTGACCCAGCAGAGGCTACACTCACCAGTTTCAGCAGCCTCACTGGCCCTCTTAGGGTGTTCCCTGGGGCACATGCATGATAAATGGTTGTAGTCTGACAGTCACATCCAGCTCTGCTTGTTCAATTTGAGCAAACCATGGCCCTTTCCCCACCCTTTCCTCACTTTACAAATAGCAGTTATTTCCCTTTCCCTCTCATTTATGAAAACAAGCTTTGATTTGAGGGAGGTGAAAGAAGGTGCAAATGTGATTCCTGAGTAACGTTCTTGTTAGGTGATGGTGATTGATCTCCCAGATTCATTGTCTTTGAAATAGTTGGTCAGGCCTTACACACACACAGCCAATCCTGCCCTATATCCCAGTTGGAGTTCAGTTTGCTGGAGTGTTGTGGGTCTGGTGGGATGTTGCTAGGGTACCCAAGGCTGTTTAAATAGAAAAGGATTAAACACCTCAAGTAAGGGGCGGTGCCCACTACACAACAAAGACTCTGCCTCATGCACACAGACCCCCACAGCCTGTGGGAAGGAAGAAAGTAGCTGGGGCTGGAGGCTTGAGTAGCATCCCTTTCTGAGCCCAGGAGTATCCCAACAAGTGGTGGCACAAGGCCTGTTCCCCATCCAGTCTCTGGTGATATGACTATATTAGGTCACTGAGGCCCTGGCAACAGGCAGGCAAGTAAGCAGAAGTGGCTCCTGCCTTCTTCCCTGCCCCTTCTTTGGAGGTCAGCTTTGGAGTGAGGTGACCCACAGGGATGGAAAGGTAACGGTTGGGGGCTTACTAGAGCAGAGAAGACAGAGGTTGGGCATTTTAGCCAAAAAATAGGAAAACAATGACCATTTTATTTTTCCCTGAGGTGCTGGTAGCTATGGGGCTGCCGAATCCCTGAGACTTTCTCATGCTTCTGGTCCAGCACCTGGGCTATGTAGCTCTCCTGCTGCTTCTGGATCCGGAAGTCAGACATATGATTCCTGCAATGGAGCCAGCTGGTTGTGGACGGTGTGCAGCCCAGGGTAGGGGCCACAGGTCAGGCTCCCCACTTCCATCAACAACCCCTGGCCTGGCCCAGGCCCCTCACCTGAAAATCTGTTTCTGCTGGCTGATAACTTGCTGCAACTCCTTAATTTCATTCTCTTTGCCATTAAGTATATTTTCTTGCTTTGTAATATGAGACTCAATTTCTGTGGGGGAGAGAGACAGGGAGGAGGGGTGGCTCCCATCCCACAGCCCCTTCCTGAGCTAAGGCCTTCCCTCATGGGACTGACTGAAACTTGCCACCCCACCCTGGGTTCTCCACGAACATGTGCTAATACTTTAGTATGAAGGAGTTTATTACAGTCTTGGGGGTGGCAGTGTCTGATGATTGTTGTCAGGGACTTTACAGTTCTGTTTTGGAGGTCACCCAGGTGAGGGCAGGTGAGTCCTTGGAGAGAGGTGGGCAGCTGCAGGTCTACAGATGTCACCTCCTTGGTGAGACCCTCCTTAGTCAAAAACTTAAAACCCTTACCAATACCTTCTTGTCAACTTTTTCCTGCTTATTTCCCAAGCATTTCTATTTTTCTTAAGTGTCTATATCTAAAATACCATATATTTTATTTATTTGTCTTCTTCCGAAGTAGGATGTAAAGTCTACAAGGACAGGGATTTTTGTGTTATTCATTGCATTATACCTAAGGCCTAAAACAGTTCCAGGCACATATAAAGTGCACACTAAATATATCTGTGGAATGAATGAAAAGGACATCCCCTGGAGGCTTAGGACTCAGGAACATCATCTAGTTCAGCAATCTCAGTCCAACTAGATTACTGAGGGCCAACTGGTCATTCAGCCTTGTGCTAGAGCTTCAGGGATGGTGGGAAATAGGATTCCTACTCTCAGGAGACAGCTCCTGAAAGGTGTTAGGACTTGGGAGGAGAGGACTGGGTTTGGGTCAGGTAGGATGGGGTAAGCTCAGTGGTACAGCACTTATACACCATGTGCAAGGCCAAATTATGTCCTCAGCATTTTTTTTTTTTTTTTTGGTACTGGGGATCAAACTCGGGACCTTGCGCTTGGGAGGCAGGCTTTGGAACCACTGAGCTAAATCCCCGGCCCTGTCCTCAGCATTTAAAAAAAAAAAAAGACTCAGAATTGAATAGAACAGGACAAGGCTACATCTCAATAAAGCTCATATTGAAGAGAAAACATTACCACTTTGGGCCAGTTGCCTTCCTTTTCAGACCTGTGTCTCATCTGTAAGATGGGGACAGAGACAACCCCTAGACTTCAGGGGGTGGGAAGGACCCAGTGAGATACTGGTAGCAAAGACCAGCCCCAAATTAGACACACATTAGATAAAAGGATAATTTTTATGTTTTAGGTCAAAATCAAAGGAGGCTGTAGGGATCTAATGGTGCATCATTTATATAACTGCCCCTCATGAAGCCCTGGAAAATTCTGATTCACTTAAGAAAATCCCACTGCCTGTAAAGGTTGGATGAGGATGACTAGAATATGAACTCTGTTAACAATGTAGAAATGCTGATCCATTTAGCGTTTCAGAAGATTTGGTACCAAGTCAAGGCACAACATGGAAAAAGGAAAGAAAGTGAAGGGAAGAAGAGGAGAAAGGATGAAAACATAAAACTTACCAGTGACAGAACTACCGAACCTCCTTCACAAAGTCAGCCAGCTAAACTGAGATTTCTTTTGTTTTTTGCTTTGAGACACTGTTTTGCTATGTAATCCAGACTGGTCTTGAATTTGCTCTGTAGCCCAGGTTGGCTTTGAGCTCACCATTCTCCTACATCAGTCTCCTCAGTGCAGGAATTACAGCTGTGGTCACCATGCCTGGCCTAGGTTTGTTGTTTTTTTTTCTTTTTGGTGCTGGTAATTGAACTCAGAGCTTTCAGGTTAAACTATATCCTCCAGCTCTTTTATTAATTTATTTTGAGACAAGGTCTTACTAAATCACTTAAATTGCCCAGGCTGGGCTCAAATTTGCCTCAGTCTGTCCAGTGCTGGGATTACAGGTGTGGACCAGCATGCCATGGTTTGTCCACTTCACTTGTGAAATTTTTTTTTTTTTTTTGAGACAGGGTCTTGCTGTGTAGTTCAGGCTATCCTTGAGCACACTATGTAGCCCAGGCTGGCCTCGAACTCTTGGCAATCCTCCTGCCTCAGCCTCCCAAGTGCTGGGATTACAGGCGTATGCCATGCCCAGCCTAACTTGTGAAATTTTTAAAAACAAATTTTATTTTATCCCCCCCCAATTCCCCTGCTTGTGAAGTTCTTTAGGCAAAAAGAATTACAAATTTGTGTAACTCTTAAAACCCGTGGCATCCAGAGAAAGAATAGTTTTTTTAAAAATCCCTTTGAACCTGGGCATGCTAGTTAAGTTGCTAGGGCAACTTAATGAGACCCCGTCTCCAAAAAACAAAAGAGGAGCTGGCCCACTCAAGATCTGCTGCAGTAGAGAAGATATTACATGTGGAATTCATATCTACATAAACTGGATAAAGGGAGGTCCACATTTTGACAAAATGAAAGGGGTTCCTACTGGGCATGGTGGTGCACACCTGTGATTCCAGCACTCAGCAAGCTGAGACAGGAGTATTGCTGTGAAGTCAAGGCCAATGTGGGCTACACAGTGAGTTCAAGGCTAGCCTGAACTACATAGTGAGACCTGGTCTCAACCCCCCCACCCCCGAAAAGGGAGAAAGAAAGGTGTTCCTGAGGCCTCAGGACACTGGGTAGCTGACTCTCAAAGTGGCCCTCAACTCACAGCACCAACTAAGCCAGTAAGTGGCCAAAGGTATGTGTGTAGAGCAGAGTTGAAAACTGGTGGTCCACACATACCTTACTTGGTTTACAAATACTTTAAAAATGTTTAAATCAGTTGCCAATCCTATAGAGTCAGATAAATTTCCATTAACACTTGGTTTCTAGCCGGGTGTGGTGGTACATGCCTGTAATCCTAGCACTCTAGGAGGCTGAGACAAGAAGATTGCAAGTTTGAGCCCAGCCTGGGCAATTTAGTGATTTAGTGAGACCCTGTCAAAATAAAATTTAAAAAGGGCTAGAGATGTAGTTCCATGTGAAGGCCGTGGGTTCACACCCCCAAAAACAAAACAAAACAGCTGGGGATGATGGTACATGACTGTAATCCCAGCACTTGGGAGGCTGAGGCAGGAGGATTGTTGTGAGTACGAAGACAGCCTAGGTTCCACAGTGAGTTCAAGGCCAGCCTGAACTACATATTGAGACATGGTCTCAAACAAAATGAAGCAAAAACTGGTTTCTGGTTTCTTTTGTAAAAATCTGGCAGTCCTGGGCCCCCATTTCCACAGCACAGGTACTAAACCCAAGAGGGGGCATGGATCTTTGTGTCATCAGTCCCCACTTCTCCCTGTTGAGTCCCTGACCCTGAGACTAATGGCCAGTTCCCCAGTAGGACTTCTCGCCCTTTTGTTCCTCTGGTAGCAGAAATATGCATAAAGTGCACTTTTTCTAAAATGGAAAAACAAAAGGTGGACTAAGAAGGTTGTACGTTTTAAGAAAAATGGGAGCGAGCCCGTTCCTTTATGGTCATGAAGAATACTGTTCACCAACTGCTTCCCTCATTTCCGTGGCTTGCCTGGTCCCTGAAGGCCTTTTCGAAGGTGTTGTCCGCCTGGGCCTGCATGTATCCTCAGCCGGGGACAGAAGTTGGGGTGAAACCCTCCTTTTGACACAGGCACTGGGCTGTTAGGCAAGAGCCCGTGCACGTTACCGTGGAGGGGAGCATGGGCCTCCCGCCTACCATTGCACTTGGTGATAAGCTGGTCCTTCTTGCTGGACTCCTGCAGGACTCTGCTCTTGACACTGGAGAGCCTGGGTGGGGAGGCTGAAAGGTAGGCAGGCCAACAGGCAGACAGGACCCCTACCTCCCTCCACAGCCCCTCCTGAGGCCCACTCACGCTTTCTCAAAGGCCAGCTTCTCTTTCTCCAGCTGCTTGGACAGCACCTCCACTTCTCCAAGGGCAAACTGCAGCTTCTCCTCTTCCTTGGCCAGGAGGAGCTTGGTCTTGGCATGGGCAGCTTTCTCTTCCTGCAGGGGCAGCAGCAGTCACCTCATCACTCCAAGCCACCTTGGGTCGCCCTGACCAGCCCTTTCTCAGTGGGGCAGATAGAAGCTAGGGTACAGGAAGATTCTGGCCTCACAAGAGGGACTAGAGGTTCTCAAAGGCCAATGCTCGATGACTCCCCAGCCACAGAGATCTTGGGAAATGGGCAAACATTAGATTGCCGAGGCCACTACTTACCACCAGCTTCTTTTCCATGGCCTGAAATTCTTCTTTACTGACAAAATTTTCATCCTGGAGAACCATCTGCAACAGAGCTTGGCTCAGGGAAGGCTTGGAGCTGGGGTGGGCAGGGTAACCTCTAGGGACAAGGACAAAGGCTGGATAATGAGTATTGATGCCCAGGGCACCTAGGATGAGACAGGGTCTGGAAAGGAAGAATTCAGTTCCACAGATTCATTGAGGCTCAGTGGCAAGTCCTGCCTTCAAGGTGCAACCATGGAAGAGAAAGCTTGAGGCCGCATTTAACACTGTATATGCAATGATGGTAAAGCACAAGGGGCTGTGGCACCCAGAAAGGCCTCTGACTCAGCCAAAGGGTCAGAACTGCTTTTAGAGAAGATGATATTAGTCCTAAGGTCTGACTGCTAAACAGGATAGGCCAGAAGAGGGGCAGAGAAAAAAGTGTTCCAGATGGTGTGAACACACATGTCAAAGGCAGCTAGCAAGAGAAAGACTGAAGGTAATTTGGTGCCTAGAACTGCATACATTTTGTTGAAATAGGGTCTTAGGGTAGTCAACAGCGCGTCTCTCGCTTCTTCCTTTCATATCCAACTTCCCAGAAGGGAAGAAGTTGTCTGCGAATCATCAGGGTGAGAAACACACGTGAAGCCAGTTTTATTTCTAAACTGAAGATACATCCTGACATTCTTACCGAGGCAGAAAAATCAAAACAGAAAAACCATGGCCTCCAGCTGGCCACCATTGGAGTCATCTGTGGCTCCAATGCTTTGCACCTGTTAGCTGGGGTTTGAGAAGGAGCAATGGGACATAGTTGGGTTGAAGGCCCTTAAGTCAGTGTGCTCAAAGGGCCAAATCTGTGCTTACTGTCCTCAGCATGACACTGTGGAGGGGTGCCCAGAACAGAAGGGCTGCCAATTTCTTTGCCTGCATGAGGGCCTTGGTAGGTCAGTGACGTCATCACCACTATAAACGGAGAAACTGAAGCCCAATAAATATCCACTAGGCCTCGCATCAATCAGGCAGAGTGTAAATGTTGCTAGATTTAGGTGAACACTCCCCGGTAAATATTTGGGCATCTCCCACACCTTTGAGGCCGCCCCTCCCAGCCAGGATTCAATGGAGTCCCGCCCCCTCCGGACGAGCCCTTCGGCAACGTGTTCTAGCCACTCCCCTTCCATCCAAACAGGGCCCGCAGGTGAGGCGTCCAGCCCGGCTTCTCCCCGAGCTCTTCCGTCTGCGTACCACATTCTTCAGCTGGTCGATCAGTTCCTCTTGAGATTCAATTACGTCCCGCAGTTGGTCGAAGGCGAGGCACACAGAGCCCGAGCTCCCCTGCGACCACCCGAGGGGCGTCGCCATCTTTTGCCCCCGCCAGCTCGTTGGAAATGGCCGCGGGTGAGCGCCTCACCACCGTCACCCACCAATGAGAATGCGACGCCACAGAGCACCCTGGCAACCTGGGGCGAGGACTTCCTCTTTCAGGAAGAATAGGGCCTGCCTCTTAAAGGAGTCGCCTGGACCAGGAGCCTCTTAACTCGGGAATTTAAATTTACAGGAAAGGTGCACCTTTATTGTACCTTGTTTCTCGCAGTTTTGGGGAGCAAGTAGGGCCCTTCTACTTTTAGTGTCAGTGAGCAGGCAACATTCGGACAGTCTTCTCCCATGCCTTGTTTAGACTGCAGGATGTTGACCCGAGAGCCAGTTTAGGCGGCCCTGCATGTCTAGCTTCCCAGGCTTCTCTTACCCTGAACAATAGATTTTCCCCACATTAAGACTCCAGCCTCTTAGAACATGCATAGCACTTAGGATGCCTAAACCTATGCAACGAAGATAGGAAAGGAGAATGGCTTCATCCAGGAGTCCTCATGCTATGATTCCAGGTACTGGTCAGCCACACTAGAGCTGTGTGACCCTGAAGGGCCGGGGAAGAGCTCTGGAGGGCTGAAGTGGTGCTTGAGGAAGACATCTAAAAAGCAGGCAGGGAAAAACAGCGATCACACAATCACCAAGTCCCTACTGAGCCTATTTTTGCCCCTTGGAAGCCAAAGAATATAGTGTTCACTATTTCTTGGCACTGTTACACTTTATTAAATTTTTTATTTAGTACATGTTTGCAGTACACAGTGATTATGTTCATCGTGGGAAGTTAGTACCTGCACATAACACATCTTAATTATTTTTTACTTCTCCTTCCTCTCCTGTCCCCTTCTCATCATGGTGTTTTCTTTTTATTTTATTTAATTAATTTTTATTTTATTTTATTTTATTTTTGAAACAGAGTCTCTATCTAGCCCAGGCTGGCCTCAGACTTGGGGTGATACTCCTGCCTCACCCTTCTGAATGCTGGGTGTACAGGGGTGCTCCTACACATCCGGCTTATTTTCTCCATTATATACATGAGAAGGGTGGTTGTGCGAAATTTATCCAAGTTCACCCAAGTGAGTAAGTCGAGAAGGTTCAGATGTAGTTTGATACCAGTCCATATGCTTAGCCATGATGCTGGGCTGCACTTTTGTTGAACATGGTGGATAATAAAGTTATAGAACTTGATATTCTTGAGCAGGAAATGACTACTAGAAAGGAATTTGGAAAAAATGATGACTAGGAAGGGAAGCAGAGATTTCAGATAAAGCACTCAGGCTGCTTCTCCAGGCTCCATAAAGGCCTCTTTTTGGGTTAGATGTTGAGAGCTGACAAACTTGGCCATCACTGTGGGTCTCTCAGTGGTAGCCCTGGTTTTGTCTTTCCTGGTTTCTTGCTCCCATATTCATGTCCTTGGAGACAAAGCCCCCTCTGTTGACTTCTCTTTGTCTTGCTCTCTTTCTTTTTTTTTTTTTTGAGAAAGGGTTTCTATATGTAGTCCAGGGTAGCTTGAACTTGAGGTGATCCTCCTGCCTCAGCCTCCCAAGTGCTGGGATGACAGGGGTGCACCACCATGCCCGGCTCACACTGTTGTGAGCTACCCTTTCCCTGTCCTTAACATCTCAACCATCTGTTTCAGCCTAATTCAAGTGTCACCTCCTTCAGTGTTACTGTTTGAATAAAAAATGTTACCCCACCCATTCCTGTAATCCTAGCACTTGGGAGGCTGAGGCAGGAGGATCACCTCGAGTTGAGATGAGTTTGTAGTGAGTTCAAGGTTGGCCTGAACTATACAGGAAGACCCTATCTCAAAACAAAAAAAAGTCACCCCAATATTTAATGTGAGGTTTTGGAAGGCAATTCGATCATGGGCCCCTAACCTCAGCAATGGGTTTATCCACTGAGGAGTTCATGGCCAAATGTGCTGCTAGGAGTGGGTGGAAGAAGTCTGTCCCTGGGGGGCAAGACCTGGAAGGGTGTGTTCTTGTCCCCCTTTCTCTCTCTCTGGCTCCTCCCTGCCTTACACCTAGCTGACCATGGACTGAGACCATGAACCTGAAACTGAGCCAAAATAAGCTTTTCTTCCTTTAAGGTTTGTATGTAAAGTATTTTGTCCCAGCAACAAAAAGGCGATTCATAGATCCTGGAAAGTATTATTTAGCCCACTAAAATTTAGTTTTGAGATAAGCTCTTGCTATGTAGTTCAGGCTGGTCTTGAACACTATGTAGCCAAGGCTGGTCTCAAACTTGTGGTGATCCTCCTGCCTCAGCCTCCCAAGTACTGGGATTACAGGTGTGCGTCACCATGCCCCACTAACCCACTATACTTAAACAGCTTTTTTCTTTTTTTGGGGGGCTGGTTGAGACAGGGCCTAGCTATATAGCCCAAGCTGGCCAGAATCTCACAGCAATCCTCCTGCCTCAGCCTCTTGAGTGCTGGGATTATAGGCATGTGCCACCACACCAGCTTGTTGACTTCTGTTAAAGGGTCTAGAGCAGCACAGTTCAATAGAATTTCAGTAATGCAAGTGTTCTACATCTGCAATGTCCCATAGGGAACCACTAGCCACTTGTGGCTGTGTGGTGCTTGAAATGTGACAAAGGAATTTTTCTTGTTTGTTTGGGTTTTTTTTAACCCAGCCTTGCTATGTATTCCAGGCTGGCCTTGAACTCACTATGTAGCTCAGGCTGGCTTTGAACTTGTGGCAATCCTTCTGCCTCGGCCTCTTTAGCACTTGGATTACAGGCATGTGCCACCATGCCTGATTCCAAAGGAGTTGGTTTTTAAATTAAAAAAAAAATTTTATTTACTTTTTTTTTTAATACTGGGGATGGAACCCAGTATTTTGAGACAAGGTCCCGCTAAGTCACTAAATTGACTAGTCTGGTATTGAACTTGCAATCCTCCTGTCTCAGCTTCCCAGAGTGCTGGGATTACAGGCATCTGCCACCTACTTGGACTCTGCATATGTATGTGTGGTGCTAGGGATAGAACCTAGGGCCTTGTGCATGCTAGACAAACTCTTTACGACTGAGCCACACCCCCAACCCAAATTACAAGTTAATTGCCATATGTGGTTAGTAGCTACTGTCTCACAGTGTGGGGCTAGAGTGTGTTATGTGGGTTGTGTGCCTCTGTGCAGAGCCCTGCCAAAACTTTGTCTACCAGGAATATTCTGCTTAGTCACCGTGGACAAAGCTGCATATTCTTCTGGGTCAGTGATCCCTGTCTTCCCTATAAACTGTGTCCCTTTCCTGGGTCTTTCATGTGGTGCTGCTTCATATCATCCTTTGCCACTCAAGGTTCCCCCTACCAGCAGGCTGCCCTTCATCTCTCTGGGGCAAAACTCTAGTGAGCCTAGGCTTGGCCACCAGGGCCCTGGAAGTGGGGCTGTGGGAAGGACCCAGCTCACATCTGCATCCCCGAATGGGCATGAGGGATGGCCACCTTGGCTGGGGACCACCCCAGACTCTGACCTTAGGAGTCAACAAGCACCCGGCTCTGGTCAGCCAGGACTTAGTAAGGCTTAGGATGACATCACAAACAGCTCTGTGACCCTGCCCTGGAAAGGCTGCCTTTCTGCAGGGGTTGTTATCAGGCTGATATTCCATTTTATTGCTGCATAACAAACAACCCCTAGATTTTATTTTATTTTTTTATTTTTTATTTTTTGGTACCGGAGATCGAACTCGGGTCCTTGCGCTTGTGGGGCAGGCGGCGGAACCACTGAGCTAAATCCCCGGCCCAACCCCTAGCTTTTAAAAGCTCCTTTTGCTCATGAACCTACAAATATAGCAAGGTTTAATGGTGATCAATCTGCTCCATGAAGTGTCAGGTGGAGTGTTCAAAGGGGGCCGGAAATTTGTCTTTCAAGTTAATTCACTTGGGCCAGGAATTTAGCTCAGTGGTTCTGCTGCCTGCCTTGCAAGCACAAAGTCCCAAGTTCAATCCCTGATATAAAAAAAAAAAGATAATTCACTCACTTGGCTCTGTCAGCTGGGTGCTCAGCCAGGGCTGAGGACCAAGGGTCTCGCTTTCTCTTCCTGAGCTGCCGGGGCTTTCTCATTGGATGGTGTCTGGGTCAAAGAGAGAGCATCCAAAATGAATGGAAAATGCCAGTGTCTTAAGACCTGGCCTAATGTAATTTCTGGTATACAGTGTGTGTGTGTGTGTGTGTGTGTGTGTGTGTGTGTGTGTGTGTGTGTGTGTGTCTGGCCATGGCACCCAGGGCCTCACACATGCTAGGCAAGCCCTCTGCCATTGAGCTACACCCCCAGCTCTCTGCTGTACTTTTAGTCAGCAGGGAGTCAGTCTGCTTTCAAGGAGAGGGGACACACACACACACCCCACCTTTTTTTTTTTTTTAGTGAGACTAGGGATTGAACTCAGGACCTTTGCACTGAGGAGTGTTTGCCCAGTCTGGTTTAAGATGTCAAAGAGGAAGCTTCTGTGAGGAAGGAATGGTCCCGCTGAAACCTATGAAGATAACTGAGAGGCACTTGGAAAAGGGGTTGGGGCAGGTGAGTAGAGAATGGTTCCAGAAAGTGGGAACAGTGTATGCAAAGTCCTTGGGGCAAACATTTGGTAGAGTGCCTGAACTGAAAGGTTAATATTTCATTGTTTTTTGTGTTTTTGTTTTGTTTTGGTACTGGGGATCGAACTCTGGTCCTTACATTTGCGCAGCAGGTGGCAAAACCACTGAGCTAAATCCCCAGCCCTAGGTTAATATTTCAGAAAAGAAAAAAGGATGTATAGGGCCATGAGGAGAGGCCAAGAACTTAGCAGAGCTCTGTTAACCATGGCAGGCCATGCTGAGGCCTTGGTTTTCATTCTGGGGGCAAAAGAAAGCTACTGAGGTGGGTGCGGAGGTGCAGGGCTGTAATCTGAATTACCCAGGAGGCTGAGGCAGGAGAATGGAAAGTTCAAGGCCAGTTTGGGCAATTTAGTGAGACCTTGTCTCAAAAAATAAAAAGGGGGCCAGGTGTGGTGGTGCACACCTGTAATCCCAGCACCCAGGAGGTTGAGGCAGGAGGATCACTGAGAGTTTGAGGCCAGCCTGGGCTACATAGTGAGTTCAAGGCCAGGCTGAACTACATAGTGAGACCCTGTTTCAATCAATAAAAAATAAATAAATATAAACAAATAAAAAGAGCTAGAGATGTACTCAGTGCCCCGGGATCAATTCATAGTACAGCAAAAAACAAAACAAAAACCTCTCTGGTTGCAGTGAGGTGTGTAGGTTGGAGGGGACCCTGTGCAGGTGCAGAGACTCGAGACTACTGCAGTGAAAGTGCACAGTGGTGGGAATCAGGTGGTATCAGAGGAGATGAAGAGATGGGTCTAGGATGTTTAGAGGTAAAATCAATAGGACTTAGAGATGGAGGGGATATGGGGAAAGAGCCACCAAAGTGTTTTGGTTGTCTATGGCTGCAATCACAAAATGTAATGGCTTAAGGCAGCCAGCCATAGTTTTCTTATTTGTTCACAGTTCTATATTCGGATATTGCTCTGCCCATCAGCCAGGGAGACAAATGCTCAACTTGGCTGCTTTGTTCTCTCCTGTGCAGCTTTTCCATGTGGTCAGCATAGTGGTCTCAGGGCAGTCGGACTGAAATGTTGGCTGGTTTTCCCCCAAGTGCAAAAATGGAGGCTGCCAGTTTGGCCCCACTGTATTGGTTGAAGGGGATGAAAGGCCAGCCCAGACTAGAAAGGGGACCATAAAAGGGCGCGGAGATTCAGTGTGGTCACCAGATACCACACACCGTCTACTGTCTCCTGGGTTTCTAGGGTTTGTACTTGGATGCATGGTACTGCTGCTCATGGAGAGGGAAGCACTGTGTGTGGCTTTCATGCTCCTCCATTAAAAGAAAGTTCACTTATCTCCATAGGAAGGGTGATTACATGTCAGGTCTCTCTCCCTCATCCCTTTGTTGTGGATTCCTGTGGGCTGTTTTGTGCCCCCTGTGACATCCATCCCACTGGGGATGCCTAATCTAAATCCTGGTTTTCTCACTACATGGTTGTTCCAAGAGCCTTGGGACTGGGTCTCACTTGTTCCCTGATCCCCATCCAAGAAACTCACCCCACCTGTCACATAGCAAGTTCTCACATTTTCCTGATTTAAATATCATGTCTCTCCCCCCCCCCCAAGTGAAAGATATCGTGACCAGTTGAGCTCATGTAAATGTCATAAACTGATTTTTCTCCTAGTACTAGGGATCGAACCCATGGTGCTCTGTTACTGAAATATATCCCTTTTTTTTTTCAGTACCAGGGACTGAACTCAGGACCTTGCACTTTCAAGGCAGGCATGGCACCATTGAGCTAAGTCCCCAGCCCCCCTTTTTATTTTGAAGGTCTCGTTAAATTGCCCAGGTGGGACATGAACTTGTGATCCTGCTTCCCTCAGTGTTGGATTACAGGTGCGTACCACTATGCTAGGCATAAACAGTATTTTTAAATCAAGATTTTCCTAAATATGGGCTGCCGGGAACAAAGCCAGCAAGGAGCTGGGATTATACCAGAGGTTTTTTTTTTTTTTTGTATCAGGAATCGAGCTCAGGACCTTGCACTTGCCAGGCAGGCAAGGTGCCAATGAGCTACATCCCTGGCCCCTCTTTTTTTGAGACAGGGTCTTACATTGTAGCTCAGGTTGGCCTTGAACTTGCAGCAATCTATCTCAGCCTCCCAAGTGCTATGATTACAGATGTATGCCACCATACCTGGCCCTACACCTGATTTTTCTGATGATAAGTATAGTCTTTACCTGTAGATTGACTCTGATATGCTGCAGCTGCTGTTATAGAAAATATGGAATCTGTGATATCGATCAGTGCTATCTACTGTTCTAAACATGATCCTACTGTTAGATGACGGGGACTGGAACAGAGGTCAATGGCTCTGCTAGTGCCAAGTGGCTCCAAGGGAGTCAAGCATGTACACTGCCCACGGGTATCATGGGCAGTGGCCAAAGAACAAAGGAAAATATGAGGCCATTCTCTTTCTATAAAATCATTTAATGTTTTACTTTGTTAAAATACAGTCTAGATGCAGTAGATCAGGTGACCAGAGTTTTCAGGATTCTTACTCCACCAGGAGCTGATTTCATCTGTGTCATCCGTGACTCTGGTCACAGAACATCTTTAACTGAGAATACTGAGAGGGATGCAAATGATGCCATCCATAGCTGACACATGGGTAGGCAGTTGGTGGCCACTGCATGAGGTATCAACGATCCAGGTTCAAAAACTAAGATGGTAGTAACTTGACCTTTCCAAAAATAAATATATTAGGACACTACAGAGACACCTTCAATGAGTCTAAAATAAACACAAGGGAAGTGCTAGCTCCTGTGAGGAGCGGTGCATGCACAGACGGTGGATCAATGTGTGGCCAGCTGTGATAGAGTGCTGCTGGAATCCCCCAAAACCCTCACGGCACCAGGAAGATCTGAGAAGAGCACATCCTGGGCCAGGCTCCTTCGGCCCATGTTCCAGTGGGGTTTGGCATTCACTGTAATTTCTAGTTGTTTTCACCAGCAAGCATAGCAATGTCCTTTTCTTATTGGTTCCTACTCCCAAGCTTTGAGGCCTAAGGCTGATCATGGAAGCTCAGAAGGTTTTCTGGCATGAGCAGATGAACCCTGGAGCCACTAATAATCCAGGGACATGAGTTCCTTCCAGCTGCAACATTACTGAGATGAGAAGGCTTTTCATGCCTCCTCACTGCTGATCATTTGAATGAGAGCTTGAGGTTTTGTGTGAGCCTTAAGCCCTATTTCTTAGTCTCACTCCCAGCATATGCCACCAGTCTGCAGTAACATTCAAAGAAACAACCCGCTCTGTGCCAAGTTCTGACAGCAGGAACAGCCAGCCTCACCTAGAGTTTCTGTGCTATCAGGAAGTCTTCCAAAGGACATAGGCAAGAGGAAAAAAGCTTATCTTACCACCGTGCAGACAACCCATCTAAACATAACCAAGGAAATTAGAGTTTAACAAGTGTCTGGAGAGTACCAAATATAGTAGATTAAACTATCCCTCAGCCAAAGGATACTTTGAGAAAAACCAGACATGAGTGTGTGGCCTATTAGTAATAAATAAAACAGTACCATCAATGCTATAAAAATAGACAATCAGCACAACATTTAATGAGGTTATTACCACCTCTATTTAGGATCATCACAGATAATTCATCACTACTATGGAGTCCATAAAATGTGTGACTATGCTATTCTTGGGCATCTAGAGCAGTGTCTTTTAATCTGTCAAGTTAGTTTCATTATGGCCCATTTTCTAGCAGAGGTCGAGGGTAGGGAGAGGAGAGCTTTGATTTCTGTGTGTATAGGAACTTTCCATAAGCACGTTTTATAGGGTAAATTCCCCTGTCATTCACATGTCAAGGAGGCCCAAAAAACCCAAGACAACTGGGAGTGGTAGTGCACAGCTTTATACCAGCTAGTCTGGAGGCCAAGGCAGGAGGATCATGAGTTTGAAGCCAGCCTTAGCAAGTGGGCAGCAAAATCTGGCTGTTTCTAGAACTGCTCCTCCTCTCTGTAGCTGAGCAGTTGTCCCCTACCAGCCACTAAAAGCCCCATTCTTTACCTATAAACCCACTTCCTGCCTCTGTGGAACACACACATATGTTGAACCGCACTGGACACGTCTATGATAATCTGGCAGCTCAATCCTGGTTGCTCACCTCCACAGGAAGGCCTGATACCATGTAGCCTAGGTGATACCTTAGTTCTAGTCACCAGCAGGAAGGCTTGCCTGCCTTTGAAAGACCTCCTATTTTGTGTTCAGGGCTTGTGTAGGGCCCTGCTTCCTAAAGACTGCAGGGAAATTGTCCCAAATGGATGCAGGACTTTTGTAGAAAGATCCAAGGGTACTCTGGAGAGGTGGGCACAGAGGCACCCTTGGGAAAGATTCTACTTTGCCAATGTGACTAGGATCCCTTGAGAATTAAAGGTGATCTCTCACAATTCCTATTTGACAATTGCCCTACCACCTGGCTCTGCCACTACCAGTTGTCTGACTCAGACCAACGGTCCTCTCTGGGCCAAGGTTCTCATTCATAAAAACAGATAAAACCTCAACTTCACAGTTGTGAGGAGGCTTAAGTAACAAAATACATGTGACAGCCCCTGTTTTATAAGAGGCTCTCAGTAAATGGTGAATGAATGAAAAAGCATCTCATATTACAAACTCTAGGGCACTGGGTTAAACAAAATGACTTCGGGCCAATGCTAGACAGGATGTCCCCTTCTACCCCCAGGATTGAGCCAGTGCTTCTTCTCAGCTCTGGCCACTGTGCCTCTGGGACAGGGACTCAGGTCGACGATTCCAAGTGATGACACCAAGGGGATATCACACAAAGGAGAGTCTCTGCCTTCTATGGTGGACTGGGGAATCTGCACCGAGGAGCAGAAACAGAGTCTTACGTTTTAGCTTCTCCCCCGGCCCTTCTTTCTGCAGCTGAGCTGTCTGCTGAACTGTTTCACAGTCTTCAATTTTTTTCTGGACTCTCTGCCAGAGAGAGGATTAAGAAAATAAAAGAACCTCAAATCAGGCAGTTTGTTAATGTTTCTTGACTGAACAGAGATTGGGATAATAGAAAACTATGGGCTGAATAGCTTTAGTTTCTGCACATTCCCCTTAGAAAACAGAAAGTTGAGTAGGAATAAGTTCCAAGGGCTGAATCCTCAGGGTGCTGATGACTCCAAAGATGTCTAATTCTTTTTTTTTTTTTTTTTTTGGTACCAGGGATTGAATTTGGGTCCTTGCGCTTGCGCAGCAGGCAGCGAAACCACTGAGCTAAATCCCCAGCCCAGATGTCTAATTCTTGACAGACATTGTAAATAATTGTAAGTAACATGAAGCTGATTTGGATAAGTCTAGAATGCCTGGATAGTGAGACTTCACTGAAGGAGGGAAGAAGGAAGAAAAATGCATCCTTCCTAAATCCAAAACAGATTTTTTTTTTTTTTTCAGACGGCACTATGTAATTTGGGCTGGCCTTAAACTATGTAGCAGCCCAGGCTGGCCTCAAATTCTTGGTGATCTTCTTGCCTCAGCTTCCTGAGTGCTGGGCTCACAGGCATGCACCACCATATTTGGCTGAAAACAGACATTTTTTCTGTAATCAAACTAGTCACAGGAAAAAAAAGGAGATTTGGATGTGCTCCGCTGCCCTGAACTGCATTCCGAGAGGCAAGGTAGACATGGAGCAGGGGCTGAGAGAAATGCTCAGCCATTCATGTAACTTAGAGAAGCAGCCCTGCCCAGCAAGGGTTTCTCTATGACCAGCCTGGCTCCATGCTCAATTTCCTTCAACTCTGTGCAACAGACAACATTAGCAAATAGGAAAATGTTCATCATTTCCTGATTTTGTATTATAAAATGGAATTAGGAACATAAATAATAAGAAAACCCCAACCCTGTGCAAGACCCATCATCCTTTCAACCACTTCTGCGGAGCCCAATTAGTTTGGAAAGTTTTTCACAGTTTTCAAGTTTCAGCGATTCTGCTTTCTGTTTCAGTCGTTCATCTCTGTATAATCCTGCCAAGTTTGTCAACTCCGACTCTGAAAGATAAAAGAGATAACCAATTCATCAAAAGAGCTAAGCTCCTTTGTTTCATTTCAATATTTCTGGACTCAAAGTGCCTTTTCCTTAAATGTTTTTTTTCTTTTCGTTTTGGTTTTTGGAGACAGGATCTCACTATGTAGCCCAGGCTGGCCTGGAACTTGAGATCCTCCTGTCTCAGCCTCCTCAGTGTGGGAATTACAGGCATGTGCCACCATATCTGTCTTCTTAAATGCTTTTTCTTTCCATTAAATTTATTTATTTGTATTAGGCACTGCACCAAGTGCTGAGGATTACAGAACACCTGTGATCCTGTCGTCCCACAGTATCTGTGCTCTACTGTAAATGCCTTGGACTTAGCTCTTATCAATAAAACATTTGGCACCCAACTTTGGAAATGTGCATGTGTGCAGTAAGGGGAGATTGTGGCCTTCCTATCCATGGTATTCAGATGGCAGGTGGAGAGACTGAAGCCAGTCACCTATTCCTGTTATCTGAAACAAAGACAGTTGCTTCATTCCTTCCCTAGCATTGCTGATCATAACTCACACTCGACAGGGCTGACCTCTGGTGGGCAGCATCTGTGGAAGGCCGGGCTGCTGGCAGCTTCCCTCACTCCCTCACCACATGTGGGGTCTACAGCTCAAAGGCGAAAGGCAGCTGGGCTCTTTTAAAAGTGAAATCATCTGGATCTGGTGACCTTTGTCTCCTTGACTAAATGAATTTCATTTTCTTTTCACGGTAGAGGTCATTCTATTTTTAGCTAGAATATAATCTCTGCTATGTTTCCTGACTCCACAGTGGTTTGGTTGCCTTGATTTTTTATTCTTTTGTAAGGTTTCAGAGACATTTTGAGAGAGAAATGCTGAAAAGCACCTCCAGAGATGAGTTTCATATTAACAAGATGGCGTTCAAGGATGGGCTGTGTGGTTTCCAAGAGCCTCAGGCAGCAGGAAACTCCTCAGGGTTAAAGAACTATTCTTGTGAAAATGCTATTTTAATCAATATGAAGCATGCCTATCCATTCTTAATCATTTTTCGGACAGATTTTTTTATTGGCAGAACAAGAGGCACCTGTCTGATTAATCAGCAAACTGCCTGGAAACATGAATTAATATTTAGCCAGGAGCAACAATGGGCACTGCTTTCTGAATAAGTTTCTACTGACACAAAATACTGCCTGGCATTTCTGTTCACAGTGATTCTGTTTACGACAAGTAAAGCACAAAGTGCAGTAAAGGGCAGGACTCCAGAGAGAGGGGCAGATATGCTGGAAAACCCTCCCTCTGCCAGGAGCAGGCCCGGGCTGCAGGACAATGTGCCTCACCCGTGATGAAGGTGCCTGCCAGCCCTAGCCTGCCCATGCAGTCACCTTGCAGGTGATGGGCTTCATGGAGGGTTGTCCACTACACTCAAGTGAAAACTCCCTGCTTCTGCATCCTGCCCAGATCTCAGTGCTGTCTCCATTTCTTGGGCTTCTTGGCATATGGAAAACCTATTTATGAGGTCTCTGTAAAATCAGCCTACGGCCTTGGTCCTTTAGAGCCCCAGCTCCACTAGTACAGTGGACTTTTAACTTATGAACTCAGTAAGTTCCTGAGGGCTGGTTGTAACTAAGTCAATATGGCTGAGATCTGTATATTTACCTGGGTATACGCTATAGGTAACAAGAGGCAGATGAATTTTCCATTAAAACCCAAGTTGTTCATATTTCAGACAGGTTGTACACTGAGGGTCCACTATATGTAGAATGAACTACATGGCCTTGCTTTACATTCAAATTCCCTAGGTTCTTTTGTTTACTGACCTTTTCTAGATACCTCATTCCTTAAAGTCTCAGTCCAGAAAACATTAAAGGTTTATGATTCTTAGTATTTTCTGCACTAAAGACTACTATAAAAGCTGATGAGCCTGGCGTCGAGGTGCACACCTGAAATCTCAGCACTCAAGAGACTGAGGCAGGAGGATCACCATGAGTTCAGGGCCAGCCTGGGTAACATAGTGAACTCAAGGCCAGCCTGAACTATATGTGAGACCCTGCTTTAAAACACACACAAAAAATAGCTGGGTGGTGGTGTGCGCCTGTAATCTCAGCACTCAGGAGGCTGAGGCAGGAGGATTGCTTTGAGTTTGAGGCCAGCCTGGGCTACTCAGTGAGTTCAAGGCCAGCGTGAACTACATAGCAAGACCGTCTCAAAAAACCAAACCAGGGCCAGGGATTTAGCTCAGTGGTTTTGCCGCCTGCTGTGCAAGCGCAAGGACCCAAGTTCGATCCCCGGTACCAAAAATGAAGAAAAAAAACCACCAAACCAACCAAACAAAAAAAGCCTATGAAAGACATTCACACATATATAAATGCTTTTCTTGAAACATTATATTGCTTTTCATAAAGTTACTGAAACTAAGTCAGAGACCCCTGCTCTAAGAGATGACCCTGTCCAAGGACAGTGTTTCAAGGAATTATGTCCCACACCAACCCCCCAGGCTTACAGCAACTTCTCTCCAAGCTGCCAGTGAATCCTTTCACCCTTCAATGAGCAGAGTCAACTGGAAGAATGTTACTTTTGACAAGTTGTTAATATTCAGTAACTTTTAAGTAGTTTAAAAAAATCTGTGGAAGGGACAGGATTAAGAGAACACTTTTTTTTTTTGGTACCGGGGATCGAACTCGGTCCTTGCGCTTGCGCAGCAGGCAGCGAAAACACTGAGCTAAATCCCCAGCCCAAGAGAACACTTTTTATTCTTAACAAAATGTTCCCTTTGTACTGAACACCAGGCACAACAGATGGACAGAGCATTGAGCCTTAAAGGTAAACCGACTCTGGCAAATTGCCAAGAGAAGCAAGTGCCCGAACTGCTCCCCAAAACATGCTACACAAGAGCCCAGATTGGATTCTGACAGCTGCAAGGCCCAACAAATGCCAGCTCCCATCATGACCCAGCCCTCCAAGACAGTGCTGTCTCCTATCTGCTGTGCAAGGCCACACAAAGCCCAGATCCCACCAGGAATCCGGCGCTTCATCTGTGCCAGACACCGTGCAAGTGATTCCCATGCCATTTCTCAGAACCTCCAGAAGGAAGTTCATTCTACCTCCGTGTGGAAGCCTAAGCTTCTTCCTACTCTATGACCCTGCTCAAAGGCCTGGAGAAGTGCTCCTCAACCAGGCAGGACAAGGTCTCAGCTCCACTAGGCCAGAAGGCAGTTCTGCCTGCTGCCTGTGTCCTTCCCAGCCCAGTGGCTCCCCACCCCTCATCAGGCTTATTACGCAGATGCAGCCGTGAAGGAAACAGAACAATCAGGGTTCATAGTGAGGGATTACTCATAAAAATTCACCCAGATTCAGGATTCTAAGAAAGAGCAGAGAAAAGAAACAAACAAAAGATTAAAAAAGACAATTGTTAACTCTGATTTAAAAAGTTACCATTCTATATTATGCCAAGAGTGAACTTTGTTCTCAAGTGGGTTTATTTTTACAACCTCCAAATGCTAAATTTACCCTTGTGGGCTGCACTTGCTGCAGATTCAGAGGGCAGGTGCTGCCTGTTCTCAAATGGCACTGGGGTGGTGTGGAGCCTCCGCACAGCCATTGTACTTGAATGCCAGAAATAGATTTTTAGGAGTTTGTGCCGATAACCACACGCACAACCTGCGAGCACATGCGTTATGCTCTCTTGCTGGGTTCTCACTTGGACCCGGAGAGTGTGCCAAGGCTCCAAAACCAGGCCTCACACGGGTGGGAACAAAGGCAGAGAAACCACCTTTGCTGCAGTCATGAGCTCAGCATAGTTCTAGCTTTGTGACATCTGAATGCCAGAGGAGTGTGTGTGTGTGTTTGAAGATACGAATGCAGACTTTCCTCCAGTTCTTTCAGAAAGCAATAAGCTCAAAACTTTTCCAGTGCCCAGAACAATGGGAATGTTTAGGATATACACTGCAGTTTTCACCTAATTTGGATCCAGATATATATGCCTAAGGCATTTATCTTGCTCCCAAATTTTTTGCTGATTTTTAAAAACATACAGTGGGGTGTGGTACTTCTTGACCCCTCAGTTTTTTTAATGAAAAAACAATTTCCTTTTCCTATTTAATTGCCCCTAATATCCCGAAGTTATTGTTCCCAACCTCCTAATGTAATGAAGGCAGCTGTACTTTGCCTTACAGAAAGAAGGCAGAGACAAGGCCCCTAAGGGTCTGGGGTAGGACATGGGCCCTGCTCTGTTACTCATAACCCTCAGCATTCTCACTGCTTTCCAGTCCTGAGAATCCTGTCTTTTCTAAAGACATTTGTTGAGCACCTATTCTGAAGCATGGTCTGTGCCAGCAGCCTGGCACATAAAATTAGTACGACATGGTCTTATCCTTGGAGAGTCAGCAGTCCTGCAGGGGAGCATGACAGACCTATGGAACACTAATATGCATGATCATTACACGCTAGTAAGAAGAACAAAGTGCACTGGGGATGGTGCTACTCCTGTAACCCCAACTACTTGGGAGACTGAGCCAGGAGGATTCAGGCCAACTTTATGACACCCTGACTCAAAATAAAATTAAAATAGCGCTGGGAGCTGGCTGTGGTAGTGCATGTCTATAATTCAGTAATCTGGGAGGCCGAGGCAGAAGGACCACAAGTTCAAGCCCAGCCTGGACAACCTAGTGACTCAGTGAGACCTTGTCTCAAAATTTAAAAAAGGGCTGGGGATGTAGCTCAGAGCAAAGGCTCTGGGTTCAACTTCCAGTACTGCAGGAAAAGAAAAAAGAGGAAAGAGATTAACTTGAGGGATGGAGTTAGGAGTATGTGATGGGTCAGCCAGGGTTTAGCAGCACTGTGACCAAAGAGCTAATTTTTTTTGGTTTTGGATCCAAAGGACTAACTTTATCCAACACTGTTAGACATTTAATAATACCCAGTAACAAAAAATAAGAGTGTGCTTTGAAAAAAAAAAATCAACCAAAGCTGAATTTTATAAGATATAGTTACTGAAGGTATGTGTGTGTGTGTGTGTGTGTGTGTGTGTGTGTATGTTTAATTCAAGTGTGATAAAAAGTGAGTCTGCTGGCTGAGAGCCAGGGCCAGCACTTCGTAGTAACAACTGGAGTTGTAAGCCAAGCCCCAGACACTGCCATTGCCACTGAATCCAGAGAGGGAAACAGAAAGCAAGGCTGTACACACGCACCCCCATGAAGGGCAGATGAAGGGAGTCACTTTGTTCTGTGTGTCCACAGCTAGCAGAGGTGGGGGTAGGGGACACATGACTCAATACCAGCAACCAATAAACCCTTGGTTTGGCTCAAAATGCTAGCATGGCTCTATCAGATTTCCCTCTAGGGAACATGGGATCCAGAAGTTGAGGATCAAAGCAGCAAGCGCTGAGCACTGCAGGAGGAAGCTTGAGATGTAGAAAGGGACTGATGACTGTCGGGATCAGGGAGCTGGGAAAGCAACTAGGTCAGCAACCACAGCAAGCACAGCATGAAGAAACAACACTGGTGACAAGGGGAGGCCAGTGGCAGAGAGAGATAGAGACCCACAGAGAGATAAGTGCTACCTAAATTCCTAAGATTTCCAAGTCCTGGCCATGTGTACCCTATCAATAAACTCCCCTCACCCCATGGTGTGTGTGTGTGTGTGTGTGTGTGTGTTACTGGAGATTAAACCCTGAGGTGCTCCATTTATTTGGGGACAGGGCTTGCTAAGTTGCCCAGGCTGGCCTAGAATTTGTGATCCTCCTACCTCAGACTCCCAAATAGCTGGAATTACAGGAATGGGCCACCTTGCCTGGCTTCTCTCTCTCCTTTTTTTTTTTGGAAGTAGCCTGAATGAGCCTCTGTCTTCTGTCTCTATTCACAGAAACACATATAACCTAAACCAGGAGAGGGGGCATCGGGAAGCTGGAGATGCCTCATGGTAGGATCAGAGCCCCCACCAAAAGCTTCTTTGATAGCATCTTACTTTGCTGTTTCTCCTTCCAGCAACTCGTCTGGATGTAATCAATGTAATCCTTCTCTATTATCTTCTCCAGGTCACGCAGAGAAGCTCCTCTGTAGGCCTTGTCAAAGTTTTTATCCACAAAGTAAGGCACCTGGAGGTTCTGGGTTTCTCTAGAAATGGTGTGGCCCAATGTCCTAAAACAGACAGACAGAAGCTCAGGTGAGATTGGTATATTTGGCAATATCGTTCTTAGCGCTGGTCTAACAGATATCACGATAACCATCACCTTGTCAGAGAGCAAATACAGATATTTTTTTCTCTTTTTTTTCTTTTTTTGGGGGTGATACTAGGGACCCCAAGGCCTTCACACTGAGCTACAACTACAGCCTTTTTTTTTTTTGGCGGTACTGGGGATTCAACTCAGGACCTTGCACTTGCCAGGCAGGTTCGGCACCACTGAGCTACATCCCAGGCCCCACAGCCTTATTTTTTTTTGAGACAGGGTCTCATTCTGTAGTTCAGGCTGGCCTTGAACTCACTATGTACCCCAGGCTGGCCTTGAACTTGTGGCAATCCTCCTGCCTCAGCCTCCCAAGTGCTGGGATTACAGCCATGTGCCACCATGCCCAGCTCATAGACACCATTTTATACCCAACACTTCTTATTTCCCCTAGCAAAATAGTAAAATTCATCATTATCAATATTATATGAGCATGTTCATACTGTGAATTCAGCTTCAGCATATAAGTTTATTTTCTTCAAGGATTTACCTCTTTTACACTGTTTTCTTTGTAAAAAGTAGAATGATGAATGCTTAAAAAACCGATTAATGTATTGTAGAGGACCTGGCATGGCACCTGACAGTGTAGGCTGTGGGTGAATGGTGGTTATGTGAATTAACATTATAGCAAACTATTTACAAAACACCAGACAGCTTGCTCTAATGTAGAAGCAATTCATAGGACATGACAAAAAGTACATCACACATAGCTGCTATGTGAGAACTGCAAAAAACTTAGACAAAGGACTTCAGTGATGTCTAACACTCCATGGGTCCAAGACATCCAATGGTATCCGGTGCTCAAAACCATTAAGAGGTTGTCCCCACTCTAACCATACTGAAGAATTAAAGGTGGCACATATCTGTAATCCCAGCTTGCCTATAAGGCCTCTCTGGGTTACATAGTGAGTTTAAGGTTAACCTGGAATACACAGCAAGTGCCTGTCTCAAAAAAAAAAAAAAAGTGAGCTCATATTCAAGTTAAAACAATATGACAGCAACGTATAAAACCTGAGCAGGACAAACTCCATCTTAACGGAGCTATATGTGCCCTTCCCTGGCCCTCTAGTTTGATCTACTTAAGGATATTGCCAAATACCTAGGTTTGAAGGGCATGACTGTTTGCACCTCACTCTGGGAAGGGGTTAGTAGAACAGCCCCAGCTCACTGGCCTGACAAGAAAGAAGGTCAAAGTGGTATGGAAAAGAGGAGAAGTTGGGAAATCAAGGGAATCAGGCCAGTGTGACCTGCCTGCAGTAACTTCTCTCTGACCTGATGACTAGAGCTAAGCTTTGCTCTCTGTAAAAGGAAGATATTGGCCTAGAACAATAGTCTTCAGTTTACAGTGATCACCAACAAAGATGCTTCCTGTCATGTAGTATCCCATAAATTCCACCCATTTTTTCACTGCTGGGGATGGAATCCAGGATGGGTGCCTGCTTAACTGTAGAGCTACATCCCTGGTCCAGATTCTTTTTTTTTTAAAGGTTTTTGTCCACTAACCCATATTAATGAGTAATAAAAAGAAATTAATCCAGTGATTCTCAAACTTTAGCGTGCGCCAGAATTATATTGAAGACTTATTAAAACTCAGTTTGGTCCTGACTCCCGGGGTTTCTGGTTCAAGCAATACGCAGTGGAGCCTGAGAGTGTGCATTTGTTATTTTCGCCTTTTTGAGACAGGGTTTCTGTATGTACCCCAGGCTGGCCTCGAACTCATGGCAATCCTCCTGCCTCAGCCTCCCAAGTGTTGGGATTACAGGTATTACAGGTATGTGGCACCATGTCTGGCTCCTTATAATTTTTTATTTTTATTTATTTATTTATGTCCTTTTTCTTTTTTTTTTTTTAGGTTTTCTGAGGCAGGGTCTCCCTTTGTAGTTCAGGCTGGCCCTGAACTCACTATGTAGCCCAGGCTGGCCTTGAACTTGAGGCAATCCTCCTGCCTCAGCCTCCTGAATGCTGGGATTACAGGCATGTACCACCATGCCTGGTTCATTAGGGTCCTTTCTAACTCTACCATGGTGAGATAAGGGTTTACTTTGAACCTCAAGTTACTCTTTTTAAAAAAATTTTTATTTTATCTTATCCTATTCTCCCCTTTCCAACCCCTTCCCAGAACCTGACATTACTCTTAATCCTTCTGAACTACTTGCTGCTATTCTGCAACTGACCAGATGATGTCACTGTAGAACAAAACAATACATCTGAAGAGCTCCTGAGACTACTTACAGCAGTTTTGAGTCTGCACTATTATCACTTAGCTGTTCCTTTAAACATAAAATCAGTGTTTTCTACAGTGAAAAGTGAAACGAAATGTTGGTAAAATATCAGCAGAACCTTCACATTTTTCATGTTCCATACTGTTATTGAGAAGGACTTATAAATATCTGACTTACGATTTATAAAATAGGCTATATGGAGGATTAGCAGCCAGCAGTTGAGTAACGACAGATATGATTACAATCACAAGAACCGGAAGTAACTGAATAAATGCAGAATATGTAGTCTAAAAAAGAAAAAAGTTGTTGGTGTAATCATTGTTCATCAATGTAAAGGTTATTAAAAATACAAAGAAATCCCAAAGTAGTGGAGATTTCTAATGCACTGTACAGGAGGACCCACAAAGCCCAAGGCTTCTTTAGGAACACTTATCCTCTCTGCTGAGAAGGCTGAAGGAGGCCCATCCACAACCCAGATATAATTTAGGTTGGCTTTGAACTCACTATGTAGCCCAGGCTGGCCTCAAACTCCCAGCAATCCTCCTGCCACAGCCTCCTGAGTACTGGGATTACAGGCATGTGGTACCATGCCCAGCAAACCTGGAGGCCTTGTACATGCTAGGCAATGCTCTACCAATGAGCCATATCCCTAGCCCTGAAGAACACATCTTTGATGGATGAGTATGCTGACACCCAGTAATACTGCAGCCCCTCCTCTAGGACCAATAGCAGGTTAGTGTTATGTGACCCTCTTGCCTTGGCCACAGATGACTGGACTAGGGGCATCTAACTCTAGCAGGGACAATCAGATACTCCCTGCTTGGGGATTTGAGGTTGAGGTCTGTCACCCTTCACACTTATATCTGGCACTGGGGAAGGGGAAGGAGAATAAGCCAGACTGCTTAGAAAGAACAAACCAGAGGCTGAGAGTAGTGGGAAAACTGGAGATAACCTGGCTCAGCTCACAGTGAGTGCAGCTGCCTGGGAGCCTAACAGCACCCAGGTCCTGGTTCCTGACTGTCCTCTCACCCGTGAGCTTCATGAGACTCCCTGGATCGCTTAGCTCAAGCCCATTTTAGTTCTGAATCTTCTGAAGGAGGCTCTTATTTTCTGTATTTAAGAATACCAGATCAAAATAGCCCCAACAAGGAAACTGAGATCTGGAGAGAAACAAAAGAACTGGCAAGGCGTGAGGGTGAGGTAGATTCTGGCTTATTTGGGCCAATTACCCAGCTCTTCTCACCATTGCCTCTGCTCCCCTAAAGCACATTTCGGCCACAGCTCAAGGTGAACTTCTAGAACTTGACCATGCCTCATAACGGTGGGCTCAGTACAACTGCTCATGAGCCACAGCTGTGGTCACTTCCCCAGGCACCTGAGCTTTATCTTCTTCCTCTTCTTTCCGTGTCTGTGTCCTCTCATGTCGGTGCCGCCGGCGGTAATACTGAATGTCATCAGTCACATTTGAGAACATATGAATATTTCCTGGAAAAGAAAAAAACACTTCATAGGCACATGGCGAACAATCCTTTTTTTCAAGGTCCTTGCTCCGAGCTAGGTTCTTTGAGGACAGAGTATTGGGCTATATTACCCAGCAGAAAAATAAGACAGTAGGTGAGCCAGTGAGCCAGCTGGAGAGGGAATGTGCTTTGCTCTTCTAACATCACTTAAACAGTCCTTTGCAACTGGTGAGAGGGACAGAGATAACCCTAAAGACTAGAAGACAGTGAGTGTTTGGACCATGAATCTTATCTGGTGTGCTCATGTCTGTAGCTGTGGACAAAATCAGACTGTCATTGGTATCTTTAATAGCAACTCATAAAATTCAATTTGGAGAGCTGGTGGTATAGCTTAGGCATAGAGTGCTTGCCTAGCATGTGTGAGGCCCTGGGTATGATCCCCAGCACCACACAGTCCCAATCTTCTGGGGGTATTTTCTGAGGGTTGCAGTACTGGGGATTGAACCCAGAGACACTACTACTGAGCCATATCCCCAGCTTTTTTTATCTTTTATTTTGAGACAGGGTCTTGCTACGTTGCCCAGGCTGGCTCAAACTTCTGATCTTCCTGTCTCAGCCTCTCAAGTAGCTAGAATTACAGGCATGTGCCACTGTGCCCAACTTCAACTTATCTTTATAACCTCTATTTTGCAATAGTTACCATAACAATAGGTATTTTGCTAATGATTTATAAAGCACTTTAAAATATCAAATCTTGGGCCAGGGATTTAGCTCGTGGTTCTGGTGCCTGCCTCGAAAGCACAAGGTCCTGAGTTCGATCCCCAGTACAAAAAAAAAATAAAATAAAATCTTCATAGCAAATGAGAACTAGATTTTTGTTTGTTTGTTTGTTTTTGGTACCAGGGATTGAACTCGGCACCTTACGCTTGCAAGGCAGGCACCGGAACCACTGAGCTAAATCCCTGGCCCTGAGAACTAGATATTATTATCAGCCCCATTTTCCAGGTGCAGAACTAGGGTGAGAGAGATCTAGTCAAAAACACATAGCTGGAGGCTAGAGACTTGCCTCAAGCTTCTGTTCAACTGATTCCAAATTCTTGCTGTTTCCACGAAACCACTGTCCCTTTATTAAGATCTTAAAGCTAGAGCTTGCAGAGAACCATAAATAAATATTTTTAAGAATCACAATTCTGAATTGGCCATGATGGCACATACCTATAATCCCAGCACTGGGGAGGCTGAGGCAGGAAGATCACCTTGAGTTTGAGGCCAATCTTGAATACTCAGTGAGATCCTGTCTCAAACAAACAAAGAATCATAATTTTGGGATACTAACCTGTAGGAAAATGTCCTCCAAAGAAGACATTGAATAGCTCTTCTGGAGTGATGTCGGCTTCAAAGTCCTTGTAATAATTATAAGGTCTGCCTCGAGGTGCAGTGAAAGTCACTTGTTCATCTCCATATTCATCATAGCGGAATCGCTTGTCAGGATTGCTCAGCACTGCAAAGGCATTTCCTATCGCTGCAACCAACAACAAGCACGTGAGCAGGGCCTTTGCTGTGCTGAGGCCAATCACAGCAGCAGCAAGGAGGGCCCAGAGTTGACGGGTGTTGGACAGTATCACAGGGGCCCAGAGAGAGATGCCTGGGCCTGCAAAGCCCCCTTGAGATTGTCCATGACCTAGCTTGGTAAGCCAGAAACAACACTGGAATCAGACAAACTAAAAGTACTCCTAAAGTGAGAGTTAACTCTTAAAGAGTTCTTGAGTCATCTCAGCTGTCCTCGGACCTCACCACCTCCCTCCAGTTCAGGTAGCCAATCACTATAATTCTCAGACATGTTGGGGAAATGTCCTCTAACTGGCTAGCACGCTCATCCATCAAAGATGTATTCTTCAGGGCTGGGGATACTGCTCATTGGTAGAGCATTGGGTAGCATGTACAAGGCCACCAGGTTTGCTGGGCATGGTGCCACATGCCTGTAATCCCAATACTCAGGAGGCTGTGGCAGGAGGATTGCTGGGAGTTTGAGGCCAGCCTGGGCTACATAGTGAGTTCAAGGCCAACTGAAATTATACAGTGAGATCATGTCTCAATTAAAAAAAGAAAAAAAAAAAAGGCCTCCAGGTTCAATCCCAGGGCGAGAAAAACAAAAACACAAACAAACAAAAAAAGGTATTCTTAGGCTGGGTGTGCTGCTGCATGCCCTACTTTGGAGGCTGAGACAGAAAGATCACAAGTTCAAGTCCAACTTGGGCAAGTTAGTGAGATCTTGTCTTAAATAATAAATAAATAGGACTAGGGGGATGTAGCTTAATGGTAAAGCACTTGCCTATCATGCATGAGGCCCTGGGTTTAATCTCCAGTACCACAAAAATATATACATTCTGGAAATATGGAAATCAGTGGAAAAGATTTGATCTATAACTGTTTTTATGTTCTTTCCATACAGCTTTTCCTATGAACATTTAATAATAAGGGCTTTAAGGCCATTCATGGTGGTGCACACCTGTTATCCCAGCACTCGGGAGGCTGAGGCAGGAGGATCGCCATGAGTTCAAGGCCAACCTTGGCTATATAGTGAGTTCAAGGCCAGCCTGGACTACATGGTGAGACCCTGCCCCGCTCCAAAAAAAAGGAAAAAGAAAAATAATAAGGGGTTTATGTACAAAGAATTCTATGGTTGTAGAAGTTTGGGAATACTGCCTATGTTCTACTTGGACACAAACACGAGCCTTTATGTTCCACAGCAATCAGGTCTGGGTTTTTTTGTTTTTTGTTTGTTTTGGTTTTTTGGTACTGGGGATTGAACCAAGGGCCTTTACACTGAGCTACATCCCCAGTCCTTTTTTATTTTTATTTTGAGTCAAGTTCTCACTAAATCACTTGGGCCCCCAGAATGCTGGGATTATAGGCAAGTGCCACCATGCCTGTCTATCTTTTATGCACTCTGGCATCTGCCACATAGAAGGTCTTCAATAAATATTCACTGAATCAATGAATGAATGGTTCCAAAAGGTATACAAAGAAACCAAATTTTTTTTTCAAAAGAAATTAGGGTAAGTAGATGAAAGCAGGAAGGAGCTATGCTGATAATCACTGCTTAAGAAGTATGACAAGGAGGGCTGGGGATTTAGCTCAGTGGTTCCAACGCCTGCCTTGAAACTGCAAGGACCTGAGTTTGATCCCTGGTACAAAAAAAAAAAAAAAAGAAGTATGACAAGGAGCCGGGTATGGCAACACACCACTGTAATCCCAGCACTTGGGAGGCTAAGGCAGGGGAATCTCCACAAAGTTCAAGGCCAGCTACATAGTGAATTCAAGGCTAGCCTAAATTACACAGGAGACCCTGTCTCAAAAAAACAAACAAACAAAAAAGAAATATGACAAGGATAAAACCGTGCATATGGCCTTATAAACCAATTTGCTGTCACCAACCATCACAAGGGCAGAATTAAGCATCAGTTCAAGATTAGACCTTTGAAAGCATCTGTTGCTCCGGGAGCACAGTTCTTATCAGGGTGAAATTTCAGGGCCAGTTTTCTATAAGCTTTCTTAAGTTCTTCATCACTGGCATTTCGGGCAACTCCCAGAATTTCATAGTAATTTCTGCACTTCTTGATCCTCAAAAAAAAAGAAAAGAAATTAGAAATATGGTATGCCCACATAGGCCCCTTTTACAATTTAACTACGAAATAATACATTGATCCTCCCTTCAATCTGTGAGACCCAAAACAAACCTAAAAGAAATTAGCGAACCCATTAATAAAACTTTCAAGTCCTTTACCTAGACTTTTGTTCTGATACTGGGGATTCAACTCAGGGCTTTTGCACTGGGCTATATCCTCAGTCCTTTAAAAAAATTTTTTTAAATTTTTGAAACAGGGTCTCACTAAATTGCCCAAGCTGGGCTCAAACTTGTGATCCTCTTGCCCCAGCCGCCCAGAGGGCTAGGATTTCAGGAGCATGCCACCACATCAGGCTTAAAAGTATTTTTTGGTGTGCTCCACAGCCATTGTTCTAATGAATGGAAACAGCTAATTTCCATTTGCTTGGCACACGCTGCATGCATGTATTGAAATATCACACTGAACCCAGTAATATATAGAATTTATACTTGTTAATAAAAAAAAAATGTTGGGCCAGGGATTTAGCTCAGTGGTTTCGCCGCCTGCTGCGCAAGCTCAAGGACCCGAGTTTGATCCCCGGTACCAAAAAAAAAAACAAAAACTGGCCTCCCTCTTTTCACCTAAAGGAAACACAAATCATTTTTCCTTATTTTTTTAACTAAAAATTTATCTTAGAGATTGATCCATAATATGTAGAGATGAGAAACATAGAGCAATAGTTTAGACTAGAATGGCAGTTCTTAACATTTTGATCTCAGATATCTTTTTCTGTTTTGTTTTGGTTGTGGGATTTTTTTGCTTTGTTTTGTTTTTGGTTTGGTTTTTTGAGACAGACTCGGTATGTAGTTCAGGCTGGCCTTGAACTCACTATGTAGCGCAGGCTGGGCTCAAACTTGTGCCGATTCTCCTGCCTCAGCCTCCCGAGTGCTGGAATTACAGGTACACACCACTATATCCAGCTTCAGAAATCTTTTATACTCTTAAAAATTATTGAAAAGGCTGGGGATTGTGGTATACACTTGTAATCCCAGCTGCTTGGGAGGCTGAGGAAGGAGGATAAAAGTTCAGCTAACCTGGGCAACTTAGCAAGATCCTGTCTCAAAAGGAAAAGGAATAAGGATGTAGCTCACTGGTAGAGTACCCTGGGTTCAATCCCTAGTACCATGAAAATAAGTAAATAAATAATTGTTTTAGATTCCTGATAGCCCTAAAGTGTGTGAGTTATATCTACCAATACAGTATTTACTATACTAGAAATGAACACAAAAATTACACCATGTAGCCTTTCAAACATTCCACTGTACAATTATGAGAAAACAAGAGTGAAAAAGGCAAGTAGCATGTTTGTATTATTATGAGAACAGCCTTTTTTTCCTTTTGGTACTGGGGATTGAACCCAGGGCTTTCTCACTGACTATATCATCAGCCTCTTTTTTTATGTTTTGTTTTACTTTGAGACAGGGTCTCTCCAAGCTGCTAAATTGCCCAGGCTGGGCTTGAACTTTTGATTTGCCTGCCTCACTTTCCAAGAGTGCTGGGATTACAGATGTGCAATACTACATCCAGCTTATTATGGAATAGTTGTGTTTTTTTTGGTACCGGGGATAGAACTCAGGATCTTGCGCTTTAAAGGCAGGCGGCGGAACCACTGAGCTAAATCCCTGGCCCAATTATGGAATAGTTTTAACTTGCAGATCTCCCTGGGAAAGTTTCAGGATTCTCAAACCACTTTTTGAGAATTGGTGGACTACTGCATGAACTCTTGAGTCAAACATGCCTTTGTCTGGATTTGATCATACTTAACCTCTGTACCTTAGTGTTATCTTTCAAAATGGGCTAATAAGTATACCTACATTTCAGAATTAATGTTATGATTAATATAACCATTATATACTATAAACATGTACTATAAAATAAAAATTTAAAAATGTTATGATTAAATAAAGTTATCAAAGCACTTGATAGCAAGTGACACTAAATAAACATTAGTGGCTAGGTGGTATGGCACATGCCTGTAATCCTAGCTACCCAGGAGGCTGAGGCAGGAAAATCCAAAAGTTTAAGGCTAGCCTGGGCCACTTAACAAGACCCTGTCTCAAAAATAAAATAAAAGGGCTAGGGAAACATAATAGTGGTAGTGCATTTGCCTAGAATGCACTAGGCCCTGGGTTCAACCCCTAGTACCAAATAAATAAATAAATAAATAAATAAACAAACAAACTTTAGCTACCACAGTAGGTATCTACTTCATTCTTTTAAAAGCTGCTGTAAGTCAGTAACACAGGAATTATAATGAATTATAATGCAGGGTCTATATCAACCAGGTCTCTTCCTAAAAAGCTTCCCAGTTTCAATTCTGTTTCGATGGCAGATACTCACTTGCCCCTGACCCCATTCTCTCTTCCTCTCTTAAATTTGTTTTATGAGAGCTTCATTGAGGAATAATTCACATGCCGTAAAGTTACCTTTTTTTTCAAATGTACAGTTCAGTGGTTTTTGAGGGGGTCTACTTATAGAGTTGTGTATTTATTATGGCTATCTAATTTCAGAATATTTTTTGATGGGCATGGTGGTGCACACCTGTAATAAGAGCACTTTGGAGCCTGAGGTAGGATGATCGCCAGGAGTTCAAAGGGCAGCCTGAACTACACAGCAAAACCCTGTCTCAAAACACCAAAAAAAATTTTTTTTTCATCACCCCTAAAAGAAACTTCATACCTATTTGCAGTTATTCCTACTTCCCCTCCTCTAGGGAAGCCACTAATCTACTTTTATCTCTATAGATTTGCTTATTCTGATTATTTCATGTAAAAAGAATTATACAGTATGTGACCTTTTGTGTCAAGCTTCTTTCACTTGGCATGTTTTTAAGGTTCATACATATTGTAGTATGTAACAGTACTTAATTTCTTTTCATTACCAAAAAATATTTCTTTCTGGATGTAGGGGACTACTTGGATTAAACCCAGGACCTTGCCCATGCTAGACAAGTGCTCTACTACCCAGATACGTCCTTGGTCTTTTCATATTATTTTGAGACAGGGTCTTGCTAAGTTGTCCCAGCTGACCTCAAACTTGTGGTCCTCCTGCCTTGGCCTCCCAAGTAGCTTGGATTGTAGGCATGTGTCACCATGCCCCATTGCTTGTGGGAAGTTTTTTAATTAATTCAATCTCCTTATTTGTTGTAGGTCTACTCAAATTTTTGATTTTTTTTCTTCAGCCAGTTTCAAGTTTATATCTTTCCAGGAGTTTGTCCATTTCATATAGGTTATTTAATTTGTTGGCATATAATTATTCATAGTATTCTCTTATAATCTTTATTATTTTCATAAGATTGGTAGTAATGTCCCCTTTTTCACTCCTGATTTGAGTTTATTCTTTTTGTACTTGGCCATTCTATCTCTAAAGGTTTCTCAATTTTGTTGATATTTTCAAAGAACCAACTTATGATTTTACTGGCTGTTTTTCTATATTGTTTCATTTATTTCTACTCTATATTATTTCCTTTTCCTGCTTGTATAGGTTTAATTTGTTCTTTTTGTACTTGGGGTAACCCAAGGTCTTCTTACTGAGCTACATCCCTAGCCCTTTTTAATTTTTCACTTTTTTGGCAGTACCGGGGATCAAACTCAGAACCTTGTGGTTGCAAGGCAGGAGTGGTGCCACTAAATCCCTGGCCCAGCCCTTTTTAATTTTTAGTTTTAGACAGGGTCTCACTAAGTCACTCAGGGTGGGCTTGAACATTTGAACCTCTTGCCTCAGCCTCACAGAATGCTGATTATAGGCATGATTATAGGATTATAGGCATGCGCCACCATGCCCAGCTTTTTTCTAGTTTCTTTCTTTTTTTTTTTGGTACCAGGGATCGAACTCGGGACCTTGAACTTGTGAGCCAGGTGGCAGCACCACTGAGCTAAATCCCCGGCTGGCCCGGCTGGCCCTCTAGTTTCTTTTTTTTTTTTTTGGTACTGGGGATAGAGCTTGGGTCCTTGCGCTTGCGCAGCAGGCGGCGAAACCACTGAGCTAAATCCCCGGCCCTCTCTAGTTTCTTAATGTTGAAGAGTAGGTCACTGACTTGAGGTTTTTCTTTTTTTAAATAAGCATTTATAGCAGTAAGTTTCTTTCTTTCTTTTTTGGGGAGACTAGGGATTGAACTTGGGACCTTGAGCTTGCAAGGCAAGTGGCAGAACCACTGAGCTAAATCCCCAGCCTGGATCTATTGTATTTTAGAATTGTGGATTCACTTTCACTAATTGTGAATTTCCAAACTTCCTTCTGTTATTAATTTCAGAGAACATATATTGCATGATTTTAATATTTTAAAATTTATGGATGTTCATTATATGGCCTAAGATATGGTCTATCCCAGAGAGTGTTCCATGTATCCTTGAAAAGAATATATATTCCATGGCTATTGGACAGAATGTTCTATGGACGTGTGTTATATTTAGTTGGTTTCCCCTCCCTCTTTTAAAACTGAAGCAGGCTTACCAGGTAGCTCACATTATACTCTAATACTATACTTCTACCCAGTCTTCTCTCTGAGGTCAGGAAGCTATTGTGCTTTGAGCCGGGCATGGTGATGCACACCTGTAATCCCAGCACTCCAGAAATTAAGACAGGAGGATCACTATGAGTTTGAAGCCAGTGTGGACTACATAGTGAGTTCAAGACCAACCTGAACTACATAGCAAGACATTGTCTCAAAAAAACAAACAGAAAAGAAGTTATTGTCCTTCAATAATAGTAACAATAGTGACAGCAGCAGCAGCAGTTAATTCTTATATAGCACATCCTCTGTGCCAGGCACTCTTCTAAGCACTTTACATGAAACACTCGTTTCATCCCACCACACACTTACCTTTGTACCCCAAGCAGCTGTTCCTCAGTATAAGTGGAGCTGCCCTCACCCTGCCGGGTCTGGTTCCGCTCATTCTCAGACTTCTTTTCCTTTTGTGGCTTCATACAGTCACAGCAACCACAGGGCTCGTGACTCTCGGGAGGTCTGTCTTCTGGGTATTTGTTTCTTCTAACTGCATCAATGTAAGCTGCAAAGCAATAGCCCCTCCAGTAGGCCTCCATTTGACCCTGAAAATCAACTTTGCTATCTGCCTTCACTCTTGGAGAGTGCTTGTTGACATGAGCAGGGGAGTGCAAAGAATAGGATGACATGATGCTTACTTTTAAGCATCCGTACAAAGCTGAATAAACATCTTCTCAAGAAAACTACACAGAAAATATGGGTATCACCTAAGAAAAACTTATAAAAGCCAGAAACATGAAGCACAAGTCCACTATATTTACAATGGTCAGTCAGCAAATAATCTTGACTTAGAGACAGAAAAGGAGCCCAGCATGTAATCCCAGCACTTTGGAAGGCTGAAGCAGGAGGACTGCAAGTCTGAGTCCAGCCTAGGCAACTTAGTGACTTAGTGAGACCTTGTCTCAAAATAAAAAGTAAAAGCCAGGCATGGTGCTGCACATCTGTAATCCCAGCACTCAGGAGGCAGAGCCACGAGGATCCCCATGAGTTTGGGGCCAGCCTGAACTACACAGTGAGTTCAAGACCATACTGCACTACATAGTGTAACCCTGTCTTAAACAAACAAAAATAAATAAAAAATAAAAACAGACTGGGGTTGTAGCTGAGTGTGAGGGCCCTGGGTTCAATCCCCAATATCACATGCTTCTCAGGGGGCTCAAGAAGCATTTGCCCAACACCCTGCCTTTAGTGCAGTACAGGAGAAAGCCTATTTCTCTGTGCTCCATGGTCAGAAGTGACACTGCTTATAAAATAATACTTTTTCTTAAAATTATGAGAAAAAAAAAAGGAATCAAACTCTGTGTAGATAGGGAAGGGTGGAGGGGGTGAAGGGTGCACAGGTAATGGGAGAAAAAATAAAAACTAAGATGCATCATGTTCTGGTACAAACACCCAATGATAAATGTAAATGTATTTTATACCTAAAATTTACCAATAAATATATATATATTTTTTAAAAATAAATAAATAAATAAAATAATACTTTTTCTTTTTCTGGTACCGGGGATCGAACTTGGGACCTTGTGCTTGTGAAGCAGGCACCGGAACCACTGAGCTAAATCCCCGGCCCAATAATACTTTTTCTTACACTATCTCCTACCCATATGATTTATAAATGACTTTTTTTTTTTGGTACCGGGGATCAAACTCTGGACCTTACGCTTGAGAGGCAGGCACTGGAACCACTGAGCTAAATCCCAGGCCCTTCCTACCCATATGATTTAAATAGAGAAGAGTTTAGTTATTTTAAACTAACAGCTATAGACCTAATATGCACTAAGACCCTTGGCTAGGTAGATCAGGGAGATGTATGAGTAAGGCCTACTGTTGACCAAAAAGAGGTTATAGTTTAATGAGAGAGGATTAGATAAATTATAACCCTAGCAGAATGTAAAGAGGGTTACATGCAATCCAGTCAAAGAGAGCAGAGCACTTATGTCTTGTCTGGAGGATCTGGGAAAAGTTTAAAAACCATCTTTCAGCTGGGTGTGGTGATACTCACTCTAATCCCATCACTCAGGAGGCTGAGGCAGGAAGACTGTCATGAGGTCAAGGCCAGTCTGGGCTACATAGTTCAAGGCTAGCCTGGACTACAGAGTAGTCAAAGTGTCTACTCTGTCTCAAAAAACCAAAACCAGGGCTGGGGATTTAGCTCAGTGGCACCTTGTCTCCCTCACAAGCACAAGGTCCTGAGTTCGATGCCAATACCAAAAAAACAAAAACAAAACCAGGCATGGTTTTCCTAGCTAGGCATGGTGGCACAACATGTAATCCCAGCACTCTGGGAGGCTGAAGTATGAAAACTCAAAAGTTTGGGCCCAGCCTGAGCAATTTAGTGATTTAGCAAGACCCTGTCTCAAAATAAAAAATAAAAAAAGGGCTGGGGATGTAGCTCAGCAAAGAAGGCTCTGATTTCATTCCCCAGTACTGCAAAATGACAACATCTTCTCGGCCAAGAGTGGTGGCACACACCTGTAATTCCAGCACTCTGGGAGGCTGAGGCAGGAGGACTCATTCAAGGCCAGCCTAGGCAACTCAGCAAGATAATGTCTTGAAATTTAAAAGGGCTGGGATGTAGTTCAGTACAATGGCAAAAACCAAAACAAAACAAAAACACTTCCTCAAGCTTAATGTCCCCGTGACTGACCACTGCTCTGTGACACTCTTCCTTAAATCATCTTGGCTAACTTGCATCCTTCATGTCATCCTATGGAACACGTTCTCAGTGAAGCCTCCCTTGACAGTGAGGCTGTGCTATGTGCCTTGTCGGTGTACTCTCCAACCCCCCTCCTTGTTGTGTTCACTCATCACACAATTCTGACAATTCTGTGAGCTCAGAGGCCCATGTCTATCAATTCTCTACTGCAGGATTAGCAAAACGTGGGGCACATAAAACGTATTAGATCAATACTTTTTGCCTGACTGCAGGTTGGAAAAGGACAACCTATTGGTCCTGATGCGGCTGCACAGACATGATCAAATTGGGACTGAGTTTCAGAGGCCCAGTTTGAGGGTGTCAGCTATAAAGGCATGGAAAAGGGAAAGCCAAAAAAAAAAGAAAGAAAGAAAATGGAAAGCCAGTCCCGAGAGACTGCAGCATTCCCGGCGGTCCACTCATCCGGGCTCAGCAAGGGCCGGATGGCCGCGGGCCCCGGGCGTGGCTGGGGACCAGAGGCCACAAATTGTCACCCGTGACTGGGCTCGAGGCCGGGGCCCCAGCTCAAGCCAGCGTCCCGGTTCCGGATCCCGGCATCTGCCCTGGGCGATCTCGCCCAGCAACCAGAACCCTCAGGCTTAGCCTCTCACAGGCCTCCATCCTTCACCTCAGGCCCGGGATCTCAGCCATTATGCGTCTTATCTCTCCGTAATGCCGCCTCGTCCTACCTTCTGTCCAGGTCCTGGTACCTTCAGTCCAGCGCTCCCCGCTGCCCAGAGTGGCCGACATAATCGATTCTCAGCTCCCAGGTCCACTGAGCCTCCCTTGCGTTCGAGGCTACAAGAGAAGGGGGCTGAGCGCGGGGCACGCTGGTCATTGTAGTTCGGTGCTATGGGCTGCCGGGGCGCGGGACTACAACTTCCGGCAGACCCTGCGTGAGGCCCCGAGGAGATGCAGAGGTCCTGAGGCTGGACGCTTGCCTTCCACCGATTGCTACGTGGCCATTGGCTATTCCTCATCTGTAGAGTGCGCATGGTGGCATTTATGCTCCCTAGAATTGAGGACATCCAAGGCAGCGCGACTGTCTTTCCTGGGAAGGGCTGCACAAACTGTTGGCTAAGGTGACAATTTGACTATTCTCAGGAATGTCCTTTTAAAATGTATGTCAGTGCCTGTTCTGTGCGAAGTCTGCCCTTGGCCTTGGAAATTCAGAGATGGTTTGGCGATGCCTTCCCTAGCTCTGGGAAGCTTAAGGAGCTACAAAAATAGAAAGTTAGACCCAGGGACTATGGTGTGGAGTACAGCTATTCAGGAGGCTGAGGCAGGAAGTAGTTAAGGAGCCTGCTTTCTGGGCTAGATCCACCTTCTGAGTTAAACATTAGGCCTGGACCAGTATATCCAGGTCTAAATACAATGAGGAAAAGTAACCAGGTAACCCAGCTAATACACAGTAAGTCTCTGTGCATGCAACCAGTGATCTTCAGCAACCCGTGGCCCACCCCATCCCCAATTACTGTGTCATTGACAATTCCTCCAAGGGCCATGAAAGGTCAAAAACTCCACTGCACGGTGGAGGGCCCTAAACTAAGTGGCCCATTGTCAGGAGTCAAACCTCAGACCAACCTTTCAATCCCAACCCAAACCTTATTGCTTAAAACCCTTTGCAGCAGGGTGGGGGATTTAGCTCAGTGGTTCCAGTGCCTGTCTGGAAAGCACAAGGTCCCGAGTTCCATCCTGGTACCAAAAAAAACCCCCTTTGCACCAAACCTCCTTGGGGGCCAACAGCTCCTTTTACTGGCCCACCCCTACCCTGTGAAGTGTACTTTCTTTTTTTTTTTTTGGTACTGGGGATCGAACTCAGGTCCTTTCACTTGCGAGGCAGGCGCCAGAACCACTGAGCTAAATCCCTGGCCCTAAGTGTACTTTCCATTTCAATAAATCTTTGATCTTGCTGCTCATTTTGGGTGTCCTCAAATCTTTGTTCAGGACATCAAGAAACTCAGTAACAGGAAGAGCACTTGGGTTCAGAAGTTTGGGACCAGCCTGAACAAGGTAGCAAGACCCTGTCTCAAAAAAATAAAAGGCGTGGTAGACTTACAAGGTTAGAAAGTGGTCCTGGTAGGCCCCCAGAGCCCAGCCCAGCTTCTCAGGCATCACAGAGAAAGAAAAAAAGACCAGGTTTGGGACCTCTTCAGAGCCCCTATCTTTTCTGTTCCTTATTTTTCCTCCACTCTGTTCTACTCCAGTGTCCCTCTGAGACTTTTTTCATATTTTCCAGTCCAGTCATTTCCTTAGCCCATTCCCTATTTTTCTGAAGGACCAGGTCTAAGAAGTTAATAAAATGGAAATGAGGAACTATTCTTTTTTTTTTTTAATTAATTTATATTTTTTTTTGAGGAACTATTCTTACTCGTTTTCATCTCAGTTTGCCTGGAGTCTAGCAAAGAATAAAGGTAATTTTTTCACTTCATCCATGGTTAAATGGCTACAGTGTCCTCACACACTGACTTATACATGCAGGAAGGTGGTGGGTAGGTTGGGATGGCCAAGATCAGGTCTGCAAAAGGGCAGAATTATCCAAACAATTATGTGGGGAAAAATTATAATACTTGAAATTCACTCAGAGTTTGTCCAAGAAGACCAAATCAATTATGAAGACAACCAACAGCTACTTAGGCTTTTGAGGGAGTGAGGTGGGTGTGGGGATATGTAGCCTTGGACACACACTGAGAGGGTTTGTGATAGAGAGCAGTTCCAGTCCTACCCTGCATTCATAGCGCTGAGATCACTGATGCTGTTCCCAGGTAAAGCTCTAGGAGAACAAGGCCTCTCAGAAAAAAGGACTGGTTGAGAAGTTAAATATGGGTTATAATTGGGGTTTCACCATAAATCATTGTGTGACCCTGACCAACTCTCTTCTTTTCCTTTGGCTTCAGTCTCCTCACTTATAAGATAAGAAGGTTAGATGATGATGATGATGATGATTTTGAGACAGAGTTTTGCTATATAGTTCTGGCTGGCCTTGAACTCACACTGCCTCAGACTCCCTGGTGCTGGGATTACAAGTATGTGCCACCACACCCAGCTAAGAAGATTAGATTAGATTGGTAGTTTTTACATTGAGGAATCTTTGGGCTGGAGGTATGACCTTGTGGTAGACTGCTTGCCTAGCATGTGCAAGGCACTAGGTTCAATCCTCAGCGCTGCAAAACATTAAAACAAATTGAATCCTTGATGCTCTATGTGCAGATGTCTTTGGGATCTCATAGGAATGGGAAGAAGGAGGAAGGCACAGCAGGGAATTTTCTGTCACCTTACCCTTTTCCTATCAGAGCAGCTCTATTTCTGTTTTATATTTTGTAGTCAGTGAAAGGGGGGAAAGGCATATATTTGAAAACTGCCAAGCTAATTGACTACTAACAGGTTGTGCCATAACTATAATCGTTTTTTGTGGTTTGGCATTACAAATCAATAGTGGGTTTGTCATTAGTACTGGACATGTCTAACGTGTTCCCCATGCCATTATATCTGGCAATCATTACTACAAATAGTACAACCATAACACTACTAACAAGGGCTAGAAAGCTGCCTTTCCCTGTTCCCTAGCCCCTGAATCCAGCTACTAAAGCTGATGATCTTCCCCATTTTTCAAAAAAGAGCAGAGGAGGGGCTGGGGATTTAGCTCAGTGTTACAGCACCTGCCTTGCAGGCACAAGGTCCTGAGTTTGATCCCTGGTACTGGGAAAAAAAAGAGAGCGAGAGAGAGAGCAAGAGAGAGAGCAGAAGAGACAAACATGAACTAGTATGAGAAAGATTGTCCATCACTACTAGATGGATTGTTATGGGCTTAAACTTTTTTCCTTTATGGCCTTAAACTTGAGACCCAAATCACAGAATAAGTGAAAGGTCCAGCTCTGGAACCCTGGCTCTATGCCTGGCTTGTGTATCCCAGGCAGCAATGCATTTCCAGAAGGCTGGATTCTGAAAGAATCAGTGGTGCTCTGTGGCCAAGGGACCTGGTCAGGAACATCCATCAGGCTGTTGTACATGCGAAGGAACTTTTTCTGATTTGGGGAGCATAGACATCTTGCTCTAGAAGACGGCCAGCTGAGGTGGGGTGTACCTCAAAGTCCAGAGCACAGGGCAAGTAGAGATGGCTCAGTACCATGATGTCAGAGGTATCTGGCTGAGAGTGGGGGTGCTAGATTGAGAAGAGATACTGTGAATTATGGAACTATTTAGGAGCAAAATCTAGGTTCAAGAGTGCTGGATAGGATTTGGGAATCTGGGGTCTATTGAAAAGAACATTCTCCCTTTGTTCTTTGAAAGCTCACCCCTTCTTCTTTCCTTGACTCGAATCCTTTACTCCTACAATAATTAAAAAAAAAATGGTTCAGCACTGCAGCCTTCTCAGATACTGCTATGCAAATGTACCCTTCAGCTCATTTACACCTCCACCAACACTTCTGGATGATTTTTTCTCTGAATGTATCACTTGGACTAACTTAGAACTCCAACTCCCAACACTGAACTCACTTCTCTGCCAGTTGTTGCTTATATTCACCAAGCACTTAGCAAAAATAATCCCCACTGAAAAAGCCAATCTCTGTGTTTTGTAAAAAGATGAAGCTCTGGGCTCAAAGGGTACTGGGTGGAGATGCCAGCGGAAAATAAGCAGGGGTGGGGGAGAGGCTGGGAGGAGAAATAAGGGCAGAGAACTTGGGATTGCCAAGGCAGTTAGTTCTCAAAAAGAAGCAAGTACAGAGAAAGAAGTTTGGAGAGAAAGGAGGAGACTGGTAAAGAGAGCCACAGTATATTCCAACATTCACAGAGTTCAGTAGGATTAGCCTGGCTTTGGGAAATTAGATGCCAGTGTGAGGCCAAAGGTGCCTGAGGCCAGGTTTCTATGTTTTCTCCATTTACTTTGTTTTTTGACCCACAACCCTGGCCCTTTTTATTTTTTATTTTGAGACATGGTCTCTAAATTGCTAAATTGCCCAAGCTGGATTAGGACTTGTGATTCTCCTGCCTGAGCCTCCAGACCTTTTAAAAATATTTATTGAACTGCAGTAAATTTTTCCTGGTGATACTGAAGTTTGCAGTGTGCCATATATGACTGAGGCCTAGAAGAAAGATACAAAGAAAATGGTCCTCCTGGGGCTAGGGATTTAGCTCAGTGGTTCAGGCGCCTGCCTCGAAGCACAAGGTCCTGAGTTCGATCCCAGGTACCAAAAAAATTGGTCCTCCTGCCCAATGGGGCCTCTGTGCCTCAGCTAGTGTGTTGGGGGGCCCTTCCATAGGGTGAGAGGAGAAACAGGATGCTGCACCCCTCCCCCAACCCTGCCACCTATTCCTGCTTTAGGACCACATAGTCCTGTATAAGAAAAAGAAGGAAGTCATCTTGTAAATGGTCACCATCCTGTTGTCTAGACATCAAGGAAGAGATGTGATCTCAGGGAAGCTGCAGGAGCAGAAGGCTGCACTGGATTTCCTGTCAGAAGTGGTCTTCTATTTGCATAAATAATAGATCCCACCAAAGAGCCCCTCTAGTATAGATTGCTTGAGAACAGAATTCAGCATTAAGTGAGTTTATCCTCAACCCCTTCCCGGTGGATAGTTACTTGGCAACAGGAAAATCAACATGGCTCATGTGATTCTGCAGAGTCAGCAGCAGAATAAGAGACTTGCGATCTCGGAGGAATTAATACCAGCTTGCCCCTTGCCCCACATATAAATACCTTATGACTAACAGCTCACATTTGCAGGATGTTGCCCAGAGTCAGGGGGAAAGTTGTGGCCTTGTAATGGAGAAATCACTGAGTTACCTGGAGTGAAACCCATGTCCTTGACCTGATTATTCCAGCTGCTGAGCAGCTGAACTAAGTGCCCTTGGCAATCAGAACAATAATTCAAACAGAATTTGGGACTTCTAGACATTATTATGTCACCTAGAGGGCTCTATCCCAGTGATGGATTTTTGTACTAGAACTGGCTAGTATGTTATGTGCCTTTTGCTGTGTGTGTGTGGTTTTTTTTGAACAGGGGATTGAGCTCAGAACCTTGCACTTTCCAGTCAGATGCCAGAACCGCTTAGCTAAATCCCTGGCCCTTGCCAGGGGAAGTCTTTTTTAAAAATTAATTAATTAATCTGTCTTTTTTTTGAGACATGGTCTTTTTATGTAATCCAGCTTGCCTCAAACTCAAGGTACTCCTCCTGCCTCAGCCTCCCAATGATTGGATTACAAGTGTGTGTTACCATGTCCAGCTTGCAATGTGCTTTAAATCAAATATAAATTATTACCATTTTGTATGTATGGTACTGGGGATTGAACCCAGGGCCTTTGCACTGAGCTATATCACCAGTGCCTGTTTTATCTTTTAGAAATAGGGTCTAGCTAAGTTGACCAGGCTGGGGTCAAATTTGTGATCTTCTTATCTCAACCTCCCAGAGTGGTGGGATTACAGGCTTTCACCATCATCTAGCTACAAATTACTTTTTAAAATACTGTACTTTTGCTATATAAATTGGGTACTTCAGGAAATAGGGCTCGAAGAGTCTGAGACTTGAATGCTGACGAGTGCTCCTGGAAACAACTGTGAGGTGAATTGGGCAGGGGGAGAAGATAAGGCAAAGTGTCCGAGCTTCACCCCCACCTTCCCCCTTACCAGTAAAAAACAAGCCATGAACTTAGCAGCCAACACTTCCCACAGCTGGGGAACAAGTGCTTTGGATGGGAAGTAGGACCTGGTGGGCAATGAAGTAAGTTGTCTGCTTCAATTGCTAACTAGTACTTTTACTTCCCCAGTTTCTCCACATTTATTTCATTTTACCTAGTAGCTTGTGAGATAGATAAGGCCAAATAGAGATCATTCTCCTCTGTTTTTGTTTTTAGACAAGGTCTCGCTATGTAGTTCAGTCTGGCCTTGAATTCACTGAGTATCCTAGGCTGGCCTCAAAGTCTTGGCAATTCTGCCTCAGCCTCCTCACTGCTAGGATTACAGGTGTGCACCACCATGCCTGGCTCCCCTCTGTTAATACCCAGGAGGAAAGTGCAGAGCATGTCAAAGACTTGCCCAGGCTTACCTAGGGCTTGTCTTTAGCTCCCACCCACAGAGATCTCTATTCAATAGATTGTGCTCATTTTTTGTTAATCTGGAGTTGACAGAACTGTAGAATTTAAGAACAAGAGAAGACAGCAAGGGCCAAGTAGTTCAGCCACCTTGCTTTATTATTATTATTATTATTATTATTATTATTATTATTTTTGATGCCATGGATTGCACCCAGGCCCTCTAGCACACTCCCAGCCCCACCCACCTCACTGTAACAGGAAGAAAATAGTTTTAGAAAGGGAGATGACTTCATCAAAGTGAAGCTGCAAGTTTGTGGCAGTCTAGCCTCATTCATGACCAGATTTCTTTCACCTACAAGCCAGTCTTTATTGCTTAGGATGTGCTAGGCACGGAGTGACACACAGGAGGCTGCAGAGTTAAATACCCTGGCCAGTTGTAGAATCTGATAGGTTTCTTCAATCTCATTTTTTTTTTTTTGTACTGGGGATCAAACTCAACCTTGCACTTGTGAGGCAGGTGACAGCACCACTGAGCTAAATCCCTGGCCCTCAATCTCATTTTAATAGTTTTGTTGTTAGCTGGGCATGGTGGTACACACCTGTAATCCTAGTACTCAGTTGGCTGAGGCAGGAGGACTGCCCCAAATTGAGGGCCAGGCTGGACTATATAGTGAGTTCAAAGCCAGCCTGAACTACATAGCAAGACCCTGTCTCAAAAAACAAACCAAAACAACAAAACTATTTTTGTTTTTGTTTTTTGAGACAGGGTCTTCCTATGTTGTTTGGGCTAGTCTTGAACTCACTAAATAGCCCAGGCTGAACTCAAACTCATAGCCATCCTCCTGCCTCAGCCTCTCAAGTGCTGGAATTACAGATGAGCACCACCACACCCAGCATGTTAATAGTTTTGATGGGACAGGGAGAATGAAACTTTTTCATTGCATTTCTTTCTTATATCACTTTGTGAAATTTAAGCCTGAAGAAAATAGCCTATTGTTGGGTCAGGGATGTAGCTCAGTGGCACTGCGCCTGCCTGGAAAGTGCAAGGTCCTGAGTTTGATCCCCAGTACTGGGGAAAAAGAAAAAGAAAAGATGGGCTGGGGATTTAGCTTGGTGGTTCTGGCACCTGCCTCACAAGCTCAAGGTCCCGAGTTCGATCCCCGGTACCAAAAAAAAAAAGAAAGAAAGAAAAAGAAAATAGCCTGTCATTGCTGCAGAATGAATAAGCTGTGTTCTCCCTCTGTTCCAAACTGCTGATTCCCAGGTGATTATAAAATCAAACACTCCCTACAGACACATACAGAAAATTTCCCTTGATTCTTCTCAACCAAGATTCATTACCACACCAGAGTCCTGGTGAACATCCCTATTACTAAGAAAAAAGTCCCTTTCTTTTCTTTCTTTTTGAATGACTTCACAGTTTATCTGCCATCCTTTATTCTACTTATAGGACACAACATAACAGCTGCATAGGGTCAAGTGGATGGATTTTTGGTTTATAAAGTCGCCTATCTTTGAGTGTACCTTCCCAGTGCTCACGCCATGGCTAGGACCACAGTGATGTTTTGTACACTGGGCAGGCCAAGGACATTTGTCTTCATATTTTTCAGTTCTCACCACGGGAGTTTCCTAGTCAAAATGCTTCCCGTGTTCTTGCTCTGCAGACTTAAAACTTTGTTACTGGTGATGACTGGACACTTTAGAGCCAACTGTTTCTCTCTTCTACTGAGGTGGCTGGTCAATTGCCTCAAGTCTACTTAACACACTAGGAGAACAAAGGCAGGCCTGAAAAAAATGTCCCTACTACCTCATTTCTCAGAGAGCTCCTCCCAGGTAAGGAAACATGCATCCATGCCTGCCGTGGGAAAGAAGGCCCCAAAGCCACTAGAATACTGTTTAGAAATGTGCCTGCCCCCTAGCTGGGTGTGGTGATACATGTCTGTAATCCCAGCACTCTGGAACACTGAGGCAGGAGGACTGCAAGTTTGAGCCCAGCCTGGGCTCCATAGAGACCCTGTTTAAAAAAAAAAAAAAAAGAAAGAAAGAAAGAAAAAAGAAATGTGCATGGGAACACAGACCTTAAAGAAATTAGGCTGCAGGCCAGAAAATAATTTTAATGCAAGTAGAAAGGATCAGTCCATCTCGTCATCTTCCTTGCTCTTGCTCCATGGACTCCTCTTTCCTGTGATTCTGAGCAGGTAGGAGCGCCAGCCATACCTCTAGAGTGGCTGTCCTTGTGGGAAAGAGGTTCTCATATTGAAAGTTTGGTTCCAAACCCAGAGGAATGCCAGGATCCTTTAGATCTGGGAGCAGACATAAAATAATAAAATAATTTATATGTGGTTCCTCACCTCAATCAATCTCTTTTTTTTTTTGGTACCAGGGATCAAACTCAGGACCATGCACTTGAGGCAGGCCTGGTGGCACTAAGCTAAATCCCAGCCCAATCTCATTTTTTTGAAGCAAACATTTATTGATACATTTTATACATAGTGATCACATTCATCATAGGGAATTTGTACCTGTACATGATATATCTTGCTGCTTCTTTTTTCCCATTCACCCCTCCTTTTGACCCTTCTTCCCCTCCTTATTTACAAAAGCTGTTTCCATTTTTACCTTCTATCCTTTTTTCTTGTCCCTTCTTTCCTTTCTCCCTCCCTCCTCCCTTGTGCCCCTTCTTATTTGAACATTTTCTTCCCATTTCCCAATATCTATTATACATTTTGATCCTTATTTCCACTTTGTTTCTCATACCAGAGAAATAATGTGGTATTTAAACATGTGTGTCTGATTTATTTCCCTTAAGAGTATGGTCTCAAGGTCCATCCACTTAGCTAGAAATGTCTAAAGATTTTCCTTCTTTATGACAGAGTAGTACTCCATTGTATAAAAAGACCACATCTTCTTTATCCATTCATCTGTTAGTGGGCATTTGGGTTGTTTTCAAGATTTAGCTACTACAAACTGCTGCTATAAACATGGGTGTGCATATATCGCTGTGGTATGAGGCTCTTAATTCTTTTGAGATTACCAAGAAGGGGAATAGCTGGGTCAAATGGAACCTCTAGTTTTAGTTTTTGAGGAATGTCCACACTGATTTCCACAGTGGTTGCACCAGTCTACACTACCACCAACCATGGAGAAGGGTTCCTTCTTCCCCATAACCCCTCCAGCATTTGTTATTCCCTGATTTCTTGATAACAGCCATTCTTTCTGGAATGAGATGGAATCTCAGCATCGTTTTAATTTGCATCTCTTGAATGATCAGTGATGTTGAACATTTTTTCATATATTTATTTGCCATTTCTACTTCTTCATCTGAGAAGAGTATTCATCTCAGATGATTTAGAGGGGTCTGATTTTTTTTGAGGCAATCTCATTTTTTCCTCCTCACAGTCACGGAGCAGCTGCATCATCCTTGGACCCAAAATCACTTTTAAAGAACCTACAAAGCAAATAGATAATATTAGAGGAGAGGCAGGGGAGAAGGGCCGAAGACCCTGGGTCTTTGAAAGCATCCCCTTTCTGGCTAAAGAGCCAGAGCCTCTCAAGCAGGAGAGGGGAAGGGGAATTTGGGGAAGGAAGGAAGGAAACAGAAAAGGCACCTTCTCTGCAGAGGGGCAGGCTTTGCTGTTGTTCATGTTGATGTTCTTCATGGAGATGAGAGTGATGCTGTCTTTCTCTCCATTGGCTGTGGAGCAGCTGGGATGGGAAGGAAGTCTAGGTTACAGAGAGGAGAGGGAGGGCAATGGGAGTCAAGGAACTGGGGAGGGGGCTCAGCCTTAGACCTTTGCTTCACAAAAATCTGTATTTGGTGGCCAGAGATTTGCACCTGCCTCGCAAGCGCAAGGTCCTAAGTTCGATCACCAGTACCGTAAAAGAAAAAGAAAAAAATCTTTATTTGGGAAGGGCACCACAATGGAATGAGAGTGTGCTGAGGCCTCAAAAATGTATTTAAACCCTGGTTCTACTACCTGCTACTGGTCTGATCAAATTATAATCTCTCTTAAGCCTCATGTTTCATTTTGTTTTGTTCTTGGTACTGGGGATCCAACTCAGGACCTTATGCTTGCCAGTTCCCTGGGCCTTAAGCCTCATGTTTTTTTGTTGTTGTTTTTTTGCTTCATGTTTTAATTTTTTATTTTTTTGAGGGACGGTCTCACTATGTAGTTCATGCTGGCCTTGAACTCACTGTGTAGCCCAGGCTGGCCTCAAACTTGCTGCAATCCTCCTGCCTCAGCCTCCCAAGTACTGGGATTACAGTTATGCATCACCACACCTGGCTCATTTTCCTCTTGAAATGGCCAAATGGGGGTCAGATAGAAGCTCCCTCCCTTATGTTCTCACAGTCTTACCTCTCAGATAGCCCCGAACTCCCTGGTTTCTGAGGGTCTGTAAAAACCCAAGGACAGAGACTAGGGTCACATGCCATAACTCAGAAGCCCAGCCTTCCCCTCAAAACCCACCCAAGGGAACCCTCCCAGTCATCAAGGGGATCATGCGCCATTCCCTCCCTTATCCCAGGCTGAGTTTCAGCCTCAGCTTCTCCCTCTGGGTCTCCTGTGCAAGGGAGAGGGCACTGTGGATCAAGACAGGTACCTTCAGAATCTTTGTTCTTCCGACACTTAAACCTTAGACTGACCACACCCACTAGGACAATCACCACAACCACCAGGATGACGATGAAGCTGATAACACCTGAACAGGGTTAAAAATGGGATGAAGGGAGGTAGAGAGTGGACAACAGGAGGCGATAAGAGCTCAGATCCCCTTCCCGGCTAAGTGCTGCATAGACAGGCTCTGGGAGCAAAGTGAATTCCACTTTTCTGCGGAACAAATGGCTCTCACTGTGCTGCACCTACCAGAGTGGGCTCTTTGCTCAGCTCTACCCTCCAGTAAGAACTTGGAGGCCAGGCAGGCAGTGCCACATGCCTATAATCCCAGCTCTGCTGGCAGCCGAGGCAGGAGGATTGCAAGTTCAAGCCCACCCTGGGCATTTTAGTAAGAGCCTGTCTCAAAATAAACATTAAAAAGGGCTGAGATACACCACAGTTCTTGTAGAGCCCTTGCCTAGCATGTGCAAAGCCCTGAGTTCCATGTCCCATTCTCAGCACTAGCACACACATATACACAGAGACAGAGACAGAAAAAAACAGAGAGGAAGGAGCCCGGCAGAGCCAAGAAGAACATGTGGTCCCAGATCCAAAGTCCAGGTCATTTCCATGGGTGAAGGCTAGGGGTGTAGCTCAGGGGTACAGCTCCCGCCTAGCATGGATGAGGCCCTGAGTTCCATCCTCAGTATAAAAAATAATTCTACAGGTGAGGTTTCCTCCCACTCCCCTCCGTTCCCTCCTTTCTCACCAAAGGCAGCCACCGTGAGCACTGTTTCTGACGTGGGGCTGGGCAGGATGGTCAGGTCTTCCCTTGTCCTCAGGCTCATTGTGATTGCACTGGGAGTAGCATTTTGAGATGTTTCTGAAATAGAGTGGGGTTGGAGCACCAGTGAAGAGGATTGACTCAGCCTACAAGAGAGAGCTAGAAGCCAAGCATCCCTGTAATCCTAGCATTTGGGAGGCTGAGGCAGGAGGATCGCTTCGAGTTTGAGGCCACATAGTGGGCTACATAGTGAGTTCAAGCCCAGACTGAACTACATAGCAAGATCCTGTCAGAGAGAAAGAGAGAGAGACCCCCCCAAAAGACTGTAGAGAGTTCATACCCTACAAAAACAGCTTTCTCCCTGCTACTCTGATCAGATCCCATGAGAACAGAAGTTGGAACTGTGGAGTTGCAAGATCCTTGGACCAGTACTGCTTGTTAGTCATGTTACTAGTTCCAGAGGCCTCTAGAAAGTTCAGGACATTACCCAACATTCCTTGGGCCCCAAAGGAAAGAGATTTATGCTGAAGAACTAGGAAACCAGATGCCAAGGTAGAGCTATCTGTATTTTGCCAAGAGTTGAGAGAGGAAAGAAGGGCACCAGATGCTTATCTTCGGGCACTCATCCAACAAGCCAGCCTGCCCATTAAGGGGCACAGGTTTCTGACCATCTTAAAAAAGTGGTGCCACCCCCCTTTCTTCTGTTCAACTCAGTGTATGTCATTGCTGTTCCATTTCCTTATCCCCTGCCCCATCAAATAAGTCTGGGAGTGTAAAAGATTCCAAAAGCTGCAGGACAGTTGAGAGAAAGGGTTATACATGTCACACCACTCCTCTTTTTTTTTTTTTTGTACTGGGTATTGAACTTGGGACCTTGTGCTTGCAAGGCAGGCAGCAGAACCACTGAGCTAAATCCCTGCCCCACACCACTCCTCTTTATTGTAAACACACAGGGGTCACCTCCCCTTGTGATGCCTCCACCTGTGCCTGTGCCTGCACCCAAAACCAGTGGCCAAGATGGAGGGCAGGCCTATCTCCTCAGCCGTTCCGAGGAGAGGCTAGGCCTTCTTCAACATTTTCTGCCTCCTTGCTCCTTCATTTTAGGTTTCCTTGCCCTACCTACCTTTTCTTCTGAAGCCTCCCTTTTATGCTGTTTTCAGTCCCAAGCCCAGACTTGATTTCACTGTGACCAGGCCCAGCATCCTGTCTCTGTTCCACTCAGACCTCTGTTTCTCCCAAACCAGGGTGCCACTGATGTGGTTCCTGGCCTCAAAACTCTAATACCTGGGCCTCCAGAGGAGTGGAAGAAGGAAACCACCCAGGCATAACCCAGGGTGCTGCACCCCCCTACCCCACCCTCCTTGGGTACTCACTAAGTTCTGACGTGTTCTTCTGGGGCTGCCCCAGCAGGGACAGGAAGTGGCCATCCTTGGAGTTTACCCTTGGTGTTCCAGGCTTATTTGACATGTGGGGGCTGTGTGAGGCCTTCTGTGCAGCTGCTGTGGATTAGGAAGCACAAGTAGCCTGTTCAGGCATCGGTGGGCACTTGCACAGCACATTAGCCCCAAATCTTCCTTTGCTTTACTTCTAATTCTGAAAAGGGCCATTCTTGGCTCACCTCTGGGCCTTTACCATTTCATTTCACTCTGCCTGGGACATGGCTACCATTCTTCACCTTCTACCTCCATCCAGGGCTGCTCAGCTTCAGAGGCCACTCCCTCCAGGATGTCCCTCTGCCCCCCACCCCAGTGGCTTTTGTCTGTTTGGCCTCCTCAGCTCCTGCTCCTGCCCATGGGCTCCTCCCCCTGCCTTGTAACTGCCAGTGTGACGTCTTGTTGGCTTGTCCCTTCCCAGGCAGTCTACATTCTCCTGTAGAGCACATGGTGAGCTTCCTCCCTCAGCCCCTCCTGGGTGGCATTTGTAGTCTCACCAGCTGAGTACCTGGGGTACTGGTGCTGACCAGAAGCTTAAGGTTGCCAGGATCTGGGGAAGATCTGTTTCCTGTCAGGACAAAAAGAGATGGGAAATTGAAGGTGGGGCAGACTTGGTGACACCATACTCCCTTGCCCATCTGAGAACCCTTGGCTCCAGCCCTTGGATGGAGTGAGGCAGGGGGTGTCAGCCCCAGGCAAGCACCCACACTCACCTGTGGTGGCAGAAGTTGGCTCTGTGACAAGACTTTGATTGCTGAGGGTTCCTGAAACAGATCATGGAGGCTGAGTGGTCCTCTACTTCCTATTGCTCTGAGCCCCTCTCTTCTTCCTTTATCTGATATTATCTGGTTTTTCTCCCTACCCTTCCTTGACCCTCAACCAGACATGCCATTCAGGGCATGTCAGATGGGCCAACCTGAAAAACAACCCCTAGGATGAGCCCCTAAGAGCTCTGGCCCAGCCCCAGTCACCCGAGGTCAGTGCTACAAGGGTCCAGAGCTCCTCTCACGCCACCCTAAGCCCCTAGGCCCGGATGCTAGAGTAGGCCCGTGAGTTCTGTCTTACCCTGAGAAGTCTGAGTTGTCATGGGCTGGAAGTTGTGTCCTACAAGAGAAAGTGAAACGCACAGACTGGCTTGGGAAGTCTCCTGTCTAGCAACCTACATCCTGTGGCTGTTCAAACCCCCACATGTTGGAAGGCAGACACACCAGCAGAGGGCTAAAGGAAGTCATGGTGCTGGCTTCCTCTGAGACTGACTCAGTTACAGTATCACTGCAACCTTATGGTTCCAAGGGCCAGAGTCCTTTCTGGTCTCTTCAATCCTCCATGGGTATCACACCAACAAAGTCAGGAGAAGGCCCCAAAGACAGAGGGCCAGTGACCTGCTATGTCTAGACAAGAACCCAAGAACCCAAGTCTCTAGGTTTATGTTCATCTTATGCCATTGCTGGGCCATTCCTTTTCCCCTGTGAAGATTATTATCTTGACTTTGCCTTAAGGGGAGGGACAGTGAGAAGGTGAATAAAACAGTTTGGGTTTAGGGTTTGTATGGTTATCTCTGCCTTCCCTAGCAAGAGGTAGGGGCTTGCCCAGGAAGCAAATTCCAAGCTATGTATAGGAGACAAGGAAGCTCTAGAAGGAGCTGCCAGTTTATTCTCACAGGCAGAAGCTATTGGGAAATTATCATTGTTGGCCAAACTCAGAGAGGAGTCAGTTAGCAGGAGTCCCCGTTGGAAGTCCTCATTAGCAGTTCTGTGTGTATACGGCTGTCTGTGGGTGTCTGTGCAGATGTGTGCATGCTTGTGTGTCCCACGGTGTATGGGACCTGAAAGGTCAGGTTGTGTTTGCTCACTTTCCACAATGAAATCATTCTTGAAACCTGTGAACAATGTGAAAGGAAAACAACGTGGGGAAGTGGAGCCGCCCATCTGGGTTCCCGTCCCTCCACTCGGCTTGGCCTCTCAATGCCAGGGAAGCACTGAGCCCAGGCCTGGGTGGACAGAGGCAGCTGGGTGCCAGGGGCCCACCCCAGCTTATAGCAGCCTGAGGTCTGTTTATTTTCCTTAAACCACTGCCTTGCTCCATGGGGTTATCATTCGGATAGTGTAGAATTCATTGTTTGCAAGCCCACGCTTGCCCAAGCCCTGGGCCATGTTTTTCTAGGTTACATCTCTCACAGCCCCATTTATTGTGGGTGGAGGGTGCAGAGGAGAGTTAAAACTTGTAGCGGGCTGGGGATTTAGCTCAGTGGTTCTGTCGCCTGCCTCCCAAGCACAAGGACCCAAGTTCAATCCCCAGTACCCAAAAACAAAAACAAACAAACAAAAAAAACTTGTAGGAACCCCCAGCCAGATAGAGCCCTTTCTTGCTGGGTCTGAGCCTGACTAAACCCTTTCCATCCAAGTCATATCCTCAACACTCTTAGTTACTTAGATACCATGTCACAGAAGTATCTAAGTGCTGTTAGTGATGGGAAGTCACAGTACACCACCTTCCTGCAATTACCTAGGGGAAAAAAAGCTATCTAGCAGCTTGGAAGGATTTCCAAAATCATAACATTAAGTCTCAGTTGCCTGCCTTCTCTTTGCCTCCTGTCACTCCCTCTCCCCAACTTGTCACCTGTAAAGATTCCTTTGTGAGAAGGGGAGGGACTTAGGGAGTAGGCTGGGTCCCTGGACTACTGGCCAGGGAGACACCCAAGAACTCTGGTCACAAGAATTTCTGATTTTTGGGTCTCCACTTTTTAACCCCAACCTATTTCATTTCCTTCCAATCTAACTCTCCATTTCTGTTTCCTCATCAGTATAGTTTAAAATCATAGATTTAAATTAATCAATTAATCTTGTGGTACTAGGGATTGAACCCAGAATCTTCACACTGAATTTTGCCCCCCACTCTAACCACCATGTTATTTTGAGACAGGGTCTTCCTAAGATGCTAAATTGCCCAGGTGGGCTTGAACTTTCTGTCCCTCTACCTCAGCCTTCCAGAGTGCTGGATTACAGGCATGAGCCACCATGCCCAGTTTTAAATCATAGATTTTAGAGTTTGATGGCTTGGATTTAAATCCTAGCTCAGTCACTCAGTGTCTGACTTGGGCTTGAATTTTCTGTTCTTTAGAATGCAAGTGAGAGGCTTGGGGTATAGCTTAGTGGTAGAGCATGTGCTTAGCATGAACAGGCTTTGGATTGGATCTCTAGCACACAAAAAAAGCAAGTATTAGTACTTCACAAAGTGTAAAGGAAAGAAAATGCATATGAAGCACTTAATACAGTGCTCAGTCACTGCCAAACATCTTATTTTTCCCCGATTCTCTCAGATCCTCTAAGTCCCCTGTCTACCCTGACTCTGTATGTACGGTTAAGTCCCTTTGTGGACTTTTGCCCAAAAGATTCCTCAGTCCACCAACACAAAGACCCCTGCCCACCCAAGCCCTCCGGCACTCTCTGCTGCTTTAACCACAGCCTCATCAATCTGCCACAGAGCACTTGGGGTGAGGAATGGCCGAGGGGAAGTTGCTGCCCTGTGAGTCACAGTGTCCTGGACTTCTCATGGTTCCCAGCAACTGTGCCCTAAAGAGAGGGCCCCATGTGCTGGCTGAGTCCTGAGAGATGTTGTTTCCAAAGCATCTCCCTAGAGGTCATCTCAGCTCACACTCTGGGTAAGAATATTATTCACCCACCTGGATCAATCAATAATGCTTTCTGTATAACCTGAGGCCCTCTTGTGACTTGAACTTAAAGTCAGCGTTTCGAATTCCCAAGTTGTTATTCCTCACAGAAAAAGAAGAAAAAAGACCACCTATAAGGCCCAAGATGCAACAATTTGGGGCTGGAATACTTTATAGAGTGACTATGACACCCAGACCAGCCTGCATATGCTGGGCAAGGAGCCTCACACTCAGCCAGCGGCTTCCCTTCTCTCAGAGGGCCAGCCTTTGTTCACCCTGGAAAATTTCCCACAAATGGGTTTAAATATCCCTATTCACCCCTGCCTGGAAATGCCCATCCAGCTATCCCCTTCAAGGAAAGGCCCTGGGATTTTTCACCCTCAGGCAGCCCCTAGATGGGGGCCCTTGCGGTGCATGTCCTGGAGGAGGGAGGCTGGGGGCCGTGGAAGGGCATTGGCAGGCGCCCTCTTACCTCGGAGCATCAGCAAGCCCAGGATCGCCCAGAACAGCTGCGAGGCTCTGCCGGTGCCCATGTCAGCGGGGTGTGTGGCCGGCAGGCAGCCACTCAGCTGAGGCTCTGTCCATAGTGGAGAGGAGCAGGGCGTGCAGGGGCGGGGTGGGATGGGGGCCGGCTCTCCTGGAGCTTCCTGTCGAAGAATAGAAGGAAACAGATTGGGACTGGATCCAGGGGCCCTCCACGCGGCCCACAGGAGGATATGAGGCTGAGCAGAATCGCTCTGGTCTCCTCCAGGGCCTGGGCTCCACCACCCGTGTGGCAGTATGGTTCCATCCCCACTGTCCCCTCTGAGGGGGTCCCTCCGTCCCTCTACACACCACCTGGAGGTTTTCCTGGAGCTGCTGTTTCAGACCAGTCCTCCTCTCCCAGGACTGAGCCAAAGCTGGGCCCACCAGCCGCCCACGCCCTGTGGACTCAGAATTCTCCACATTCCTCTTCTCTGGGCTCCCCATCCCGATGGGGCACCCGGCATCTTTCAGGGAGGCCTTGCAAGCACTGCTGTTATTCCTAAGAGAAAAGCAAGAGGGCCACATTCCAGGGACCCTCTCCCTGACTCCTCACTCTGTTGGGGTTAGGTGTTCCCTGAGTTCCTCCAGCACCATGTGCTTAGTCTCCAGCCAGCATTTATCTACATCCCATGAAGTCCTCTCCCGTGGCTGCAGGCCAGCACCATTACCTTTTCCAGTACATCTAGGACCAACCAGCACATAGCCTGCCGAATAGTGGGTCCTCAGTGTGTATTTACTGAAGTAAACTCAAAAAACATAAACACAGGCCCGGTGTGGTGGCGCATGCCTCTAATCCCAGCATTCGGGAGGTGGAGGCAGGAGGATCAACACAAGGCCAGCCTGGGCTACACAGGGAGACCCTGTCTCAAATAAAAACCAAAAAGAAACCCAGAACAAAACAAAAACAAATGTAACCACATAGGTTCAAGCCTATACAGAATCCTTCCTTATTAATATTAATTTTATCATTATTGTGAATTTCTTTCCCAGTCTATATGCCTACCAGTCTGCGACAATATTTATATGTAAGATTAGAATCTCTCTCTCTCTCTCTCTCTCTCTCTCTCTCTCTCTCTCGTTGTTGTTGAAACAGGGGGTTGCTTTGTAGTTCAGGCTGGTCTTGAATTTACTATTTAGCCCAGGCTAGCCTTGAACTAGCCTTCTGCCTCAGCCTCCTGAGAGTTGGGATTACAGGTGTGCACCACCATACCTGACTCCTTTTTTAATTTTTTAGTAAAAAAAAAAATTTTTTTTTTTGGTTATTTGAGATAGGGTCTTGCTATGTAGTTCAGTGGCCTTGAGCTCACTATGTAGCCAACGCTGGCCTCGAACTCACAATAATCCTCCTGTCTCAGCTTCTGAGTACTGGGATTACAGACATGTGCCACCATATCCAGCAATATTTTTTATGCAATTACAAACTTACAGAAAATTAGAAAGTGTATCATACGGAACTTTTTCTCCCTGAACTATTTAAGAATAAATTACCAGCTACACATGACAATATTTTCTTGTAACCTTAGCATTGGGAAGACTGAGGCAGATTCCAAGTTTGAGTCCTACCTGGTAAACTTAGTAAGAACTTTCCTGTATCAAAATAAAAAATAAAAAGGGCAGGGGATGTAGCTCGTGCTACACCCAATCTTTAGCACAGTGCCACCACTACCAAAAAAAATTACCAACAGGCTGGGGATTTAGCTTAGTGATTCTGCCACCTCCCTAGAAAGCGCAAGGCCCCAAGTTCAACCCCCAGTACCAAAAAAAAAAAATTGCCAACAAGTAATTTAGTAGTTATTGAGTAGTTTAGTGTGTATTTCCAACAGAGAAGGAAAATCACCTACATAATCACAATACAGCCATCAAAATTAGGATATTAAGGCCGGGGATTTAGTTCAGTGGTTCCGGCGGCTGCCTTGCAAGTGCAAGGTCCCAAGTTCGATCCCCAGTACCAAAGAAAGAAAAAAAATCGGAAATTAATATTGCTATATTACTACTATCTAATCCTCAAAGTCCATTCAAATTTTGGCAGTTGTTCTGATAATGTTCTTTATAGCAAAAAGATCTATCCAGAATTTCTCATTGCTTGTCTCTTTATCCTCCTTAAATCTTGACTAGTTCTTCAGTTTTACTCTAACTTTCAGGACCTTGACAATTATTATTATTTTTTCAATTTTGTGAGACAGGGTCTTGCTATATAGTTCATCCTAGCCTTGAACTCACTGTGCAGCCCAGGCTGGCCTTGAACTCATGGCAATCCTCCTGCTTCAGCCTTCCAAGTGCTGGGATTACAGGCATGTACTACCACGCCAGGCTCAATTTTTACATGGTAAGGACTGAACTCAGGATCTTGAACATAGCAGACACCCTACCATTAAACTAATAGGTTAGCTTTTTTTTTTTTTGGTACCAGGGATCAAACTCGGGTCCTTGCGCTTGCAAGGCAAGCGACGGAAACACTGAGCTAAATCCCCAGCCCTAGGTTAGCTATTTTATAGAATGTTCCTCACTTTGAGTTTGTCTGATGTTTCCTCATGAGCAGATTTAGGTTTGTATCTTTGGCAGGAGTGTCACAGATGTAAGGCTATATCCTTCTCTGTATCCTACCAAGTGCTCCATGATTTTGAATTTTCCTCTTACTTTTTTTTTGTTGTTTTTTTGGTACCAGGGATTGAACTCATGACCTTGCGCTCTTGAGGCAGGGGGTGGAAACACTGAGCTAATTCCCTAGAACATTGATTACTAACTTAAGGTGTCTGCCAGGGTATTTTTTTCCTGTGGCTACTATAACAAATTACCTCAAACTGGTGAGTTTAATGAACAGAAATTTATTGTGGTTCTAGGGGCCAGAGTTGGAATCAAGGTATCAGTGGGGTCATTCTGTCTCTGAGGGTTTAGGGGAGACTCCATTCCTTGCTTCTTCCATCTCCTGGTGGCTGTTGGGATTTCGAGGTGTTCCTTGTCATTTTGCTCCATGCCTCCTTCACATCGCTGTCACCTCCACATCTTTTCTTCTGTGTGATCCTTGGATACTTGCCATTGAGTTTAAGGCTCCTCTGGATAATCTAAAATGTCTTCCTCATCTCAAGGTCCTTAACTTCATTCCATCTGTAAAGGCTCTTTTTCCAAAGAAGTTAACATTCACAGATTCTGGGATGAAGATATGGACATGTCTTGGTGGGGGAGGCGTCCATCAGCCCACCAGAGCCAGCTTTCTTCCTCTTTCTCTCTCTTTCTTGGTTTTGTTTTATTATTTTTATGCAGTACCAGGAATTGAACCCAGGGCCTTTGATCTGAACTATATCCCCAGCTCTTTTTTATATTTTATTTTGACACAGGTTCTCGGTAAATCATTAAATTGCCCAGGATAGGCTCAAATGGGCAATCATCCTGTCTCAGCCACCCAGAGTTCTAGAATTATCTCCACTCTTTCTTTCTCTCTTTCCTTCCTTCCTTCCTTCTTGCCTTCCTGCCTTCCTGCCTTCCTTCCTTGGTTTTGTTGAGATAGGATCTCGCTACATAGTTCAGGCTGATCTTAAACTCACTATATAGCTCAGGCTGGCCTTGAACTTGCAGCAATCCTCCTCCCTCAGCCTCCCCAGTACTGGGATTACAGGCATGTACTACCATTCCTGGTTTGTTTGTTTATTTTGGTACCGGGGATCAAACTTGGGACCTTACACTTTCGAGGCAGGTGGCAGCACCACTGAGCTAAATCCCTGGCCCCTGTTTATTTATTTTTTTATGAGTACATGCTTGCATTCATCTTAGCGGGTAGGTACATGTACTTAATTCTTTTTTTTGGTACCAGGGCTCGAACTTGGGAAACTCGCGCTTGTGAGAAAGGCAGCAGAACCACAGAGCTAAATCCCTGGCCCCTTAATTCTTCTTTTTTCCTTTGTCCTTCTCTCCTTCCTCCTTCTCTTCATTTCTGGGTACCCTTCCCATTTGCAAAAGATCGTCTTCCCGTTTCCTATTGCCTATCTTTTATTTTATTTTGGTTGTTTAAAATTATTTATACTTTGGGCTTCTCATAAGAGAAGTTTTACAATATTTAATATTTTAGGTCTGATTTATTTCACTTAACATTTGCTTTCAGGTACATCCATTTTTCTATAAATGACTCAAGTTTATCCTTCTTCATTTCAGAGTAGTGTTCCGTTGTTTGTAAATACCACATTTTCTTTATCCGTTCATCTGTTGAGGAGCATATAGGCTGCTTCCAAGATCTAGCTATTATGAGTTGTGCTGCTGTAAACATGGGTATCTCCACTCTCAAATTATGGTTTTGCCGTTTGTAATAAATGGATATTTTTGTGGTGAGATACTTAGAAACTAAGAAAAATTTTTCTCTCATCAATTTTTCCACATATGAATTTGTATGTAGTTATGTATTCCTGTTCATAAAGGGGTTATAATGTGTTACAATAATTTACGAATTCACTCCCCCAATTGTCCCCCTTTTGGCCACTAGGTACCTCCTGGAGCTGGTCTCTGGGCCCTTCTGACATGGCTCACCGTTCTGTGAGTACTTCTTTACTTTCTACACAGTGACATGCTCCAAGTTCATTTTCCTCAGCCCTGAAATTGGCTATTTCTCCAAGGAGACTTCATTCCTTTTATATAGTGATTTTTATTTTCTGTTTTGTATTATGGTAGTGAGGATTGAAACCAGGGTCTTCACAGTGAGCTACATCTCCAGCTACTTTTTAATTTTTTATGTTGAGACAAGTTCTCACTAAATTACCCACACTGGACTCAAACTTGTGATCCTCCTGCCTCAGCTCCCAGAGTACTAGGACTACAGGGATGCGCCACCATGCCTGGTGCGAATAGGGTTTAGAAACCGAGATCTGGATGGTAGGCAAGCTCCTTGGTACTCAGAGGTAGCTTCTTCAAGGCCCTTCTCTTAAACCTGGCTCCCATTATCCTTAATATGCCTACTTATTTGATCACCTTCCTTGCAGTAACCAAGCTGCCTTCTCTGCTGCCACCCCCCATCTATAGATGCTTTCCACACCCCACTCAGGCTCTGACACACCAGCCTGGGTGGCTTTAGTATGTTCAGATAGTTGTGCAACCATCATATGTAAAGTCAATTTGAAAACATTCTCATTACCCCAGA